AAATCTAGTTTCACACAAGACGATATACAGTCAGAGACAACGATGCATAAATTAGAAAAACACTTTAACCAAGCTATAACCATTCCTCCATCTAAAAGGCTCTCTACCCTTCTATAACACATCGTTACGGTGTGGCAGTCGGTTTTAAAAAGCAGAAATTCAAACCCACCTTAATGTTAACATCGTTATCCGATCAAAACTCCTCACAAATAAACTACTTCAACATCGGTCCTTCCTCTTATCCTAATAATTTACTTTCAATCTCTTCTCGCTTTTTGCGCTCTTCAAATTTTGCTAACGCAGGCATTTTATAAATCTATTTGTAGCTTGTTTTTTTGTACGTTTGCAGTATTGAGGGAGTGACTGCTGGTAAGTGGAATGGCAGGAGGACACACTTTTAAGATCAACTGATAATACAACATCTCAATGCAGTTTTAGCTCCACAACATCCCTCCGCCATGGGGACAAAGGTTCATGGGAAACAATGGACTGAAAGGAAGGGGTGTAGTGGAGACAGGAAATGTATCATTGTGCCGCTAACAGTGCAAATACTGCCTGTACCTATACAGCAACACACACACTGTAACTCTGCAGTGAGAGGGCTAAGGCAGGAAGGAAATGAGGAGACAGAGTGAGACTAAGAGAGAGAGAGAGAGAGAGAGAGAGAGAGAGAGAGAGAGAGAGAGAGAGAGAGAGAGAGAGACGGAGGGGAAAACAGCAGATTCGGAGCACTGGGGTTTTCCACTGTGTAGGATTTGAATGAGAAGTAGGTAAAGCAGGAGAGGAACATATGCCGCCTCACAACGTTCAGACAGCAGAAAGAGAGCGGAGATCAGAGGAAGAGATGTACTCTGAGCGGAGGTACATTTAAAAAAAAAAAAAAAAAGCTGTCATTTCAAAGGTTAGGAGCCGTTTCAGAGTCGTTGTCGTCTTAGGTTCAGACACTTGACACACAAGTGGAGGACTGTAATCGAATGGGCAACAAATGGCAACTATAAATTGCACAGATGGCGAACACCTCGGGAAAAATGGAAAATGCTGCGATCGCTGCCCTGCAGGTCAGTCGAAACATTCACGTTTTCACTTCTTTCTTTGGATTAGAAACTATACTGTTTTTTCTTCAGCTTTCCTCACAGACTGGATTGATGTAACAGCCTGATTATTCTGTATGTTTGTTTATTGAATGCCTTTCGTGTTCTCAACTTTTTATCAGGACAATACAAGCGCACTGACTGTGACAGCAATAAGAAGACAATTTGTGCCCAATGTGCAAGCGGGTACTACACAGCCACTATTAACTACCTGCCAAAATGTCGCAAATGCATGGACTGCAGTGAAGGTAAATCACACACACACACACACAGCACTGCATAGACACACACACACTTTTTCTGTTCTTCTACAAAACACACAGTTCCTTCCTCTTCTCCTCCATGCTGCCTTTTATAAAAGTATAGAATGATTTTTGCCAATTGTGTCTTTACGTTAACAGAAGCACAAATCCATCTTCCTGTTTTCCATTTGAGTCCATTAAGCTGAAGCTCAGTTACAAAAAGTATTTCACTAGCTTGAAAGTAATGAGCTCCAAACTGTGTAAAGACTAATGTAAAACCTGTGTCAAAAGAAAAGTAGGTCACAGCAGACGGTAGTAAAAGCTGTGATGTCCATCCGCATCTTTGGAGGGTCTTCTGTTTTTAGAGTGTAGATGTTTTGACTACAGGAAAGATATGTTTATGACCAGGCTAAGAATCCATTAAACATGAAGACCTGAGGAGAGTTTGGCAGAATGGAGGGCGACATACGATGTGCCTGCATACTCTTCTGTATTCCATTTCAATAAAACCTTCAGTTTTTAAGACCCAGTTCTCCTGCATCTTCATCATTTCCAGTCAATTGCTCCAGATTTCCTTCGCAGCTAGGGAGAGGGTGTCGGGGCCGGATTGGAACTGGGCCTAAATCTCTCTTTTGACTTTTTCAGTGAACAACCACGTGAGAGTAAAGGAGTGCACCACTCAAAATGATGCAGTGTGTGGGTGTATGAGCAGTTTCTACTGTACAGAGGAGAAGTGTGAACACTGCAAGCCAGCCACCCGCTGTGCTCTGGGTTCAGGGGTCAGAGTTCAAGGTAGGCTTTTAATGTAAAACGCAAAAAATATCCTCATGTTCGCCAGCATCTTGTTCAAACGCAGTACAAATGAGCAACTGATTAAAAAAAAAACAAACACTGTATTTCTTCTTGCAGCTACTCACCCAAACGACACAATCTGTGCTCCGTGTGAAGTCAGGACGTACAGCAACAAGTCAGATTTCTCCGCCTGCCTCCCCCACACCAGGTCAGAAGGCGTCTCCTTGGTAGCCTTTATCGTTGTTATTATGAAAGCTGAAGGAGGATGTTGATGTGTGAACAGTAATCTGCATCATTCATCCGACAAGATACGGCCAAAACTACGTGTTTTTGTGAGCCGACATCTCTGCTGATCTTATCAAGTAGTCTCATTTTATTTAAAACGCTTTTATTGGTTATACGTCCAACAGTCAGTGTTACTGGGACAAACTTAAAACATTCCCTGAGCCCCTCCCACAAAAAAAGCTGAATAAAAAGACCTTCATATACTGTTTTCCCAAGAATTAAAGTTGACTATTTGAAAAAAGTATGGTTTTTATTTTTAAATTATCTTTCTTCCGAATTCAAAAGCCTAAATTCCCCTGTAAAATGTCCATATATTTACCGATATATATATATCACATCTTGCTTTCCTTGAATCTGTTAAAAACATCACATTTGTAGATATATCTGTCCTATTACTACTACTACAATAATCTTCTATATCACGTGTATGTCTGTAACAATGATGCTAAGCCTAATGTAAAAGTCTTTCAAATGTTTTTGTATTTGTTATTTTTCAGATGTGAGAACTTGGGAAGGGAATATAAAACCTCAGGAACCCGAAAAACTGATGCCATCTGTGGCGACTTCATATCTCGTAAGGCTACATTTTTGCATTAATGCCGTCATTACAAATCTGAATCATACCTTCAGATTCTTGAGTTTCAGTTAGTTAGTACTGTATATCATATTACCAAGGCTTGCGTAAGCAATACACATGACAGTCATATGCCTATCTCTCGAGTGACTGTGTCATCGTGCCAGTCTTAGGAACATAGCTATCAACAGTGTCTCATGAGCGTCATCCATGTCGTCATGCATCCGGCTACGTACACAGCTACGTAGGGCCTCTGTTATCATGTGCTACTCTGATACAGAAGGAACATTCAGTATTTTCCCAACAATTCCCAAGGCAGATCTGGCAGAAAAAGGTTTATTTCACACTCACAATTTCTCCGTTTTGTAGTTTAATGTTGACATGCTGTTGAGAAATGTTAAGATGTCTCTAATGAGGGTAGCTTTGGGTTAATAATGTCGTACCATAATTGAACAATACCGGAAATAAATAGAAATGGAATGTATTTTTTAATCATGAAGGTTTTTTTTTAAATATTTTTAGAAAGCCCTTTTAGTCATTTTAATCACATTACCGTAGGTGACGTAGAACATTGATAATGAGGAATCAAGGGAGTTTTCACTCACTTCAATTCACAGAACTTAAGTAATTATAAGAAGTTAAAACGTATTTATGTCGCCCCCTAAAATCCCCTCTCAGATTGTCACTGGATGTTACCCGCCAGCCTGTGGTCAGGACTCGTGTTGACCGCGCTCATCCTGTTTTGTCTGGTGTGCTGGAGGGGAAAGCGAAAATCTTACAAACCAGGTCAGTACAACATGTCAAATGTGTGTCGTTTTTGTTCTAATTGTTCTGGTTGAAAGTCTTCCCGAAGAGGTGACGTGCAGGCATGCCCACTCACTGTCAGTAAATCGCATGTGAGCCACAACAAAGACCTGCTAAGTGTACAGTTGAACGTCACTGCAAATATCCTTCAGACATGCCCTGCCCACTGCTTCCTTTTTTACAGTCAATGCATTTTAATCTGAGTATGGTCAAATTAAACTTATAATACTTGGTGTGTTAATTAACAATAACAAAAAGTTTGATCATGTTTGAGTAAGGGTTTAGGGTTAAGGTTAAGGAGCTGTATGATAACGTGATGTTAAACACGCTCAGTGAAGATGACAAAATGCAAGGAGGAAACCACATCCTGTAGGTTCAGCCTGACACACTTACTTGGTATAATGTGACGCAAACTTCACAGGCACTAACTCATACTGAGACAAGCTCCTCCTACGCACAGTAAATGCGATGTTTTGACTGACATTGTTTTTGTATTTCATTTATGTTATTTCCAGTGAATCGATGTGTCAATACCGGAATTTACAGATGAAAAACCAGAATGAAAAGAACTTCAGGTTTCACTACTAGTTTGAAAGTCCAGTATGAGACTCACACAAAGTGATGTGAATGGGCTTTTTGCTCAGAGTGGGAGAAATGATAAGAACTGTGAAGTGAAATGATTGAAATGAAATGCATTAACATATGATGGATTTACATTGAGGCTGTAGTAAAGGTAACTGAACATTTGTGGAAAATCATATCAGACAAAACATACTTATTTTTAGTTTAATTATTTCTTTGCCTTATCAACAAGCCTAGAGTTTTTTTTTTTTTTTAAGTGATTTTTTTTATAACAGCTGGGTACATATATAGGGTGTCAAATTATTTCTTGATTCGCATATATATTTGTCTCTTCTTTTTTCCTTGTTGGTTAGTTTTTCTGCCCTTTTTGACCTTTATTTAAAAGGTGTATTTTTTATTAATTATGGAAGCTTTGTTCCTTTTCTTTTCACTTTTTTGTTATTCTATTTTTTTCTGTTGCATATGTCTGTGGCTTCTTAATCTTTCCTCACACACATTTTATGGATTTTACAGTTTTATTTGTAGAGAAATTAAATGTAAAAAGAACTTGGCACTAGGAGGGAAACATCTGTATTTTGCTGAATAAACAAGTTGAGACTAAAGGTTGATACTTTTCCCACCATAACAATGTGACACCATTGTAACATATCGGAGTCAAATCTGACTTGTTCTTTTTTACAGAGAAAAAGGAAAAAGCATTTTTGAAACCACCTTTCAAGACTACAGGAGGTGAGTGTTTGCATTTAAAATATGAGAGCAGTCAAACTTTAGTAGTGAGACACACTAAGCTTTTGTACACTACAATATAACAGGGCTATTCATATATATATAAAAAAGAAGAAGTATGAGGAACCTTTCCTGGAAACAGTTATGTAGATTTTAGATAATAGCTTGTGGGAGATTATAGTGACCCCCAATGGCCAATCAGTATACATTTCTCTTGAATATTTTCATTTCATTTCAAACCTTTATTTATCCAGGTTGTATCCCATTGAGATCATTGACCTCTTTTTCAAGGGAGACCTGCTCAAGTAGGTTCCACATGAAACATTAAAAACATAAACAGAACAACAAAAGGACATCATACATTAGCATTACAGGGATTACAATTTACATAACTATCCACATGAACAGGTACCAACAGCTTCCGATTGAGTAGCATCCAACCGAGCTTTAAAAACATTGAGTGGCACCAGATTGCTCAGTTTCCATTTTAATTGCAGACTATTCCAGGACAGTGGAGCTGCGCATCTAAATGCTATCTTCCCTAAGACAGTCCTAGCAGTTAAAATACTATGTTCCAAATTAGATGAGGTATTACACATCAAATCATGATTGTAGGATAAATTCCTTGTGACAATGATTCTGAATAATCCTATGGTGTTTTTAACCTATTTGTGGTGTGTTTCCTGTGTGACAGACGGCAGTATATCCATTTCTCTGATGGAGATGTTTCCAGCAGCACCCTTCACTCAGCTGCAGCCTTTACCGCAGAATGGACACTGCCAGGAGAACTCCAAGCTACCACTGTTCAACCCAGGTGAGAAACGCCTAATGCATCCAGCTTTATACTTTACAATTCAATGCATTTTATATGTCTTTATACGAGATTTTGACAGTAAAACGTGACTGGAAATGATAGAGACAACATGCACAGATAGTCTCTAAACCAGGGACAAGAGGTGAAAGAAGTACCCAGATCTTGTACTTCAGTAAAAGTAGAAGTACCAAAGTGTAGGAAAACTCTGTTACAAATAAAAGTCCTGCATTCAAAGTAAAAATACAAAAGTATTAGCATCAAAATATACTCAAAGTACCACAAGTAAAGTACTCATGTGCAGATTGGTCCATTTCAGAATAATATATATGATGTGTTATAATGATTGATCATTAAAGTGTTATCAAAGCTGGTAAAGGTGCAGCTAGTTTGAATGACTTTGTATACTGCAGGGTAGCTTGTGAATTTACTCCAGGTGGAACCAACGTGTGATTTAAGTGATGACCATATATCTGAAAAGTAACTAAAGATACTACATAATTGAAGTGTGTACAATATTTCCTTCTGAGTAAAAGTACAAAGTAACATAAAATGGAAATACTTAAGTAAAGTACAACTATCTCAACATTTAACTCAAGAACAGTACTTGAGATAGTACTTAGTTACTTAACAGCACTGGATATTTGTGGTTCATGGTTTTAAACCTGAATGGACAACATCCTTGGATAGACTGAAAGACTGAAAATACGCATTTGAACACAGGTGATAATAAAACTGAGCACTTACCTGTTCTCCTCAATGTGCTGCTAATCCCCGGGTCAGTGTGGTTAGCCATGTGTGTTCAAACGGTACCTTGTTTTCCTGCTGCTTTCATGTTTGTTAATCCTTTTGGAAGGTTGTTTGAGATCCTGAAAATCTGTTGTCGATCATCCCTCTGATTAACATTCACCGGAAATAATACAGCGTCTTAACTGACAAGCTAGCCGTTAGCCGTTAGCAGTTAGCAGTTAGCCGTTAACCAATTCGCTTCATGTTAAATAGCTTATTTTTATTAACTGAGGTTGGTTTATAACAGTTCTAGGAAAGTTGTAGTCCCCGACGTGTTTAAACTCAAGTAATTATTCCAAAAACAGACTTCTATAGTAGACTAAATGTATTTCGTAGAAGATAAATCATCGTTCAAGGTGGCCGCTCATTACTTTCCCATTAAAATAATCACCGGGGCAACGCTTGACGAGTAGCCAATCAGATTGCAGCTAGTTAACAGGTAATGAGTTTTGGACATGCGCAGTGCTGTCTGGACATTTGTTGACATTGTGGGCTCATCAATTTCCACATAGCTTCCTCTAAAGCCAAGCTCATTTTAAACATAATTATAAAACTAGTATATTATAGCAGCTACTGACCTTTTTACTGTGAAATCTTTCTTAATAAAGGCAGAGACCATAGGATTTTATATCATGCAGAATTACAGGCCTAATCATCTCCAATTGATTCAGTACCAATAAATCCAACTTCTTTCTGCCGCCAGCTGGTGGGGTTTGGTCCCACTTATACCTTATATTCATGCCTTGCAGTTAATATAACATCTACCTTATACAATTAGCCGAAGTAGTGCAAACTGCTACAGCTGGAGATTTGTGTAAAACATATATTTCAATGAACTCAACATTGAAATCAGGACAGCAGATAGCTTGCACATCTTCCGGCGCAGACTGAAAACTCATCTCTTTCGACTCCACTTCGAGCGATAGAATTACTAACAAAGAATTGCTAACAAAGCACTTATATAGGCTACTAATAAAGGACTGGCTTATCTAAAGCCAGTTGAGTAGCACTTGAAATTGTTTTAGCTCTATGAAACCTGATGTACTTATATGATTCTGTTTTCTTCAAGTTTGTATCTTGTTGGTCGAATGCACTTATTGTAAGTCGCTTTGGATAAAAGCGTCAGCTAAATGCAATGTAATGTAATGTAACTCTGTTTAGATTATTTCCTGTGATTATTACATCAGAGATCAGTTTCCTGTTATGTGTGGAAGGCTTCTTTAAACTCCCACTATGTTATTAGCTCCAACCATCTGTAGCAATTATTAATGACAAATGAAATGCCGTTTCCAGCCCTAGTCTGTAATGATTTCCCTTAATCATAAAGGCTTTTAGCCCCATTAAGATGGACATAACTCACATAAAGTGCAAAGCCTGTTGGATGTACTATTAGTTTGACGTATGTTCACACTGAATATTGATTTTAATTTCCTCAGAAGAAGACTATGAGATCAGCTGCAGCACACAGGACAGTGTGAACAGCTATCATCCCATAACTCCACTGAAGGCCTCGGTGTCTTTTGCTGAATCCACCCACACCAATGGAAGTGCCGGATACTGCACCGGTATCCTCAGGACCGTCTCTGAGCCACAGGAGGACGAGTGGTGTGGGACATAAACAAGTAAATGTTGTTGTTACAGTGAATGATGAAGCTCAGAGTCATTCTCCGGCTTGGAGTTGCTGCAACAAGTTTTCAAAACCCAAAAAAAACAATTTGTTCCCCAAAACCTTTGATCTATTATGCAAAATCCACTTTTTCATGTATTTTATACATCAACATGTGTCCCCTCTGTGTAAAGAGATTCTCAAAGTTTCAGGAAAAAAGGTTCTCTCACTTTTTGTCCTGATCCATTTATATAAAAACCTGTCTGAAAATGAGCTGATCAGATTTTGGCCACTTTATGATGTCATAACGATTTGTATATATCTGAGACCTGTAATATATTGATGAAAAACTGCATAATAGGTGACCTTTTAAGGGTTGCTGAATGTTTGCTGCCCCCTGCAGGACTTTACTGAGAATTTCCGTGATATGTTTGTGAATAATTTACAATGAAGCTAACAGCTTTAAAGAGTATGTTTTTGTAAACACTGCTGCAGGCTCTGTTCCTGAGTCAGTCCGTTTGATGTGAAAAAAAAAAAAAAAAAAACCCTGTCTGTGGTTTCAGCTACAGCTCAGTGGTGTTGAATACGTTTGAGAATATCTTTCTTACTCAAGGCAAATCCCATCAAAAGGCCAAAGCCAACAATGGGTGTATCCTTCCAACAACTATACTAACATCTGATTCCTCTGGGCCTTAGAGCTCCATTGTTGAGCATAAACACACTGAACGAACAAGATAACATGTTACTCCATTACCAGGATGAACTTAGACACTTCATTTCTTTGCTGTTATTATACTGTTAATGTAAAATAATCTGCAGAAGAAAATAGACCCGGATAAATGCTGTATTTGGTCCTGTTTCAGCAACTATTGCTACAAACTATGCCCAGCTGTTTCAGAATAGAGTGAGACTTCTTTTATTTTAAATGAAATCAAATATTTGTCGGCAAGACCCGGGTGTTTTTTAATAATGTTACACATTCCTAAGAACAGATGGGTTTGGGCTGAGTGCCAAAGGGTGCAGAGGGGTGAGAAACGAAGAGACTGATTAACCCATTGTTGGCCTTTCCATGGGATTTGTTAAGAATATGAATATAAGAGTTGTGTAATGCTTAATGTAAAGAATATTTTTGTAATTAAAATGTGTAGGATATCAGATTGTACTTGTATTGTTCCAACCCCAGCCATTGATGCAGGTTGTGAATTATTCATGGCAGTTGTTGTTTTTTAAAGTCAATGTAATTACCCCTACATTTTAGTATTTATGAAACTATATACAACTTTAAGATGTGCAGCAATACCACACACACAGGTTAAAACAATTGCCAGAAAATCTTCTTTAAAAGTATTTTGTAAAGCACATTTTGACCCCTGATTCCTTAGTATTCTCAAGACTTGTAAAAAATGAAGATATGCAGCAATACCACATTTTAAATCTTGGAGAATGATGTGATGGAGTTAAAGATGCAACAGCGACGACTGACATATGTATGATTTGTTTATAACATTGTGAAGATAGATAGTGCAATATAAGGAAGTATGTAGCGGATGTTTACACAAGTCATTCTGCTCCTTCTGTTAGTACCACAACACAGAGACAATTAAGATTACATATTGGTATTTTCACATAATATTCATTCTTATGTTAAAAACAATAAACATGATTCGAATCTTGTTCCAAGTCCGTCTCTATATGCCATTAAGAATTCATTCGATACATTTTTGTTGCCGTTACTTCATTAAGCCTTCTTGAAGACTTGCTTGGCAGTGATGCCTGAGACTCTCATCTCCTGCAGAGAGGACAAGGGGGAGATAAAGGGGGGGGGGGGGAGGTGTTCAAATGAAGAGTGAGAATCAATAGGACAGTTTGGCACATCAAAGAAAAGTGAAATGAGTTATACACAAACCTGGGATTGTATCCAAAATACATCCCCAGTCATCCTTTGACCTCGTGATCAGCCTCCCACTCTTTCACCATCTACTTATCTCTCCTTCCCCCCTTCCTCCCCCATCTCCCCCTCACTCTTCATTATTCTCACGCTGCTCCCTTTCTCCTTCAATCCACTCTAAAATCCAGCGGCCTCATCTAAGCTGGCATTTTCTTTCTAAAGTCCCTCCTGAGTTTGGTTGCAACAACACATTTCTTTGTCTTAACTCTAAGAGCCTGTTTACACAATCCAGCAAAAGCTATTTAGCGGAACAATGCTGATTGTGTAACATCTTAATGAGCATTGACAGATTATCTACAAGCTTTAAGTCTTTTAAAGCAAAATGTGAAGACCGATGCTCTCGCTTGGTCTTGAGGCACTTTATTAAGACGTCCTTTCAAGCCTCTTTTGTGCTGGCCTTCCTTTGTAGGGTCCTACTTTCCCCCCTCAGGCATACACAACACTTTACAAACCTTCAAATTGAGAAATTCTTCCCACAAAGACGGTACAGTGCCACATAATAAAGCAACTTCCAAACCCTGTCTTATTGGCATGTTCTCTCTCATTTAGCTTTTCCATTTTGGCATCTTTCCCCCTAATGTTTTTAATTTCCTAGTTCCATATCCCCCCTCTGCTTTCCCCTCACTTCCTCTCCTTCCATCCACACATCCTTACCAAATGCAGCTTGTCCCCCTCCAGCCAGTGTGTCCATCCTCGTCCTTCTTTCTCTCCTTTCTGTACACAGAGCAGGTTGTCTCCCTCCCAGCTCACGGTAGTCTGCAGAGGCACAGAGAGAGGGAGTGTGCGTGACTTTACTATGTAAAGCAGCTCTCATGAGTCTGTGCAATGCAAACATGTGGCCATGAGTTACATTACATTACAATAAGCTATAGCTTTAATCCAAAGCTGCTTACAAAGAGAGCAATCAAGCATTAGGACACAAACCACAATCCTGCAAGTACATAAGATGAGCAACATACTGAAATGATTAGTTATGTTCAGATTGTTTGGGCCAAGGCGTAGTCAAAACAGATTTGATTTTAGTCGGCAAAATGAAGATGTGTTGACTTTCTTCTTTCCTGATATCGAAACCTTTTTTTTCCCCTTTTCTTTGCTCTTTTTTTTCTTTCGTTTGACCCCTGTATGATACTGCTGCTTATTCTGGTTCCTGAATGGATTTAAGAAACTGAAGACTGTGTCGAAAGAGAGTGATTTTTTTTGTTATTAGCTGCCTTCTCACACACATCCTTCAGTGTGGGATCAAGGCAGGATTAAAGCAGCAGGGGTTGATTTCAACACAAAAACTCAGCGGTATGTCTGTGGACTTTCCTGCAGACCTTCCTAAATAAAATAAAAAACACACAAAGCAAACTTGCATAACAAGAAATGATACTCACCATATCAAGGATGTACATGTCCAAACAAGTCAAACTGCATATTCAGAAACAACACACACACACCTGACAGGTACGGCCGTCCACTGGTCCCAGGTCTTCAGTGAACTCTTTCCCGATGGTGAAGTTCATGTTGAAGTTCTTGAAGGTGGTGAGGGTCCGGATCCTCATGTCCCCGCTGGCCGGGTCGTGGGTGATCTCTTTGCTGGGACTCAACAGGCACACTATCTTCCTCAGGGCGAAATTAATATCTGGGAGAAGATTAATAACAACAGGATTAATAAAACATGAGCTATACTTCATTGTTGCTTTATGAAAAAGGGGTGCTTTGTCTTGTCACACAGTGCAGACTGATGATACACCCCTCTGAGTGTGTGGGGTCACAGAGAGGACACGGTGGTGATTTCATTTGACTAGTGTGCAGATGCAAATCAAGATTCGAGCATCGTATCTAGTGATTTAAGATTAAAAAGACGACTACAAATCAATGAAAATAGTTTAAAATACAAAGTGCAACATAAGTCTGAATGTGTGTGTGTGTTAATGAGGAGGTTTAATAAATACAATAAGTCTGTTTAAAGTGCAGCTAATAAGATTTCAAGTCTTACCTAATGCTCCGAGGTAGGAGTCCATATTAGTCTGCTCCACCATATTAAACGTTCCGGAGTAATCAGGTTTAGACATTTTTGTTCTTTTTCCAAACTCAGAAAGCAGAAATATTTTCTTATCTCCTTCTTCTTGGCTTTGTTCTCCCTTCGAGTCAAGTCCCAGTGCAGATCTGCAGCCGCTTTGCTTGATATCAGTTTCTCTTACGCAACGTTGTCGAACAATGCCTTGGATTTTTTACGCGTAAAATGAGCTTGTTGCACGCTGTGTGTGTGTGAGTGTGTGAGAGTGTGTGTGCTGCAGGCTGCTCTACGGTGAACGTCTTCTCGGGTGAAGACTCTCTCTGGATTTGGGGGACTGTTTCCAGTCAGCTGTGAGTCACTGTGGAGGTTTTCGGAGGGGAGGTTCATTCATCTTTCCCAACGCGTTTCAGCCAGAGGATCATCTTCAGAGGCGGCGCTTCCGATCCATAAACATGTGGTGGTGGGGGGGGGGAGGAGTCGGAGATTTACTGGGCATGTACTGGTAGAACAATGAAACACAGTAGGCTACTACATTTACTCAAGTGTTGTAGCCTACCTAAGTCTTATTTTCAAATACTTAATCATTGCCATTTCCTACTGGGGATTGATTGCATTTCATTTTAAGATTGACTAGTGAACTAAAGAGTGCATCAGTACATTAAAGGGGCCCTTTTATGCTAATTTCATATTCACATTTGCATTTTGTACCTCCACTGTGACATGTCGCCATGCTTTAAGGTTCAAAAAGCTCTTTATTTTTCTCAAGTATTGTTCTGCCTGTGGTGCAGAACGTCTTTTCACCCTCTGTCTGTAACCAGAGCCCAAACAAAGTGATGTCAAGTATGTCAAGATGTTACAGAAGTAAACAAAGGAGTCCAATGGAGGAATTTCGGGCAGGAACAAACTACAGGAAAGGGAAAACCCCCAAAAGCCTAACAACTGTTTTATTTCAGAGTGAAGGAAGCATTTCTATTCAAATCTTTGCAACAAAACCCACAAATATCATGCATAATTACTGCACCAATGTTACAGTTTCTTTCTACCTCAGTCAATTATTAAACATATTTCACTAAACATTACTGATATAGTTCAGACAAGGGACCACATGCCACTAAATCCTCTTAAATGTATGTTATATTTTCTGTTAATATGAAAATAAAAGGATTTGTCATTATATAACTTCCTGCATGAGACTCAATGTCACAAGAACCCAGTAGCATTTAAAAGATATTAAAAAAAACATTTGATTCTAGGTACTTTGACAACCCATTATTTTTGATCTTGGAAACAGCATTTTAAAAAACACTGATGGAATTAAATGAGTGTCTGAAATGCGGATGTGAAGAACATCAGACTGTCTGGTGGAAGACTTCTGAGTAAGCACTGCGACAGTCTTATCTGGGTTCCTTTAAAGGTGTTAGCATTTGAGAAAGGTTAACATTTCCATATGAAAAGTAGTCTGCAGGAAAGAGAGAGAGGTTGGGCTGGTGAATTAAAATAACTGGTCTGAAAGGAAATTAGAACAAATGCATGTAAAATTAAACATATATTTTATTTTTTGGGTGGTTTAGCGACACAAAGAGAACTGAAGATATAAAAGTGTATTAAAAATCGGACTGTTATCATCAAATTGCCTGAGGTACAGTTGAATTGAAAAGCCACATTATGAAGCCACTTCTGTCTATCTCCTGCTCCTGATGCACTCCTGATATTCGATATATTAAGATAGAGGACTACAACGTTTAATCTAAAGCAACTTAAAGTAACGAAACATCTACTGCTAAAACCAACTGTTAAAAAGCTGATGAAACAAAGTCTAATAAAACCATATATCCTGATACTGAAGCATCCGACAAATTAAAGGATTTTTGTTCAGATAACTGAAATACAGAAAGACATTTACACAACAAATTGCTCACACATGACTTTATTCTCGACAAAGCATTCATGTCACACACCAAATGTAAACGCTGCTTATCTTGTCTCTAATTTCACAAATTCTTTTTATTTTGTCTTTATTAAAATATAAATCCTTTACCAAAAGAGTGCCTGCATAAATACAACAACATGACATTAATAAAACCTTTTTCTATCTCTTCTTCACGGAGCCGCATTTCTTGTCCGACTTTGACTTCTTCACATCCTTCTTTCCTTTGGACAGATTCTCGTAAAGCTCCTCCTTGTTTCTGAAAATGGAAGAAGAAAAAGCTGATTCGTGTTTCCTGTATGTATTTATACACCAGGCCAACATTGACTTTTCCCTGTGTTTTTTATATATCTGTTGTAATTTATTGTCTTTTATTGTGATTGTAGTAATAATGTAGTAAGTGATTATTACATGTCCAGCACTTTGGCCCGACCAAAAATCGCTTTTAAATGTGCTTTATAAATAAACTTTGATTTGATTTGATTTGAACATTGATTGGACACAGCTTGGTTAGAAGTGATAGAAAGACGCAGGGAGGTTAATGAAAGGTGCTGCTGCGATTTAAAAACTCAGCCGACCATGAATCAATCACTCAAAGCTGACAGGCAACCATTCAGAGGTCCAACTGGGTCAAGGTGTACAGTGTGCAGGGCTGAATTGCTCACTATTGTGTGCTGTTTGATTTCTCTCCTAATTACTACTCAGTTCATAGTGTAGTCCCAGCTCAGGGGTCACCATAACACTCAGCTTGTTTACTTCTGTTGGCCATTAAAGGAGCACTTCACAGATTGTACACATGATGTTCAGTTTACTAGTCTGTTGCTCTTGAGAGAACAATCTTCAGTTGCAATAAAGAAGCTTGATTGCATATGTAGGGCCAAATTAAAGCCCGAAAGTCAGGATGTCCAGATTTTTATTATTCGGCTTTCATATTCATCTTTATGGAAGTGCAACACTGATTAACTTGGGTGCCGCTTTGATGCACAACTGAGAAACAATTTATTTTCTCCACTATCAGGCAGCTGTGGCTCAGTGGGTAGTGTGCTGGACTTCTTTGGAGTTCACAAGAGTGTTATTCATTAGATGTTTCCCTCACTCAAGCCCAGTCAAATCAGCTTTATTGCCATTTTTTAGACCGTACTGCCAAGAACACAACGTTTAATTTACATAACAGTGTGTGTATGTGTGTCCATGTATGGTAATATGGCGTGTGGCGCAGTGGACTAGTGCGTTGGTGTTCGTATCAGGGGAGCACAGGTTCAAACCCCACTGCAGTCAGCATGTCGTTGTGTCCCTGGGCAAGACACTTCACCCCAAATGGCTCCTGTGGGGATTGTCCACAGTACTGAATGTATGTAAGTCGCTTTGGATAAAAGCGTCTAACAAATGACATGTAATGTAATGTAAAGTAATATCACAGAGCGTCACAGTAATCAAAGTTAAAGTCCTTTTGTTGTCATTACTTCTTCTCACAAATATATAAAGAAGAGTAAACAATACAGAGCATTCAGAGCCACAGTGTGATATACACACCAGATACAGTTATAACTCTTATTGGGGCTGAGAAGAGCAAATAAAACAAAGAAAGACAAACGCTCAGGTATATTGTGCAATACTGGCTGCTACTACATTTTCTATTGACTTTGATTATGCTGCTACTTGTTTTCACTCCAGTTTTTTTCAGGGTTCCTATTTTTTATTTTGTTATGCTTTTCATCAACAGTTTATTTCCCTGCTGTGGGGTGAATAAGGATTTATGACTCCGATTGCCTATCTGATGCCCAATCAGCCCCGACAGTGAGATGAAAGCAATAAATCACAGGGTTACGACTGATTTTGACCTCGATTGCCATCCAACACTAATAAAAAACTTTACTGTTTTCACTTTTGATGGATTCGTAGGTCCACCTTTCATCGGTACACACTTTTCTTCCAATCCCTCTAGCATTTTTTTTGATATTTTGTTGGATAGTAAACATTTAACCAATAAAGGCACTAATTAAAAAACTCACCAAACGGGAACCCATGTACACATGTTTGAGATATTTCAAGTGGTGTACCGACATACCACTGCTCTGAGGGCTCCTTGTTGAGAGCACAGTGCTGGTACATACTGGTACTTTCATACACTGTGGAAAAGCCTCTATAGGTCATATAATAGGTCATATAATAATCAGATTCTACACAAAGGTTCACTTGTTAGCTGCTTTTTTTGCATTTACTGCCAGTAGTTTAGTTATTGAAACTACAATAGAGTGTTTTTTTTACAAGGAAAAACATATTTTAAGTGACTCAAATGAATGCGACATTTACATGTTTTGCCGTTTAGTCCCCAGGATGAAAAAAGATTAAACGTAGGTGGAGTTTAGTTGAGTCTACAACGTGTCTTCCCTCCAAGGTTAAACTGTCTGCTGATATAAGGCTGAATCTGTGTTTTTGCTAAGAAAGTAGGGCAGCAGTGTGAGGTTTAGAGGAGCAATGTGAATGTATTAAGACCATCCAACACACACACACACACACACACACACACACACACACACACACACACACACACACACACACACACACACACACACACACACACACACACACACACACACACACACACACACACACACACACACACACACACACACACACACACACACACACACACACACACACACACACACACACACACACACACACACACACACACACACACACACTCACTTTGAGACCTTCCTGCTCGCTGGTTGGTGTTTGGTGAGTTGCAGATTTCCATACTCTGTCTCAGTTTCCTGGTGAAGGGAGAAACAGACACAGAAATGAGGATTACTCGAACACAGACAGGACATGCAGCTGTTTTTTAAATTCTATGTGGTTCGTTGTTTTCTCTCTAGGTCAATGTTCATCTTTTACAATCTCCTCTCTGATAACGTATCATTCTGCTGGCTTTAAACTCCTCAGCTGTGGCGTTCAAATCAGCAGCCAAAAGTGCAAAGGCCTATTGACATATTTATCTCTGTTTTCTTTTCTTGGAACGAGTCCCTGTTTGCCCTGTATCAATCCATGGTTCAGCCACAAGAAACATGTATCCCCTTGTCCTCTCTCTGTATCTTCTCTGTGGAGCTCACCATGGAGGCACAGTCTTTGGCCTTGGTGGTCTGAATGTACTCAGACACAGCCAGGTAGATGAACTTGTACTGGGCCTCCGTCTGCACCATGCCTGAGCGCTGCTCTCGCACCATCTGGATGTATTTTGGGATGTCAAGTTCACAGTCCAAACCTAGAGAGATATATTACATTAGAAAAAGCTAAATAAACTGTGTATTTATTTCCAGTGTTTTTACTCAATACATGTATCTTTTACTAATATTTTTGTATTACCTGTAGTGTCGATGGTCATGAGGATCATGTCGATCACTACAATCGTGCCCGTTCGACCAATTCCAGCACTGCACAAATACAGAGAAGAAACCAAGTTAATACATCTTACCATCAACAAATCAAGACTTAAACTGAACATCATTAACTCCACTAACAAAACTACAAGTCTGGAGCCATGCTTGCTGCTCTGTCAGGCTTTACTACAGCTAAATGCTAACGCCTGCATGCTAGCACGCTATTCAAGGTTCAAGGTTCAAGGTTCAAGGTTCTTTATTGTCAAACTGACATAGCTACAGAGTAATTATGTTGTTGAAAATCTTATGTCACAGACTTCTCCAACAATGCAACATAATAACAATACAGATAGCAAGAGCAATACAAAAAGAAAAATAGTTATAAAATAAAGTGAGCATGTGGAATAGTGCAGTACGAGTCTATATACAAGTTATTGGAATGATATATATTAGATATTAGATACATATTACTGAGTAGCAGATGAATGTTTTGAAATTGAAATTGCTAACGCTATTGCTAATAATACTAATATAAACACATTTAATTTATACAATTTATGCACTGTTTATGCACTCAAAGACACTTTATAATAAAAACACATTTTATACAGGCCTACAAACAAATATGCTAACATGCTTATGTTTAGCAGTTTGTTTGTTTTTTGTTTTTAGCTTTCCTAGATGTTTTGGTGAAACAAAGCATCTGAGTCAGGTTAGTAATGCTCCATCACATGTTCTACATCTATGACAGGGTGAATCTTAAACTGAAGCTTGACTTTAAAGCAACCCAACGGAAGTTTCATGTAAGTTTAGTTCTTTCACTCGTAGCTCGGGCTGCGGGGGTGCTAGAGACGGGAGCACGTTGATACGACCTTCCTAGCCGGAGATATGGCCGCATTTTACAATAAACTTCCGTTGGGTCGCTTAAAAACAAATATCGCAAATCGAATCGCAATATCTGTCAGAAAAATCGCAATTAGATTATTTTCCCAAATCGTGCAGCCCTAGTTGATACTCATGTCTGTTTCTCCATACTGGGCGTTGCTTACTGCCATCAAGGTAAATCACTGAAGATAAGTGCCTCATACAACCCCACTTGAAAAAATCCGAACTATGCCTATAAAGCAGTCACATGTCAAAAGGGGATTAGTTGTGTTAAGGGAAAGTATGGGAAAGTATGGGACAGCCAACAGCTGTACAGCTTTGTGAAAATGCTTACATACCAAAAATACTTAAATAAGAGTCTTGTAATAATTTAAACAGGTTTAACGTGGCACAAGCCGCCTCAGTATCCGTCACATCACACGGGGGAAATTCCATACGGATAAACTATAAGTGGACTCAAAAACTTTTGTTCAACAACTACTAATCTTAATCCTGAGAATATAATAATTGTAATCTTCTTTAAGGGTTATCAACTCACTTATCGTTCACTTAGTTCTGTGTCGTTTTTCACAACATGACACCAGTACAGATGTCTTTCCAGCACGTCACACATCTGAAGTTTGAGGATTTACGACCTTCCTGACACAGAGTGTGACCCGACATGAATAAACCAACATCTGGGAAACACATGGTGATCTCCTGCAAAACCTTTACAGGAAAAAATGCCAGAGGTGTGACCAAGGCCTTGTGTTGCAAATCCCAACGGGGTTTTAAGTCTCTGCACTTATTTAGGCAAGTCCCAATCCTACACTTTGAGTTTCAAGTCCCAATCCTACACTTTGAGTTTCAAGTCCCAATCCTACACTTTGAGTTTCAAGTCCCAATCCTACACTTTGAGTTTCAAGTCCCAATCCAAGTCATTTGTATCTCTGTCTGTAATTGTCCACCTGCACATTTTTTACATACAGCAATTTTGATTTTGTTCACCACGAGTAGTTTTTATTAATGAATGAAATAATCTTGCGCTAATTAACATAATTTGTTAATAGTTCAACTTGATTTGATGATTTTTTACGTTGGTCTTTTTATTTGTATTTCTGTATATGTTCACTTTGTTTTATGGGGTTTTATATTTGATATTTGATATTGTTGCATCGACTCAGTTGTCTTGTGTCTTACCTGTAAGAGAAACCATTATTTATTTTATTTGTATTATCATACCTTTTACCTCCTTGTGTCTATCTGATCAAATGTTATATTTTGCTGCATGCACCTTTAAAAGTTCTTAACAAATAATCTGAGGGGAATTTCTTGTTGTTTGTTTTAACTTGTGATGTGTCATTTTGTAAAGCACTTTGAGCTGCATGTGTTGTATGAAAAGTGCTATATAAATAAAGCTTTATTATTATTATTATTATGTTGGATTGATTAATACAAATTTGATCAGAAAAATGTCAACTTGCTAGAAATAAGAAGTATTAACGCAAGGTGATTAAGGGAATGATAGCAGCAAGTTCTCTGCTAAAAACCTCTCCACAATGAGCAGTGTATATATACCTGTATATCTATATTCTATTTTATTATATTTACTTGCACTATTGTCTGTTATATTGTGTTGCACTGCTGGGGGATTATGATTTTCATTGTCATAACTACACTGTAGCTATGCACAAATGACGATAAAAGCCTTGAATCTTGCGATGCTCTTCTTTCCCCAGGTGAGTCGTACCTGCAGTGGATGACCATGGGTCCAGCGTCGGGGTAGACTTCCTGTTTGGAGTTCACCTGACCGAGGAAACTGAGGACGCCGCCGGGCTCCTGAGGGACGCCGTGGTCCGGCCAGCTCATGTACTGGTAGTGCCAGATGGTGCGGGAAACTTTCGGCTGGGAGAGGAAAACATTATGGGGTTACGATTATCAAACACTCAAATCCAGCACCAGACACTTTTTATTTTTACACTGTTATGGACAGTCTTGCACTAATGGACATTCTCAAAGATATTGAAGTGACTCTTATTTTTGTATATATTGATTGTTGTGCTTTTCTTTAGGTCTTAATGTGTGCATATGTATAAATGTGTCTTTGATTGTGTATATATAGGTATATACATATTTGTTTTTGTATTCAGGATTGTGGGAAACGGTATTTCAATCTCTCTGTCTGTACAATAAAGTTGACTTTGAAATCAAAGAGGGTGTTTTGAGGTTACCTTGTTCACAAGAGCGATCTCCAAAACTCTGATCTTGTAATCTGTCGCTTCTCTCTCTGAAGTCAAGGTCACCACGAAGGGGCCGTAGTCCTTAGAGCTTTGAAGGTCGGGCCAATACGGCACACATTTATTCTGCACACAAAATAAAGAATATATAAAGTCAATTCTAACATATCTCCAGGGAACTGTTGTTTGAGGTTTTTTGTGGATTATTTTTGAACGTTTGGCATATTTGTATCATTTCTTAATTGGAACCTGTTGTTGTCTTTCGTATTTTTGGTACTTTGTGTGTTTTAATATGTTGCCCAAGCTCACCATGACACACAATGTTTATTGTAATGGGAATAGGTTCGCTCAACTAAGTCAAACGCTGAGTAAAAAAGTGTTCAGAAAGATCAAATGTAAGTCAGATCAGCTCTGATTTATTTATATCATCTGCCGGTTCATTCTTAAAAAGACATTTCACCAACAACAATAGAGAAAACTGCAACTAGAAACAACAAGGAGAGACATTTGATCTAAATATCTAAAGATGATGGAAGCCATTGCAGTGACCTAGGCTGGGATTTCAGTGTTTCCCATACATTGATTTATTTGTGGCGGACCGCTACAATTAAATATCGTCCGCCACAAATGGATCTCATAAAAAAGATGGATAGTGAGGTGCGCTGATGATCGGAAGGTTGCGAGTTCAAATCCCGCCTGGAATACCACTACTAGTGTGCCCTTGAGTAAGGCACTTAGCCCTCAGTTACTCCAGGGGGAACGTCCCTGTAATTGGTCATTGTAAGTCGCTTTAGAATAACGCGTCTGCTAAATGCCTAAATTGTAAATTATATTTTTGGGAGAATAAACCCCACAGATCCTCCGATGTGTCTCACTCATTAACAACGCAACACAGAGCAACAAGAACGTTGTCTACAGTAGCCATGAACTCGCATGTATTTTCTTATTTGAGGGGGGGGGGTGGATGCGTGGGCCACCCGACTAGGTTAAGAGGCCTTTGGCTTTGGGGTGGGGGGGTGGGTGCGGTGCCCCCACAAATAGAATCAAATTCTGTGGGAAACACTGGATTTATATTTACAGTGTGCTGCTGCATATTCCATAAAAGACAACAGTGTTCAATAGGAGTATGTTTCCAAACATGCGTGACTTAAGGAAGGGATTTCCGTTATTAAATATCAACCAGATATTTTGGCCTTTTTAGTGTTTCATGCTTTCAGTTCAAATGATTTTCAAGAGATCCCGACTCCTGGGTGAAATCTGGGAAAAATATAAACGCTGTCAGTATTTCAGAAAAGACACATAATGTAAAAACCCTTAATACTGACCCGGCCTTTCTCGACCTCTCGTGTCGTCATGACGATCACCCTGCTGTTCTCCTGCCACACCATCTGCCAGAAATCGTTGACAGTTGTTGCCAGGCAACCCTGGGTGGCGATGTAAACTTTAGGTTCGCCGCTCTCCGACAGTTTGTCCGACAGTTTGTTCTGGGGGAAAACAACAACAAATACAGGAATAAAGGATTGTGGGAAACGGTATTTTGATCTCACTGTCTGTACACACAAACTGAAAGATTGACAGTAAAAGACTTTGACTTTGAAAGAATAGTAAAAAAAAAAAAAAAGAGCATTTCTGAGGATTATTGTTGTTGGGATTTTGTCTTTTTTTGTGTTATTTTGAGACTTACTTTCACGTAGTTGGCGTTGATGTAATCGGAACCCACGACCTCGGGGTCCGTGTCCTGCAGGGCGACCCGGGTCTCGTTGACTTGGTTGAAGAAGAAGAACAATTGGTTAATGTCAGCGATCAAAACGTCTCATGAGATTTGGTTAATGAGGAAGATTGAAAACTCACAGGGAAGAATATTCTTGTATCTGTTTTTGCTCTTGTTTTCTGGCCTCTGACCCTCCTCTCGGCTCTTCTTCACCTTCGCCTCGAGCTTTTGAAGAGCCTGGCGGGACAAAGAGACGACTGTGTTACACTAAGTGTGCCCTAAATTAAAGCTAATAATATATAGTATGTGTTTTATACTAATTCTTTGCCGTTAGTATATAAGAGAGGAACATATATGACATTATTCCATTCAAATCAAACTATGACTCTGCAACTACCAATAGTGGAAAGTGTCCACACTGAAGAATAGACACTTAAGCAATTAATGGATCAGTCGTTTGTCAGAAAAATCCTGATTTTGAGGCTTTGTTTGTAAATGTCTAAACGTCATTTAGTTTTGGACCACTCTAGGAAAAATGAAGTAACGATTAGCCTTTTTTTTTTACAATTTCCTGACATTTTGTAGACCGAATTAACGAGAAAAACATCTAGTCAACATTAAATTAGTTTAGCAATGTAGTCAACACCACCTGCAATTATTAACTCTTTAATTGAATGTCATTCTGGTTTGTTATGTAGTGTTTTAAGTATCATTTCTCTTGCAGTGCACTCTTTACTCAAATCCTGCTGTGACTTATTACGCAATCTCCACCGCCACACGATGGTAGCATTGCACCTGTAGTCCTCCACAGTCCCTGAAGTCAGGAAGTGACTTTATACACAGTCAATCTGTCCTAAAAAGTCTGAAGCATACTTTACTTTCCCCCACTTCAGAGCACCACTGTGGTTCTTGTATCACAGACAAAAGCATCAATGTTGTACGTCTCTTGTTTTTGTTTTTTGATGGCAAAAGGAGTAGCTCTACTCATCTCATTGCACCTATATAATGACAATAAAGGATTCTATCTATCTATCTATCTATCTATCTATCTATCTATCTATCTATCTATCTATCTATCTATCTATCTATCTATAGGAAACATAACTAAGACTGGGGTCAAATCTTACGTCAAACTCCTCCCAGAATCCGGCCTTGGTCTTCTCGCCCTCGCCCTCCTGCGGCTGCTGCGTCAGGTCCAGCTGCCTCACCCGGCTGTCGATGTCTGCCGCGTTCAACCGGGTGGAGAAATACGGCTGCAGAGAGGGGAAGAGACAAGAGACCATGTTCAGGTTGTTTATCTTATTTCAAATCACATATTATTGTTATTAACATGGTTGTTTAAAGGTCCACTGTTATACCACTTTGTACAAATGTGCTTTGAAAAATACTGCTCATGCCAATAAAGCTTCTTGGAGTTTGAATGTGAGAGAGAGAGACCAACTAAACTTTAATGTGATTATTCACAAAAAATATGTATTAATTACCTGGGCTGTTTTTATTATCTATTTTTTATTATTATTTATCTATTTTTTATTAACACAAAGAATATACTTTTAGTAATTACCTGGGTTATTTTTCTAATGACTATTTTTAGGATTCAAGGCACAGATATTTTGATGTATACTGTATATCATTTTTTTTGACAAAGTACATGTATGGTCAAAATAGGTCGAGATAAAAAATATATATATTACATTACATGTTACTTGTTAGACGCTTTTATCCAAAGCGACTTACATACTCAGTACTGTGGACAATCCCCACAGGAGCAACTTGGGGTGAAGTGTCTCAGGGACACAACGACATGCTGACTGCAGTGGGGTTTGAACCTGTGCCCCCCTGATACGAACACCAACACACTATTCCACTGCGCCACACGCCATATTACCATACATGGACACACATACACACACTGTTATGTAAATTAAACGTTGTGTTCTTGGCAGTACGGTCTAAAAAATGTCAATAAAGCTGATTTGACTGGGCTTGAGTGAGGGAAACATCTAATGAATAACACTCTTGTGAACTCCAAACACAACATCATCTTATAGGTCAACAGAGCTGTGAGCAACGTTTCCTATCTGTGGGCTGCGCTGCTAAAATAAATGACCTGTTTTCGGTTGTTCACAGCGGACTGACGCTCACTTTGGATCTCATTCTGACATGTTTTATCATTTGGAAAATATGCACCTGTTTGAGATGCACCCAGTTCCCGGAGATCTCCTCGATGCCTTTACGTTTGTAAAACTCCACCAGGTCTGTGAGCGTGTCGAACATCTCTGAACCGCCCACTGTGTACCTGTCGTTCTGTACACACACGGGAAAACATGAGTCGTCAGGGAACACACACATCTATTTATACGTTGATTTGATTGGAACAGATGACAGTTGTAAAAATGCTGGAGCTGGAAAAAGTGCTATTTAAGATCCAGAGTCATTAGGCAGGAGGAAATAACACACTAATACAGATAAAGTAAGTACAGATAAACAATACATATATAAGTAAAGACTTCAATTGTACTACATGTCAAGTAAAAAAATACTTTAAGCCATTATAGGGATACATAAACAGGTTATGTTAGTAATAAAGTTCAAAAGAGAAGCAATCAAAATAAAAACAAGGGTGCTTCAATAAAATAAGAAAACCCACAATTTGTGCTTTTTATCAAGATTTAAATGAATAGGATAGTAATTAAAAATATTATAATAGAGCGTTTTGTGACACAGACTTCCAGCCAACACTTAAAGTATTTAATACATAGTGAGTTTGATTGTGATTGACTTCTATCTAACACATTAATCCAATAATTAAAACCGTTTTACTGCTGATAAAATGAATGTGCGTTGTGTAAAACACACGCTTGATTACTGATGTATTTGCTGACACCTTAGAGCTGAGTACAGTTTGGAAACTAACCTAATCTTCTCCACACGCTCATGAAAAGCCGTTTGTAATCGCTCAGCTAATCTCAGGATAATCTGCGGCACCTCGGCGCTGCACACAAACAATGGCTTCCATTTGAATGACGTCTGTGTTTCCTACGACGGGTTAAAATAAACCAAATGCAAAAGCCCTGGTGCTGACGGAAAGACACAATCTATGGAAATGAGTTTCAGAGGACGGCTGTGTGACCTCCTGCGAACATCATAACCACACATTTGATAAGAGTTACTGGTGAAAATCTAATATCACAGATTCTTTATCGTTTCCTGTCCTGAGCGAGGCCAAAGGTCGTCAACATCAGAGCTCTTTACATATTCAGAAAGTACAAGTAGTACAAATTAAATCTAGAAGGCAGCTTTTATTAAAATTCAAGGCAATTCGGTCGATATTTTTAAATGACAGCGGAAAACATATTTTTAAACAAAATAGTTAAAATATGTTCCACTTTTGTAATGTTTTATTTATTTATTTGTATTTATTTGCATTATTTTATAGTATTTTTTTTTTATGTCTTACTTTTATTAATAGGGTTTTTATTTTTGGATTATTTTATTGCACTTGTATTTCATCCCCACTTTTACTGGTTTTAATGGAAACATTTAGATGATTCTATCGTGACGTGCTTTAACTCAAAATGAATGTCTTAGTTTTACTTCTGGTGTTTGACACATTGTTTATTTCTTTTTATACAAAGTATGACATGTATGCCCAATAGAGTTGAAATATGAGAAAAAGTATTGTATTGCATAAGACAGGGGAACTGAGTACACATTTCAGAGTGTACTACACAACTGTGGGAATACCCTGCAGTATTTCACATGATGTCAAACCCTATTTCCATGCACCCGTTATCTTGCATGGAACACACACACACACACACACACACACACACACACACACACACACACACACACACACACACACACACACACACACACACACACACACACACACACACACACACACACACACACACACACACACACACACACACACACACACACACACACACACACACACAAGTGCTGTTGAGTATTTCCATTTTATATTACTTCTACTCTACTACATTTTGGAGGAAAATAGTGTACTTTTAGCTACTTTTGACATTTAAAAACCCATGACATTTTTTATATATGATGCGGCACTGTGCTGTACTGAAACATTTTTGGCTAAACATTTTACTTAAATACGATTTTGAAATCCCCCATACGTCTCCAACCAGTACCTGGTCCCACACTTAACCAACCAACCAACCAACCAACCCCACACCCACACACCCACACACACACACCCACACACCCACACACCCACACACACACACACACACACACACACACACACACACACACACACACACACACACACACACACACACACTCCTACCTGACACATGATCTTGATGTGGGACACCCTCTTGGCCCCCGTCTTGCTCGTCTCCTCCGTCAGCACCGACAGGACGAAGTCTCCAGGTTTGGACAGAGACTCTCTCACCAGGAAGGTCCCCGGGTCGTCCCGCACACACAGCAGCTTCTCTGCATTGGGCCCTGAGAGGTGACCGTGGTACCACCTGAGACACACACACACACACACACACACACACACACACACACACACACACACACACACACACACACACTGCTGTTATACACTGGGTACACATCTCTGAAGATATTCCTGCCCTGAGATACATTTAGGTTGCTGCTTTGTGGTGCTGTGACCTGCAGAAATTCAATTCAAGGCTTTATTGTCATTAGCACTTTAGCTACAGTGTAGATATGTCAATGAACAACCGAAGTCACAGGCTCCTCCAACAGTGGGACATATATATATATATATAGTTATGGACGTTCTTTTAAAAAGTTCAGGTGTTTAATAGTCTTAAAAGGTCCCCTCTGTCTCGTGCAGATAGGTGATGTTAAAGCATTTCATGAGATTCTGTTTATTCGTATTGTGTATTTGATAGTGACACCATTTTCTATTCATGCAAAATGTTTTAATGTTTTTATGTGATAAAAGAATAATTAAAACAAATCGAATCATTAAAGAATATCTAATCTAATCCAATGAGATGATGCACAGGTCCTCCTCTTCAAATAAATATAATGCTCATATGTAACTAAATGAATTGTCAGACTCTTACTCTACTTACTATTTTGTTTATTTATATTTCTTGCGTACATTCTTTCTCACAATAGCTTTTTGAAATCCTTTAGTTTTAACTGAATTGCTCTAAGTGTATTTATGAAAGCACCCTAACACCATAAAGCTAATTCCTTGTTTGCGTAAACCCTTGGAATAAAAGCAGAATCTGATCATAATGATGTCTTTAAAGGAAAACTTCACCTACAAAATTACTATTTATAATTAAATAACTCAACCACTGTTAAAGGTGGGGTAGGTAAGTTTGAGAAACCGGCTCGAGATACACTTCTTGTTATATTCCATGGAATGCTCTTAACATCCCGATAGCAATGAATATCTTAAGTGCTTTGACAAAAAATACATAAAAAAACGTCATCAGTGGAAGCCGTAGTACTGTAAAAAGCACGACCAATCGTTTTAGCCGGCCCGGCTAAAATAACTGGATGGCCTACCTGCCTGTCAGCCTTCCATCTGTGCACAAACTTATCTCGTGCCCTCATTGGTCATGTGCGCGTTCGTGTGTGTTGGAGGAGGGGCTCTGTAAGGAAGTGGCAGATTTTCTCCGGCTGTGTATTTTCAAATTCTAGCGATCTCGAGCCGGTTTCTCAAACTTACCTACCCTACCTTTAATTGAACTCTTAAAGAAAACTCAGTTAATAAAGAATCCAAAAACCTAAAGTGCATTGAAGTAAATTGGGGCTGCCTTTTACTCACAACTTCAAACATACAATCCAAGTCTGATGTATTCAGTCGTATGCTCAATACAGTTTCCCACACACATGCATGAACTCTAAACCCTCCCTATTTAAAACACTTCTGCAAAAACATTGTTTCACTTGTGCAGGCGCACTACACCTCATATATTAAACAATAAGGTTGAAGAGACAATGCATGTTTTTATATTAGCTTTCAAAACACTGGATAAATGAGACACATGTTGTTTGAGAGATAACACAAAATATGTTTTAACATGGATTCTCTCTTGCCCTTATTTCGATTTTCTTTAAGGGTTTCTTTCGCTGTGGAGGCGTGCAAGAATTCAAAGCAACACGCGGCAAGTAGAAGATATCTAACTGGTTCTTTTGTAAGTGAAGCACTCCCTTTTTCATCTCGTGAAATGCATTTAAATGTCAACTACCTGCATGATGCAATAATACATGCTAACACAGGAAACTAATATACAAATGGTCCTTTTGGGGGGTGAGGTATTCCAGCAACCAACAAAGAACAAGCAGTCTTCTTACTGTATGTGAGCGTAGTTGAATGTTTGTCTGTGAATAGCGTGTGTTAAAGTGTATTCAGGGCTAAGCGGTTGTCTGCCTCTCACTGATGTGGTGCACGCGACCGTTTCTCTCCACACACTGAGCACAAATAGAAAGCCACAACAGAATCAGGTGCATTCGACGTATACATGCAGTTAAAAACAGCAAGTACACATGTTGCTATTACAGGCCGCCATATTTCTGTCCCCCGGTGTACTCTCTCTGTGTGTCTGTGTGTCTGTGTGTGTGTGTGTGTGTGTGTGTGTGTGTGTGTGTGTGTGTGTGTGTGTGTGTGTGTGTGTGTGTGTGTGTGTGTGTGTGTGTGTGTGTGTGTGTGTGTGTGTGTAAGTGTGTAAGTGTGTAAGTGTGTGTAAGTGTGAAGTGTGTGTGTGCAAGAGTGACGGCTCACTCGGTCAGGTTGGGCTGCAACTTAAATTTAGGCACTGTTCTCGATTTCTTCTTCTAAACTTCCTGTTATGCGGTCGGAAAATTTCTGATGGCAGATTTCGTGGCTGAAGAGGACAGATTATTTATAGCCTTCGCACGCACACACACACACACACACACACACACACACACACACACACACACACACACACACACACCACACACACACACACACACACACACACACACACACACACACACACACACACACACACACACACACACACACACACACACACACACACACACACACACACACACACACACACACACACACACACACACACACCTCTCTTACTTCTAAAATCACTATTTATGTTTTTTTTACAGAAGCACCTCATGGTTATTATTTACAACAGGTTGCGTGGAGCACCTGCAGACTACAAAGCTAAATAAAAAAAGTTCTGTCCATGCACTTTTGCAGAAGATAAGGGACAGCTTGTGCAAGGGAATCATTTATTTAAAACTGTCAAACAATTTAAAAAAGGCAACAATTAAACTATGCACATCCAAGATTAACACGCAATCATCAACCTGCAATAAAGTGCCATTCAATTCAACAACTTAACCTTTCCTCTTGGCTGAGAAGAGATAAGCCTCCAGATACATGGCATAAACGCTGACCTGCTTCTGTGCGTGTGTGCGTGTGTGCGTGTGCGTGTGCGTGTGCGTGTGTGTGTGTGTGCGCGTGTGTGTGTGTGTGTGTGTGTGTGCTTTAAGATGAGAGACTAAGATTGTGTGAGATGAGGAAGAGGCAGCCAGCGAGTGAGCAAGAACTCGATGGAGTGTGCAATAAGAGGAAGACGCGCCGGGTCTGGCCACTGCTTTCAAATGTGTCAAAACTTAAAGTTTCCAACCGCAGAAACAAAAGGGAAGTTAGACAACTGACAGAGAGAGAAGGACGAAGGGGGGCAGAGCTTCCAGCAAGGGTGAAGTACACAGTCACACACACACATGCGCACACACACACACACAATAGAAAGTCCTCCTTGACTCATAAAGGGAGTTCATGCCGATGAGCTTATCAGGTGGACATTAACCTACTTTAAGCAGTTGCACAATGTTTCCAGTTTATAGAAAAAGGTCCATTAATAATCAAACTCATGCAGTGAATTTAAATATGCATTGTGAGCTAATTAGAATAAAAAGTATAAGGATAAATGGAGGGTTTTTAAAGTGCAAACAGATTGAGATTTGTATCTTGTTCACGGAAACAGCCTGGAGAAGTATTTGATGTGGTTTGCAGATGTTAGAAAATATCTGTGGAAATAATCTAGTGACTATATTTAGCAAACAGAGGTGCTTACGAGTTTCTGAAAGCTACGATTACAAAGAACGACATTAAAAATAGCAAAACAGGGATAAGTGCTTTAAGTCCTATATGTCAAAATATATTTTGAAGAAGACGTTATGTCTGTTGCTCTGTGTATATGTTCAGTTAAAAGCTGCTTATGTTCCGTTTGAGGGTATTTAGTGAATAGGATGAGTGTGAATAAAAGTTAGGTGTTTTACTTAAAATCATAAAACAATCTCAAAAATCTAAACAGTGAAGTTTCACATCAAATAGAAGCACGATTATTCCTCACAAAAGGATGTTTTCTGATGTTGACTATAAAATCGTATTCTGCGAGTAACTACAGCTGACAGTCCTCTGGAAAAGCGTTAGGTGCCACCATGAAACAGCCACTTCACTTAATGTGGAAGTGCTCTCGTCTCCTTTTTTGAAAACAAGAAATATAATGTGTTGGCGAGTGGTTGCATCATCTATTTCCAGTATCTGTGTGTGTTAAGAAACAGGTCAAAGAGCTTATAAATAAGCATGTTTCCCATCATTGCAGGAGTCAGACAAAGCCTTTGATTCAGTAAGCAAACGGAGTATTCATTATTAAGAGAAATCCATTTAACATTTGTTACAAATTGGATAAAGATTGAAGACATTTTTCTTAAATATAATAGGAAGTAAATATCCTTGAGTTGAAGATGTCCCGCTCCTTTTTGGTCACATTCATGTTGTTTATTGTGTAACTTTATGAACTAATTGTTTGTGTGAAGGTTTGTTCTGTTATCTATTCCTCTATGATTATATTGTTGTGTTGCATACGTCACTTTTTACTAAATCAAATATTTGGTCTTTAGATGTTTGCAAATTCACAGATTTCTGCTTTTTTAATGAGGGTGATAAGAAGAGATATTTTATTTAATCAACCACTAATCATGCTTGAGCGTTTAAACCGATCTGTTGGAGATATTTCACTTAAAAAATCCAGAAATATACAAATGTTTCCATCTTGAATGCAGCAGAGGTTTAAAGTCTAACCAAATGCACAACTGAACTTAAATGAAATACACAAGTTAGTATAAAGTATATTCTCCACGGCTGTGAACTCTCGGGTCTCGGGGTGTTTGTTTTCACTGACTCACAGAGTGACAAACACGCTATTATTAGACCTAAAATGTATTTTCTAAAAGCTTCTAATAAAACATCTTCACCCCTCGAGGAAAGTATGAAACCCCATGGAATACCACGGTGAAAAGGACAATTATTCTCTGCAGTAAATAAACAACGAGAGGAAATAAAGCTCGTCATAGTTTAATTAAACACTGAACTCAACTAAAGTGTAGGTGGAGGAAGCTGTGCGTGCGTGCGTGCGTGCGTGCGTGCGTGCGTGCGTGCGTGTGTGCGTGCGTCCGTGCGTGCGTGCGTGTTCAATATGAACCTACAGGAAGAGTAGTGAAGTACATTTACTCCAGTAAAATGTTGAGTTACGTGTACTTTACCTAAATATTTCCATTTCATACTCCTTCATACTTTTATTCCACAACATTGTGGAAGCCAATATTTTAATGTTTTACTCCATAACAGCTTTATTTATTCGTAGCTTGATAGATTTAGATTATTAGCTAATACAAACCAAACATAAAATAAAAAAATACACTATGTCATATAATTATAGGTAAAGATATCTGGCAGAAGAATACACCGTTTTTAAAACCAGCTCCCTTTCACCAGCTGTGATGAACACATGAATGCATCATTAATCATAATGCAGTAGTATGTATGATATGAAATGGGCCACAAGGCATAACGAGTACTTTTACTTTTAGTACTTTTAGTATACGTTAAGGCCAATACTTTTGTACTTTGATTTTAAATGCAAGACTTTAACTTGTAACACAGTATTTTGACATGTTATCATTGTTACTTCAGCTTTCTTCCACCTCTGCTTCTTAGCTCTAGCTAGCTAACAAAATGCTACATTTTACAAATTAAATACGTAACCTTATGTCGGCACAAAAATACAAATAATGTGGTTATTCAAGTTATTATATTATCATCCTGAGGGGCAAACATGTTTTTAATTGAATGAAAATCTATCCTGCCTTTTAAATGGAGTATTTTCACAATTTACAAATGTTTTTTAGTTTGTTTTGTATATTTGAATTTGGTGTAAATTCTTTAATCTTAAAATGTCTTATAATCGTTATATATAAGCAAACTCCTTGCATGTGTAAACGTACCTGGCTATAAACATGATTCTGATGGTCTTGGTGGAGGAAGTATGCAGATGTTTTTTCATAATGTCATTTCATAATATGTTTCTTAATGCTCTTAAGGTCCTTGGCGCCTTTCAAAGCACCTAAGGACACCGTACAATTCATAAAATATTCTAAGGAAAGGTTTAAGACAGGACAAAAGGACCGTAACAGGGACCATGTAGGGAAACAGGGGACAAGTAGCACTACAGTGAGCAGAGAGAGTGCACCCACCTCTCAGTGGTGGGGTCGGAGCAGTTCAGAGGGTATTTGAGCTCGATCAGGGTGCAGTCCTTGTCCTGCAGGATGCCGTTCTCCTGCGTGTAATACTCCACCAGCTCGGACAGCGTGGCGAACTTCTCCCCGCCGTACAGGTCGTAGTAATCCCCCGTGTTCTGGATCCGGATGTGGGTCACCTGCTCGCCCACCCTGAGGGGAAACAACCGAAGAAAATACATGTAAACCCCAGTTTTATGTCAGGTACGCCGTTCTTAGGAGCGACAATATCTAAATATTTGACTTCATACCTGATTTCTTTCCTGCAACCAAACATGCTACTTTCACATTCAATTGTTGAATAATTCCTTAGAATCAATTCCCAATTCAGACCAAAACCTCCCAGATTACAGTCAAATAAAACATGACAGGAATGATAGTTCAAACGGCATTAAGATATTTCTTCATGGTTTATTTGCTCTTTTAGTAAAATTCACACGGCGCACAAACGACACAAATCAAATCCTTCAATTGATATTTGATTCTTACAGATTATACTGCTGAAAATGTGTTTGGAATAAAGTAGCTTCATCTGTAGTTTCGGTTTCTAGGTCCTCTTTTATATCATAATAAATCAAATACTGCCTGCCTTATAATAATCATTTCAATGTGGAGTTACCGCTAATCTAATTTAAGACCAGGAAGCAGAGTATTAATGTTTATGGTTAACTGTATTCGTACAAAAGCTGTTAGATAATCCCTCATCCTGCCGGTGATAACACGGAGATCAAAGTGACAGACCTGCTAACCTGGAAGTTGCATAGTTCATTGGTTTGTTTATACATTTACTTTTTAGCATAAACAGTGTCAAATATACAATGAGAAAGGCAGTCATTTTGATATGACGTTTTTAGTGATTTCCCCTGCCTCAATACAGCTGACAGGGGGAAAGTACATATAACAGGAAAAACAATAATGTATGTATTCAGTTTAAAGACTCCAGTTGATCTAATGCTTTTGCCTTTGGGACGTAGGATGACGAGACATGCAAAAACGTGTCGTGTGAGCCTTCACTCTTGCACACACACTTCACACACTCCACACACACACACACACAAGCATAATTTCTTGTGTTCTTTAAAATGTACGTAGAAGAGCCATGAGATGCGCTTACAGAACTTAAAATAGAGTAGTATGTATTCTCCTCTGTGGAGATATAAAAGCAGAGATGGCTAAAGTACACACATCCTTTACTCAAGTAGAAGTACAGATACTCGTGTTTAAAAATACTATGGTAAAAGTAGAAGTACTGACTAAACTTCTTTACTCAAGTAAAAGTAAAGAGGCTTTGAAATGTACTTAAGTAAAAAGTACCCATAACTAGCAGCTGTTTTAAAGAGTACCTGACCTCCCTTTATATTAATAGAACAATAATGTCATTGTTAGCTAATGAATGTTTCCATGCTGAACAACGGCAACATGACAACGTTTTCATTGGTCCCTCTTCTTTAGAGAAGACCAGGAAATGATGGATACACGGATCGTGTTCAAATCAATAGGCACGCAATGACTCTAAATAATAATGATCACGCCACCAAACACACATTCAAACTAAAGGAACCAGCCTGTTTGGGAAATGTAACAAGTAGAAAGTTCAGGTATTTGTGTTCAACATGTAAGAAGTAGAAAGTACAGGTATTTGTGTTCAAAATGTAAGAAGTAGAAAGTTCAGGTATTTGTGTTCAAAATGTAAGAAGTAGAAAGTAAAAAGTCAGAAAAATAAGTAGTGGAGTAAAGTACTGATACCAGAAAAATGTACTTAAGTACAGTAATGAAGTATTTGTACTCCACTACTTCCACCTCTGGATAAAAGAGATATTTGTGGTGTTTTTCAGCTTTGTCACCTGACAGAGAGGGAGAAATCTCCGGCGATTTTCTTGCTGGGTCGAGCCAGAAAGCTGCCGTGAATCCCCCGAATCTTCAGCATCTCCTCGGCCTGCAGGCCTGTGATGTCTCTGTGGAACCACCTACACACACACACACACACACACACACACACACACACACACACACACACACACACACACACACACACGAATATAAATACTGCAACCAGTACACAGAGATACAACAAAGAGGCATTTACACGCAGTAACGTCCACCACGTGTTATTTTCTCACTACAGAGAGGAACACGATGGGTAAGAGTTTCTTTATTAAGGTCTCGTAAATGTGAAAATGTCTCTTCATCTTTCCACGTTTCACTTAAGTTTGAAGGATACACACATCACTGTTGTGTGTGTGGTAACTTTTTACAAGCATCTGTCATTTGTTGTGGTCTTTTTCTTAATGAAATGATAGGTTGTTTAATTGGTAGCGTAACTAATATTGAAACTAATCATTTAAAGCCCAGTTTCTTTTTTTACGGTCTGTATTATTCATCACAAAAACCAAACTTCAAATGCTTTGTTTTCTTCTACGCCCGATTTAATTCACCTTTGATCACAAACATTATATTTTACCGATGTATTAACATTATCTCTACAACTGGTGCAATAAAAGACAGTTTTTCCGACTAAAATATCACCAAGCTTGTTTTAAATCGACACTACTTTAACCAAACGCCCCTTTCAACAAAATGTACATTTCTCAGTGTAACAGGATTGCGTCAGTTCAGTTGAAATATCTATTTTATCATTTCCTGGAGCCCTTTGCGGTTGGAAAAAGTCCGAGTTGGTCAAACTTGGTCAGACTACACACGTTTTTTTTTTAAAGTAACGCCTTGCAAAGAAGCTACAATGCAAACAGAATAGACTTTGGGTATTTGTCGTTATGATAGCTCTCCTGCAACCTAGCATGCTGCTTACACATTATTTACTGAATAATTTCTTTACAGTTGCAGAGTAAAAATGCACAATTTAAAGCTTTAAATGCTAGAAAATACAAATTGTAACTGCTGTAATGCAAATTTAGATTGTGTTTGCACTTAAATATATGTTTCCCCTCTGAAAAAAATCATTTTATACGACAAATATGTTAAGAAATAAGATCTGATCGACACAGTCACAGAAGGAAAACGTGATAAACTCAAAGTAAAGGGAACATTGCATGTCAAGGGTACAACAAGAAGTGTTTCTTACTCAACCTCGGAGCTAAATCATCCTTTATGACACATTTTCTTTACGCAAACAGACACAGAAATCACATGATAGAGGAACAGAGCAGGACAGCAGAGAAGGAGGAATGGAAACAGAGAAGTTGTCATCACGCCTTGCACAAAACACAACCGACTGAAACGAGCATTTCATCGTCCGGCGGAGCGCGGGGGGGGGGGGGGGGGGGTAGACTCACCGAACCATGATGCCTTTTCTCTTCTTCTGGGACCAAACACAGGGAGAGAGTCACGTGTACCTGCACATGTGCACAGTATATGTTGAATTAAAAAAAAAAACACCCAGTTCCTCAATAGTTCCTCACTTTACACGCTAAATAACTTTATTCTCTTGCATAGAAACAACTCTATCGCTTTGTATCACCCTATAACTACAAAACATCTGTCAAACTACCCGCCTTCTCCTCTTCTCTTCCCTCCACCCAACCCTGCGTCCCGATAGGAAAGCACTTACTCTTCTCAGCGTCCTCTGAACCCTTCTGACTCTCTCGGAGACGCTCGCTCTGTAGACGTCTCTCTGACCGTCCTCTTTCGGTGTCGCTTCGGTGTCGCTTCTCTCTCTCTCTCTCTCTCTCTCTCTCTCTCTCTCTCCCTCCCCTCTTCCTTCCTTCTTACATCTCCTTTCACAAAACAGTGAAAGCAAGACAGGAACCAAAATAGCTGACAGGCCGGAATCCCACCAACAGATACAGACGTGTCTCTTTTTCTGTTTTTTCAAAGACGACCAAAATAAAAAGTCATATTTAAGAGCAAAGTGAGACCAAACTGGTGGAAATGATGTCGTTTACTTGATAAAAAACCCCAAAAGGAAGGTTGAAATTTCTCCATTCAGCGGTGAATCATGACCCAGAGTCCAGTAATTCCTTTTGTTGCAGGAATAATCCACAAAATGTCCAATTTGAGCTTCTCTTGCCTCCGTTTGTGTCTCAGCCAGACATTAGAAAAAGCTTTTCCTCTGCGCCTGCCCACCTGCCTGTCTGCTACCACTGTTGCCTTTTTGTTCTTTACTTCCAGGTGTGTGTGTGTGTGTGTGTGTGTGTGTGTGTGTGTGTGTGTGTGTGTGTGTGTGTGTGTGTGTGTGTGTGTGTGTGAGAGCGTAACACAAAGGTCACAGTCAGAGAACACTTCCTTATTTGCAGTTTAACCTTCCCCCCTCTTTATATATATATATATATATACGTGTGTGTGTGTATAGCTGGTAAACCATTTGCAACTGTGAGATTGTCTCATTATCAAACGATTGAAACTGCAAAATTAAAACTGAGTGGTTTGAAGAGGATACTCTAAATCAAAAAGTGTTTTATTAGGTGTCTGCACTGATATATTTAAAGGCATGCAGAGGCTTGTGAGAGACAGTAGTTTCCCCATAGTGCAACACAAAACCGATGCACTGTTAGGGAGTTTTGTTTAATGTCACAAACACATGAAGTAACATTTTGCACGGTGTGGAACAAACAGAGACATTTAACTTGCAAATCATGCTGACCTACAACAGCTTTGAAAAGGGCAGAGTCCTATATGTCCCAAGACAAACACTCATTAGACTCTACCCTGTGTCATGTTTAGTGCTGGGTGCAAATATGCAAGAAAAAACGCATGAAGCTGATTTCTACACTGTGTTTGATCAAAAGTAACAAGCTAAAAATGAATGGAAGAACATCCAATGTACTGTTACCAACACCCCCCCCCCCCCCACACACACACACACACACACACACACACACACACACACACACACACACACACACACACACACACACACACACACACACACACACACACACACACACCACCACACACACACACACACACACACACACACACACACACACACACACACACACACTACTGCAGGTGTCGTTGGTCGTGGTTAGCTCATAACAGTTTGTGCATTGTAGAAAACAAAACACACACACTTTTTTTTCTTCTCACAGCCTCCGAGTGAAAATAGTGATGTTTCCTAGATGTGCTCATTATTGTTGTTACACACACTCTGACACATTGCACATTGAGTGTGTGTCAGAGGAGTGACTGTACATGATGTTCTGTACCCTCCTCCGACTAAACCTCAAAATAAGTAGTCTGAAGTAGTTACTCATTTAATCCTGATGTCAGGTGCTTCATGCTTTTTGATTTGAAAGAATGTGCAACGTTTGCAATTTGAGGATGTCGATTGGACTCTTGGAAATTAAATAAGCCATTTTGATTTTAAAACTCAAATCTAGATATTTTTGGAGCAGTGTTTGGTCGTGGCACAATTTGATTTGATAATCTATTTGTGTGATTTTAGAAATGTGTTTGTTTCACTCAGTGGTTTATTATGTGATTATGTTTTCCAGATTTTAGTTGATTTCATTATCTTTTGAGTTCTGTTTATTTTATTTGAAAGCACTTTGTAACTGTGTTTGAAAGGCTCTAAATAAAGTTTATTTTATTATATTATTGATATAGTGGTTACTGTTGCAAGTTGCAGAGAAGACCGTTGTACAGCCATCTTTTCAGGTGTCTAATTTATTGGATAAGACAAAAAAAAATCATATCCCATTTGTTTTTTCCCCCAAAAAATGAAGTATATTAAATAAAATAGAGATAAACCGATGTAAAATGACATTTTCTGAGATTAGGTATTTTATCCATTTGACTTATTCCTAGATTGTATTATATATTTTTTAGGTTTTATTGAATTTTTCATTAAGCCTTCATTTTAATAATATGAAATGTTCAGAAATCTTAAATCTGCAGCAAAATATGTATTAAAACACACATGACGATAAAGCTAAAACTAGTGCTAAGAGAGAAACACTGAACACGCGTCAACAGGGCGGCGGCGGTGGTGGCGAAGCCCATAGGGACTTGGCTTGGCAACTGGAAGGTCACCAGTTCAAGTCCCGGAAAGACCAAGTGCTACCGAGGTGTCGCTGAGCAAGGCACCGTTCCCTACACTGCTCCCCGGGCGCCGTACATAATGGCAGCCCACTGCTCCTAACACTAGGATGGGTCAAATGCAGAGAAACCGTTTCGTTACATAGTACTGTACTACGTCATGACAATCTTCTTCAAAGGAACGAAACATGAACAAAGACTGGAGAAAAGAGTGGAAATAGAAGACGGAGGAAGTATAAGATTAGCAATTACAGTAAAGAAAAACACACTCACCTAAAAGACATTTTAGGGGCTCTCGCAGTACGGATGTGTTTTCTGCAGCAGGAAGTGATGGGTTGGATCCAGGCTCTCCTCTGTGTACTTCTCTTTGATGGTGTGTGTGTGTGTGTCTCTCTCCTTACAAACACAGTTAAACTCACAGTCAGGTTCAGCTCTCTGTGTTCACCGTTTAGCTTCCAACTCTCATGATAAGAAATCCGGCTGGGTTAATCCTCCGCCCTGTCATTTACTCTAATTGTCTTGACTTCCTAACTGTCTGCTGGAGAAAATGTGCCTTTCCTGTGTCGTGCTCTTCCTCCTTTATGAGCTCTCCTGCTCTCCCTGCACATCCACATTTGCCTCCATGTAAATTCCTGCTTGTCCTTCGAGGTTTGCATGCAAAGTGCGTCAGGATCTTTTTCTGCTCGTCACTCGCTCTGTTGCGCTTTCCTAGACTGGAATCAGCGTTCAGATGAGTTCTTACATGAGTTCTTACATGATGAGTTCTCACATGGTGACAAACTGAACAGAAAAAACATGGAAAGAGGAAACGCGTTAAAAATAGTTTGATGAGTATAAAAAGTCCAGCTCTTCCTCCAGTTACAGGAGACATTAAAGGGATACTTCAACCTTTAAAATGATAATTTGTTTTGCGTGTGTTACCGTGAATTTGAAAGGAGAAGGTTGTTTTTCTGGCATGCCTCCACGTTGTATGAAGAATACAGAAAGATAGTTAAGTTTGGACGATTTGAAGTCTACAAGTGAGGCGTTTAAAGGTAGGGTAGGTAAGTTTGAGAAACCGGCTCGAGATACACTTTTTGTTATATTCCATGGAATGCTCTTAACATCCCGATAGCAATGAATATCTGAAGTGCTTTGACAAAAAAATCCATAACAAAATGTCATCTGTGGAAGCTGTAGTACTGTAAAAAGTACGACCAATCATCTGAGCCGGCCCGGCTAAAATAACTGGATGGCCTACCTGCCTGTCAGCCTTCCATCTGTGCACAAACTTATCTCGTGCCCTCATTGGTCATGTGCGCGTTCGTGTGTGTTGGAGGATGGGCTCTGTGAGGAAGTGGCAGATTTTCTCCGGTTGTGTATTTTCAAATTCTAGCGCACTCGAGCTGGTTTCTCAAATTTACCTACCCTACCTTTAAAGATTATATATATTATAACATCCTTCTCACACAATGTTTGCAGGATAATCTGGTTTAATTTGACCAGTTGCTTCCTCACTACTTCCTAAACACATGCATTTTCATTATTGTTTTAAATAACTATAGTTTTAGTGAAGCAGTTTAATCCAATTGATCTAGACTTTTCCCAAATGTAATGACACTAAGTCCAATTATTATTTAGATATTTCACTAAGACACAAAGTGATGTACCGTCTGCCTGAAATCCCCAGAGCATGCTGCAAAGATGGGTAAATAACACACAGTTCTTTAGAAAGTGAACAAAACGTTGAAAAACTGTGGAATTTTTATTGAAGTTCATAAAAACAAACAGCAATGAAAAAAACAACAAGGTAGTAACCATAATAATAATAGGAATAATAATATTTCGATAATGTAAAACAACTTGACAATATACAGTAAGAAATTAAATTAATCGTTTCTCAAAACCATCCCATGTACCTAAAAGCTGCGGAGATATTGCATGTTCGTATTTCGGGAATCTTACAGGGAGTAAATCTGGGATGCACTGAGGAATGTCGAGGTGCTGGTGGGGGCGTTAGTAGCTGGGATGGGGTCACCTGACGGGGGTGGGGGGGGGCGGTGGAGATTAAGGATAGTGGGTCAAGACGTAGGAGGAGGAAACTGATCTGACTGTGATAGAAATGTGACGTGGTCTTAAATTCGGTGCTTTCTGCAGTAGAGGTGCACATTAAGATGCCCTGTTTCATACATACACACACACTCCCTAGACACACACTCGCATACAGATGATGACAATAAAGTTATCTTGAAAAAAAAAAAGTGTCAAAAATGTTCTAAAAGAAACACAAGAAAATCCCTTGACATTTTGTATGATGCAAAAACAAGTAGAATGCACCAGTAAACTCCAAGCATGCTGCTCCAGTCTTCTTCTTCATGTTACATAACAGTTACTCTCTCACACACACACACACACTCCCTAGACACACAAACACACGTTTGACCCTGCAGTAGAGACAAAGGGCAGGTCGGTGCGGCTGCAGTTCAGTCACAGTGCTCAGGATACAGAAACTCCTGAAATCAACGTAAGAAAATCCCCAAATCAATGTCGAAATCTTGTCGTCTCTGCGTCCAGCGGCTGAAGCTCCTCTGAGTCTGAGGGATGGTTTCTGGGTGAAGAGCGAGAGGACTAACCTGTGCTGTACAAGGTTATTTTTTTTGGGCAGGGGGGCGTCTGCTACATGGTGGTGAGGTGAGGGCAGCTAGCCTCAGTCAGTGAGAGTGAAAGGAGCGATGTGATTGGTCAGCGCTGCACCTGCATCTGCTGCGACGTCTGTGATTGGCTCTGAGCGGAGAGCTCCGGGGCGCGGCTGGCCAATCGGTTGAGGATGTTCCTCTCTGACATCTGAAGCCGCACGGCGACAGGGGGTATCCTGGCGATGGTTGCCGGGAGACGCGTGACGTCGGCCTTCATGTCGCTTAGCAGTTCCTCGAGCTGTTTGAGAACTGGAGAAACAACACGGAGACAAACTGTGAGAAACCCGCTGTCATCTCAATGTATAACTTTTTACAATCTTTAGCAAGTATGTTTTAAAATGACCACATTTCAACGTAAGCTTCAATAAAACCAGCTTGAAACGCCTCCATTGGACTCCTTGGTTTACTTCTATAACATATTGACATCTATGTTACAGTCAGGCTTCTATTGGCTAGCGCTCCAGCACATTGTACATGATAGGCTAAGGGGCGGGACATCTCTAAGCGGTTGACCAATCAAAACAGAGCCGGCCAGCTAACCAATCAGAGCAGACTGGGCTCTGGTTTCAGACAGAGGGTGAAAATACAGGCAGTATGAGCAAAATAAAGAGCTTTCTGAACATTAAAGAATGGAGACATGTCCCAGTAGAGACACAAAATACAAATTACTTTGCATCCTGTGATTTGGATATTACACTAGACCATAATGTGAATCCATCCTAGTAAAAACAGTAATTACGGTCACTACAGCCAAGCAGCATCTCTCCTTCATGTGTTCATTTTGATAATGATTTAAGAAAGGTTGTCGGTAGAAATGCCAATCATTTGGTGTCTGCAGCCTCTCAGAAGTAAGACATGCGTTGCTGTTCTCTGTTTTGTTAATCAACCCAATGGACCTTTCACAGATGATCTAATGATTAAATGAGAACGATGAAGGCAAACCAAACCCTGGTGTTGTGGGACTATAATCTCTTATAACCTCAAAGCTTTACTGCTGGGTGTTTGTAGAGATTATCTCCTGCAGAGGTCATAAATAGCTCTCCTTGTTCAAACATGGAAGATGACCACAATGACGCACCTGACATTTATTGCTGGTCACGTTAGTAGCTATATTTAGATATACTTTATATATAGAAATACATATTTGTATTTCCATTCAGTTGATAGTATCTCAACAGGTCGTGCTGCGTGCACATTGAAACCATGACGGGGAAAAACACTTCCTATTTTTATCCCAATGAAAAGTATATAAATAGATTAAGTGAAGCAGCAACACACAAAAAAATGCATTTACAAAAAGTGAATAACTCAATTACATTATCATCTGCTTGAGAAACACTTGTTTTTGGTCATAATAATCTTGATTGTAGTGATTAATTTCACAAGGACAGAAATGAACACTACAAACAGTTTCCAATTACATCAATACCAAAACAACGAAATATTAAAACTTGCTCAAATCACAAAATGTTCAAATATGAATGGAATAAAAGTGAGCCAGTAAATAGAAGCTGGCCGTTTCATTACTTTATGCTCATGGGATACATATATAAATGTCAATTAGATCGTTATTATAATAATCCTCCTTTTGTAGTGATTAATTTCACTTGGAAAGACATGAGTGCTATAAGCACTACTACCACTACCACTACTACTACTACTACCACTACTAATACTCCCACTACTACTACTACTAGTGCTAAAACTACTACTAATACTACTAATACTCCCACTACTACTACTACTACTACTAGTGCTAAAACTACTACTACCACTACTAATACTCCCACTAATACTACTACTTTTACTACTACTACTACTACTACTTTTACTACTACTACTACTACTACTACCACTAACTAATACTACCACTACTACTAGTGCTAAAACTACTACTACCACTACCACTACTAATACTCCCACTAATACTACTACTTTTACTACTACTACTACTACTACTACTACTACTACTACCACTAACTAATACTACCACTACTACTATTACTACCACTACTACTACTATTAGTGCTAAAACTACTACTACTACTGCTAAAAGTACTACTACTACTACCACTACTACCACTACTATTACTACTACTACTACTATTAGTGCTAAAACTACTACTACTACTACTGCTAAAAGTACTACTACTACCACTACTACTACTACTAGTGCTAAAACTACTACTACTACTACCACTACTATTACTACTACTACAACTACTACTACTATTACTACAACTACTACCACCACCACAATAAAGTTGACTTTGAAAAGCGCTCTATAACTAAAATACATTATCATCAAATCCCACATCTTTTTTATATTTTCCAGGTGCATGTCGACCCCCACTCCACCTTCATATATGTCTGACTCCCCAGGTGTTTTACCTTTATGCAGGACAGCGTTGGCGGGCTTGTTTCCGGCCATGGACTCCTTGCTGAGGTGCTGGTGGGACTCGGCCAGACACTCCACCTCACTGAAGCGGGTGTTCAGAGCCATGGAGGGGTGGGCCGTGTCCTCCGCCATGTTCAGGTACGCAGCGCGGCGCAGCTGCTCCTCGATCACCAGCGCCTGCTCCAACAACTGAACCAGGAACACAGAGAGAAGACATGAGCATGACGGGAAAGAATATGAATTAACAACAGACAGAATCACACTCTCTCACAGGGGACGACCACTGCTACTACAACTACTACTACTACTACTACTACTACTGCTTATACAAGTACTAGTGCTACTACTGCTACTACAACTACTACTACTAGTGCTTATACTACCACTACTGCTACTACAACTACTACTACTAGTGCTTATACTACCACTACTACTACTGCTACTACAACTACTACTACTACTGCTTATACTAGTACTAGTGCTACTACTGCTACTACTACTAAAACTACTACTAGTGCTTATACTACCACTACTACTACTGCTACTACAACTACTACTACTACTGCTTATACTAGTACTAGTGCTACTACTGCTACTACTACTAAAACTACTACTAGTGCTTATACTACTACTACTACTACTGCTGCTTATACAAGTACTAGTGCTACTACTGCTACTACAACTACTACTAGTGCTTATACTACCACTACTACTACTGCTACTACAACTACTACTACTACTACTGCTTATACTAGTACTAGTGCTACTACTGCTACTACTACTAGTGCTTATACTACCACTACTGCTACTACTACTAGTGCTAAAACTAGTACTACTACTACTACTAGTAGTGTTACTACCACTACCACTACTACTAGTGCTACTACTACTGCTACTACTACTAGTGCTAAAACTACTACTACTAGTGCTAAAACTACTACTAGTGTTACTACCACTACTACCACTACTGCTTATACTACTGCTACTACTACTACTACTACTACTAGTGCTAAAACTACTACTACTACTAGTGCTAAAACTACTACCACTACAACTACTACTACTAGTGCTTATACTAGTGCTACTACTACTGCTACTATTACTACTAGTGCTATAGTGCTAATAATAGTGCTAAAACTACTACTACTAGTGTTACTACCACTACTACCACTACTACTACTACTACTACTACTAGTGCTAATAATAGTGCTAAAACTACTACTACTAGTGCTAAAACTACTACTACTACCACTACTAGTGCTACTACTACTGCTAGTGCTACTACTACTGCTGCTACCACTATTACTACTTCTACTACTACTACTACTACTATTACTATTACCACTACTACCATTACCACCACTACTACTAATAATAATAATACTAGCTACTACTACTACTACTTATATTACCACTACTACTGAAATGATATAATCTAACACAAATCCAGACAGATTTAGAGGTGGATTTGATGAGATTGCTAGACAAATGGGGCTAGAGTATTTCCTCATAATACTTCCCCTTGCTCCGGTGAATAATAAACATGATAGTGGTGGGCGGTCTCGGCTCACCTTGAATCTGCGGGCCAGGAACTTGTTTTTGATCTCCAGGAAGTTTCCTCTGCTCATCTCCCCTTTGAACGGCTCGTTGAGGATGGCGAACCTGACGTCGTTCTGAACGTCCTGCCAGCGAGCGTAGCCGTGACTGAGAGACCGAGGTCAAGTGTAATAACATTAATGTTTTATGAGGGGTCGTATTATCAGATACTCAAGCAGGTTAAAGGAAGTGATATGGGGCAGCTACACAATATTATTTTGAGTAACAACCGGCCAATATCCTGATTTGATGACAGCATGGTCGATAAAATACCATTTATAATCCAGAAAGCATAGGGTTTGTTTGTTTGTTTGTAGCCTTTATTTATCCAGGTTAAAAAAATCCCATTGAGATCAACGATCTCTTTTACAAGTGAGACCTGCGGCACATTTAGTTACACATATAAAAACAAACAGAAAACAAAAGGACATCACAACATAATTACAGGGGTATACATTAGCAACCTATTTACATTTACAGGTATCTAATAACATTTCATCCAGCCGTGCTTTAAAACGATGCAAGGGAATCAAAATGCTCAGTTTCAATATTTTTTGCATAGTGTTCCAAGCTAGAGGAGCAGCGCACATAAAAGCTTTAGCACCTAAAACAGTCCTAGCACTTGGTACATGTAATAAAAACACATCCTGTGATCTCAGGCAATAGCTACTTGCCACTGTCCGTGAGATCAAGGAGCAGATATAAGAAGGTAGTTTACCCAACATAGCTTTATAGATGAATATGTACCAATGACTCAGCCTCCGACCAGTAAGTGAAGGCAGACCTGCCTTGGCATACAGGGTACAGTGATGAGTAAGTGCTTTACAGTTAGTAACAAATCTCAGAGCACTGTGATAGGCGGCATCTAACCTTTCCAGGCAATGGGCAGATGCATTCATATATATCAAATCACCATAGTCTAGCACAGGTAAAAAGGTCACAGTGACTAGCCTTTTCCTGGCTTCAAAAGAGAAACAGGACTTGTTTCTAAGAAAGGAAACCTAGTCTAACCCTCAGCTTTTTAAGCAGATTAGTGACCTGAAGTTTAAAAGTAAGACAATCATCAAGCCAGATACCAAGGTATTTATAATAGCTAACCACTTGGAGTACTAGTCCTTGCATAGTCACAATATCCAAAGCAGTCTCTGGAGTCTTTTTAGCTTTTGAAAAGAGCATTACTTTGGTTTTCTCAACATTTAAAAGAAGCTTTAGTTCAGAGAGCTGAGTCTGAATAATGTTAAAAATAGCCTGTAATTTAACAACCGCCTCCTTAATCGAGGGACCTGCACAGTACATCACGGTGTCATCCGCATAAAAATGCAAAGTAGCTTCATCCACATTTTCACCTAAACTATTGATGTAGATGGAGAATAAAAGTGGACCTAAAACAGAACCTTGAGGAACACCATTAGCAATGTTCAACCACTCAGAAGACAGCCCATCAAAGTGAACACATTGGGACCTTTCAGAGAGGTAGTTCACAAACCACCCCACTGCATGGCTGGATAAGCCAATACTGAGTAGCCTCTGCTTTAAGATGCGATGATCGACGGTATCAAACGCTTTGGAAAGGTCAATAAATAGAGCTGCACAACTCTGCTTATTATCCAAAATACTTGTAATGTCATTCACCACTTTCATTGTGGCAGTGATGGTGCTATGTTGCTTTCTGAAGCCTGACTGATGTTTAGACAGGATGTCATTGTTACATAAAAACTCCTTTACCTGTTCACTCACTAGGCGTTCAAGAACCTTAGCCAGAACTGACAATTTCGAGATTGGCCTATAGTTATTTAAAACAGTTGCCTCCCCTCCTTTTAGTAGTGGCAGGACATAAGCTGACTTCCATACTTTAGGAATTGTGTTTGTGCTGAGGGAGAGGTTAAAAAGAGTAGTGAGAGGTGGAGCAATAAAATCTGCAGCTATCTTTAAAAAGAAAGGTTCTACGTTGTCCGGGCCAGCCGGTTTCTTAGGATCTAACTTAGATAAAGCTTAGGGTAGAGCCCAAGATGCTCCTGTACATTTACATTTTTTGCCAAGCCAGTTTTAAGGAAACCAACAAAAATGTACTGTTCTATTATAGTAGTTCTATAGAAAACCAGGTGATTATTGATGTATAAGAAGATAAGGGATGTACCCGTTGGATTACATAAGAAATCGTCATTCTTAAAGGTCACCTATTATGCAAAATCTACTTGTTCATGTCTCTTCTACATCAACATGTGTCCCCTCTTCTTCATGTCTCTTCTACATCAACATGTGTCCCCTCTGTGGAAAGAGATTCTGAAAGTTTCAGGAACAAAGATTCTCTCTCTTTTTGTCCTGATCCATTTCTATAAAAACCTGTCTGAAAATGAGCTGATCAGATTTTGGCCACTTTATGATGTCATAACGATGTGTTGGCTTGTGTAACCATTAGCCAATCAGCAACCAAGGTAACACCCCCCCCCCCCCCCTTATCACCTGAATCTCCTCCTAGAGCACCATTGTGTTCTCTCAGAGGGGTGTGGGGAGGGGCTCCTTATTTTCATCTAAAGTAACAGACAGAGAATCAGCACTTTTGAAACAGGGCTGAAACAGAGGGGATTATGGGATGCTGCTATGATCTGTTTGGTGTTTCAGCCAATCAGAGACATGTTCTGTATATATCTGAGACCTGGAATATATTGATGGAAAACAGTATAATAGGGGACCCTTAAATGGTCCATTTGAAAGGATACTGTATTATTCCAGCCAGCAGCCAGTAGTCGTGGCGGCGATGCCAAATCTCGAAGGTCTTCTTGGTGACGGTGGCCGCTCGCTCCTCATTCTGCCACAGAGAGTGAAGCTCTGTAAGGGAGGGAAGAGAGGTCAGAAACAGAAACTAGAGAGAAGGAAAATAGTGGTGTGTGTGTGTGTGTGTCGTGGCTTTTTTAATCCGTTTCTACATTTAATAGCCATTTTCCGATCGTTTTAGCGTTGAATCACATCAGATTTATTCTTTGATCAAGGCTGCATACAAACATGAAGACAAACTTCCTCGCTTCAAAGTAACTAAAAGTTCTCCGTATCAAAAAAGAACACGGTCAAAAGACTATACCGCCTACCGTCTAATCACAAACTCAGCTGCCATTGTCATGTCATATATAGACATACACGACACGTCATACCCGACAGCGCACATTTGACAGCAAATAAGTGAGACTAACCCTAACGCCTTATATTATATTAATAAGACAAACATTCAAACCATAATGATGAAAGGAAAATGGCTCTAACAGTGTGTGTGTGTGTGTGTGTGTGTGTGTGTACCTGTGAATCCTCCGTCAGCGATGTTGAACATGAACCTCTGCTTGGTGGCTTTCTTCTTCTCCTCGACGACGTTCACCACGGCAGCAGCAGCAGCTGCTGTTGCTACCTCTCTGCCGTTCTCTCCGTTCTGCAGTTTGCCCGACTCGTCTGTTTTCACGGCGTCCTTATCCTCCTTTTGCTCTGCGAGAAGAAACAGAAACATCTCAGTATCATCGTTCCTTCAGACATTACAAAATGAACCGCAATCATGTTTTTTTAAAGCACAATTCTTTCATTTTTTAACCCTTAGATGCATAAGTGGGTCTTCTTGGACCCGGTGAGGTGGGTTTCTTGAAGTATCTTTGTAATTACATTTTTTTATCATTTCATATTCCAGCTATTCCTCAAAAAACATGTTTTGGATATCATGCCATTCAAAATTTTAAATTTAAATTTTAAGAAATTGTAGTTTTTGTATTACTACCCCAAGCTTCCATAAGTGGGTCTAAAATGACCCGCATGCATTTCCTATGGGATCCTCTGGGAACCTTTGATTCTTATCACCTGTTGCTGTCAGGAATACATTCACTGTGGACCACACAGACGACATCACAAGTGACACCTCTCAGGAAGATTATTTTACACAGCCAGATCTGATACCTGTCAGTATAATAATAATAATAATAATAATAATAATAATACATTATATTTTTATAGGGCTTTTCAAGGACTCAAAATCGCTTTACAATATAAGGGAAGGTTAGGGTGGGGGGTATAGGACTATCAAACTTGATCAACCGGCATGGATTGATGGGGGGTGGGCTATGAGTAGACAAGAGGAGAAGAGATGAGTTTTGAAAAGGGACTGGAATACTGTGAGGGTCTCAGAATAGCGGAGATCTTTGCATCGATATGTTCAAAACGTTTTTTTTCAAAATGTAAAAAATGTCTAAAATTATAAATAGTGAAAAATGTAATATCAAATATTTCTAGTGTGAACCAAAATATAATACTAAATATTATACAAGTGATTTTTCTTAACCAAAATGACAAAAATTGCATAAAAACACATATTATTCTAATACGGGTCCTTTTTGACCCCCTTATGGAAGAGGGTCCAGTCACTCGGGCATCTAAGGGTTAAGGACGATCAAGATGATTGGTCAGTAGTATGCGTGTTAAGGATCGGACAGACATCTCACTGACATCACACCGTCAAATTACAGTATCAACACCGCTTGACTTTAAATAGTTTCAAAAGTTAGTGCTTGTAAAATGCACAAATGTCGTTTTGTAATTCACACGCTTATTTTTTCCTTGTACGATGTGAGGGTCTCAGGACAGAGGGTGTCGTATTGTCATACTGATATTCTGTACAAACTGTGAAGTCCACCGAGACAAATGTAACATTTTTGATATTGGGCTATATAAATAAACATTGATTGATTATTTAATTTTCGAATAACAGACAAAAGAATCAAGGAAGAGAGCGGAGTCTGAGTATGTATGTACAATTGACATGCACAAAAACCTATATAACTCACTGAGTAGTTTTAGCACCCCCACAATATGTCCTGTGTAGAGTGTGTGTTTGTTGACATGTACCTTTCTTCTCCTCTGTCGGCGAGCTGGTGTCCATCTTCTCATCTTTCCCCTCCTCAGCTGAAACAACAAAAGCACCGTTAGATAATGCAAAGGGGAAAAAGGCACAATGGAAAAGTGGTTGTATGTGTTTTGCATTTTACTGTAGTTGTATATTTGTGGTGTATTTGTACTTCAAAGCTATATATTTCAACTACACATGTAAAAGCACAACTAGGGACAAGAAGGGAACACGTGCTCTCTGTACATATGTTAGATAACATCGCCCTGATCAAATCATTTAACTTCAGTTGCCTCACCTTTAGACTTGTCCTCCTCTGACTCAGTCTTCCCCTCCGAACTTTCACCCTTGACCTCAGCGGGAGTGTCCTTCTCCGTCTCCAAAGTCTTCTCGTTCTCTGCTTTCTCCTTACTCGTGTCCTCCGTCTCCTTCTCCTTCTCCTTCTCCTTTTCTTCGTCTCCATTTCCTGTCTCCTTCTCCTCCTTCCCCGCGGCCGAGTCTACCTCCTCTCCTTTCTTTTCGACGACGGGGGACTTTTCAGACTCATCAGGGATTTCAATAATCTAGAGAAGTAGAACGTTCCAGTTAGCAACATGTGCGTTTGTTGTTGCTCAAATCTTATGAGACTGTTCTGAAAACAAAGGGAGGATGATTTGGATCTGAAATCTGAACTCACCTCTGAATCGTCTGCCTTCTTCGCTCCTTTGCCGTCCTCGACTTCCTTCTTCACGTCTTCCTTGTCCTCAGACTTCGACAAATCTTCTGACAAGAAATATTAAAAGGTCAGGAGGTCAACAACACAAGGTTCAAGGTTCAAGGTTCTTTATTGTCAAACTAACATAGCTACAGAGTAATTATGTCGTTGAAAATCTTATGTCACAGGTTTCTCCAACAATGCAACATAATAGTAAACAGATAGTAAAAGTAATACAAAAAGAAAAATAATTCTAAAATAAAGTGAGTATGTGGAATAGTGCAGTACGATGCTATGCAGAGATAGAAACTCATTTAACTAATGTAACACGTTGTGACGGCCACACATTGATTTAAGGTGTTTTTTCTAAACTGTAGTGGCAGGGGGAAAGGTTTAAGGCATGTTGATTATCATGAAATGAACTATGATACATGTATAATATCCTCGCAACTGCAGTTGTTAATGTCCACTGTTATGTACGGTTTGAGGGTGTGTGGGTCATTAAGCCTCATCTGCATATCCACCTGTCGCGGCGCGCCCAGGGGCTTTTTAGTGGGCGCGTCACCGGGATGCCAGGGGTTGGTTCTCACGGGAGGAGGAAGTGTGTGTGTGTGGCGAATGCGGGTATTCAGAGGGATATTTAAGTTTCCTCAGCATGTGTATATATACAACGGGGAAGTAACTGAATGTGGATATTGCATCGACCGACCGCGAAGCACGTCTCTGTGGAGAGGACACGCACAGATAGAGAGGTTCTCTCCAACACAGGGTGAGATCGATCCTTCGTGCCACGCCGATCATCGTGTTTTCTGTGGATTATAGCCAGGGGTGCACACAACTTTCTCAGTGAGGGGGGGGGGGGGGGTGGTAGTGGAGTACAGAGCTCCGTGACCGCAGAGCGTGTGAACGTTGTGATCAGCTGTACAGACAGACGTTAACAGCAGCCCCGTCTGTGCACACGGAGACCGACTCTGTCGTCCGGTGATCTAACCGCCTTCTGGAAAAGCTTCACAAGTACGTCGGTACGCAAATGCGCTTTGTGACACAAGTGACGGTACGCATTTCAGATTGTTGCCGCGCATGCGTACCTGTTATGTGCACCCCTGATTATAGCCTAAATAGGCCTACAAACATTTCCGTTTTTTGCTGCCGACGGGCGCAGGAGGGAGCAACAGCTTTTTTTTGTCAATGAACTATAGTGGCCTGGATTAGGGAGTAAAGACAATTTTGGTTTATCGCCGAGCGGACTTTTTGTTGAGTTTTGTTTGGCTGGAAAACTGTCAATATAATTGAATAACGTATAAAACCTGTCTTTGTTTGGTGAATGTGTGGATATAGACTGTAGTAAATACACTTCCGTGCGGACTATTTTGTGGAAAGAGTAACGTTTCCGTTTTGCTTTTATGTTATTATTTCATATCAAGAACCCCGTGTGCGTTTATTTAACACAACTATTTTTGATAGTTGATCGTGACCTGAACGAGTTGGCTGAAGGTTGAATAAGTGAAAAAACTGTCTCTTACTTTCTTGTTTTTTTGGCTGTCAGCTGACAAGTCTAAATATTGTGTTTAAGCGTGAACAAAGACCAACTGATACCTAACATAATATCTCACAACTTCCAACATACTTAGGGTTGTGACTTAAAACGTTTACTTCACATTAAGTTTCCCTTTGGGTAAAACTTGAGGTAAAGCGTGCGGTGCTGAGGTTAGTGCTGAGAGGAAATGGAAATGCATGTCATCTGTGAAAGGATCCCCTTAAAGACAACATGTTACAGCATACTGTAATGGCTCTCACTGCATGAGAAATGTTAAGAGGCAGTTTGTGGAAGTATGTATTGGTACTTTATAAGTATTTTTGAATCTATTCTGTGGATTTAATTTTGTTTTTCTTTTAGAAGCCTTAAATCAGCGTTGGCTGCAAACACTTAATCATGTGCACAGAATGAACCGGCTGAGAGTATTATTTATAATTATTTGATGCATGTACTACATTGTACATGTTTATACTTGAACTGCTAAAGCGTTTATAAATATATGTTATTATATATTTTTTTCTATATTTAACTTCTTATTTTTATTTAAATATTGTTTTGTGTGTGTGTGTGTGTACCTGGCACAGGAGTGTTGGGCTGACTATGTGTGAACTCGGTTCCAGGTGAGAACCGATAAGAAAATGCTGGGTACCGGGTACCCATAAAAAGTACACAATTTCGGTTCTGCTTAACGGTTCCTAAACGCGGTAGACCCGGTGGAATAGCCAGGGTAACCAGGGGCGGACGGGCCATCTGTGTGTTCTGGAGAATCACAGAACGTCCGGTCGTCAGCGGGCCGTTTGGCGGCTGGCTCGGTTCGCGGACGGCCGGCACCGCCCTTGATCATTTGACCTCTTTCTTTTACAATTTTGGGGAAATCGAAACGGGCAATCGATAAGAACCAGAATCGATAAGAATCGGAATCGATACATTTCAGACGATACCCATCCCTAGACAGGAGTGTTGGGGGGGTGTGTGTGTGTGTGTGTGTGTGTGTGTGTGTGTGTTGTGTGTGTGTGTGTGTGTGTGTGTGTGTGTGTGTGTGTGTGTGTGTGTGTGTGTGTGTACCTGGGACAGGAGTGTTGGGCTGTGTGTCTGCAGGAGTTCCAGATGAGGGGGTCTTTGAATCTTCTCCAGCAGCTAAAGCCGCAGCTCTTTTGTTTTCCTCCAGCTCGGCCATCCAGGGCATCGACCACTGACCGTTCACATGCTCAAACTCCTGCACCTGGACATCAGAGAGGGGGGGAAGTAGCTGAGTACAAATACTTCGTTACTGTTCTTAAGTACATGTTTCTGATATCAGTACTTTACTCCACTACTTATTTTTCTGATGACTTTCTACTTCTTACATTTCTAACACAAATACCTGTACTTTCTACTTCTTACATTTTGAACACAAATACCTGTACTTTCTACTTCTTACATGTTGAACACAAATACCTGTACTTTCTACTTCTTACATGTTGAACACAAATACCTGTACTTTCTACTTCTTACATTTTGAACACAAATACCTGTACTTTCTACTTCTTACATTTTGAACTCAAATACCTGTACTTTCTACTTCTCACATTTTCCAAACAGGCTGGTTCCTTTAGTTTGAATGTGTGTTTGGTGGCGTGATCATTATTATTTAGAGTAATTGCGTGCCTATTGATTTGAACACGATCCGTGTATCCATCATTTCCTGGTCTTCTCTAAAGAAGAGGGACCAATGAAAACGTTGTCATGTTGCCGTTGTTCAGCATGGAAACATTCATTAGCTAACAATGACATTATTGTTCTATTAATATAAAGGGAGGTCAGGTACTCTTTAAAACAGCTGCTAGTTATGGGTACTTTTTACTGAAGTACATTTCAAAGCCCTCTTTACTTTTACTTGAGTAAAGAACTTTAGTCAGTACTTCTACTTTTACCAGAGTATTTTCAAACACCAGTATCTGTACTTCTACTTGAGTAAAATATGTGTGTACTTTTGCCATCTCTGCCACAAAGTCAGGAATTAAACACTCAAACTATCTACACATGTTCTCCTGATACTCGGACTGGGACTCCATACCTTTTTCCTGATGAGGGACATCACCCCTATGCGTGTGAGCACGTGTTGCCTCGACAGACCCTCCCGAGGGACGCCGTCTGCAAACGTCTCGGCTCCGTCAGCGCCCGGCTCACACAGGTGACGCATGAACAGAGACACGTAGGCCCTGCGGACACAAAGGAGGTGGAAGGATGTCACGGAGAATACGTTTAGATAATGTCAGAGATGTGCACAAATAAAACACTTTAATCAAGATGATAGAAATACTCAATTGTGTTAAGATGCTTCGAGGGCAAACTGCTCCTCCAAGTAGGTTTAGAAACGGAGGAAGAGCTGACATATTTTCACATATAACTCAGTGAACAAAGGGTTTATTTCAAGCAAACCAGAGTGAGTGATTGTTAGGAGAGGAAAGAATAACCATTAAAAGTTTTCGTTTGTTTTATTTTGTTGTTTTGTTAAATGCGTCTGCCTTGGCATTTGATGCTAACTTTAAAAGCTCCCCTATTATACTGTTTCTCATCAATATATTACAGGTCTCAGATATATACAGAACATGTCTCTGATTGGCTGAACCAAACAGATCATTGCAGCATCCCATAATCCCCTCTGTTTCAGCCCTGTTTCCAAAGTGCTGATTCTCTGTCTGTTACTTTAGATGAAAATAAGGAGCCCCTCCCCACACCCCTCAGAGATATTTGGTTACAAAGAACTCAATGGTGCTCTAGGAGGAGATTCAGGTGAAAAGGTGGGGGGGGGGGGTTACCTTGGTTGGTGATTGGCTAATGGTTACACAAGACAACACATCGTTATGACATCATAAAGTGGCCAAAATCTGATCAGCTCATTTTCAGACAGGTTTTTATAGAAATGGATCAGGACAAAAAGAGAGAGAATCTTTGTTCCTGAAACTTTCAGAGTCTCTTTACACAGAGGGGACACATGTTGATGAAGAAGAGACATGAAGAAGAGGGGACACATGTTGATGAAGAAGAGACATGAAGAAGAGAGGACACATGTTGATGTAGAAGAGACATGAAGAAGAGGGGACACATGTTGATGTAGAAGAGACATGAAGAAGAGGGGACACATGTTGATGTAGAAGAGACATGAAGAAGAGGGGACACATGTTGATGTAGAAGAGACATGGAGAAGAGGGGACACATGTTGATGTAGAAGAGACATGGAGAAGAGGGGACACATGTTGATGTAGAAGAGACATGAAGAAGAGGGGACACATGTTGATGTAGAAGAGACATGAAGAAGAGGGGACACATGTTGATGTAGAAGAGACATGAAGAAGAGGGGACACATGTTGATGTAGAAGAGACATGGAGAAGAGGGGACACATGTTGATGTAGAAGAGACATGGAGAAGAGGGGACACATGTTGATGTAGAAGAGACATGGAGAAGAGGGGACACATGTTGATGTAGAAGAGACATGAAGAAGAGGGGACACATGTTGATGTAGAAGAGACATGGAGAAGAGGGGACACATGTTGATGTAGAAGAGACATGGAGAAGAGGGGACACATGTTGATGTAGAAGAGACATGAAGAAGAGGGGACACATGTTGATGTAGAAGAGACATGAAGAAGAGGGGACACATGTTGATGTAGAAGAGACATGGAGAAGAGGGGACACATGTTGATGTAGAAGAGACATGGAGAAGAGGGGACACATGTTGATGTAGAAGAGACATGAAGAAGAGGGGACACATGTTGATGTAGAAGAGACATGGAGAAGAGGGGACACATGTTGATGTAGAAGAGACATGGAGAAGAGGGGACACATGTTGATGTAGAAGAGACATGGAGAAGAGGGGACACATGTTGATGTAGAAGAGACGTGAAAAAGTGGATTTTGTATAATAGGTGACACGCCAAAGAAGTATTGACACTCACTTGAATTCCTTCTCAGATTTCCCTCGCAGGTCCCTGACCAGCCACTGGTTGGTGAAGGCGTCCTGCGGAGGCATCCCATAACGCATCACTGCGTTCAGGAACGCCTTCCTCTGGCGAGCATTGAAGCCCAAAACCTGGCAGGTGATAAAGAAATCCAGATGTTTAAAACTGTCTGCACAATCTGCTTTTTCATTTACGACCATCAAACACTGGGATATGCTTTGAGCTGAGTTCAAAACATGCTTTCACTCGTATTCACATGGATATTGAGCAATCAGTATATATATATATATAATATTATAGCAGCACTGATAAATGTGCTGGTATTTCTATTTTATACATCTGTACTCCAATCTGACTTGTATAATTGTTAATGTGATATATTGTTATATGCGTACCTGCCACAGGACGGCATATAGAAATTAGCTAATAGCTTATAATAATCTGGCATAAACTATTCTCTTTTATTAAATCTGTTTATATGTACATTTTAACTCTTGTTTAAATTTACATTTAATGCATATCATTTTTGTTATTTCTATTAATACTATTGTTGGGGAATAATTTGCCCTGCATGTCATCCTTCGCCCTCTGACGCAGCTGACCAACCTTGAGCAGCCGTTATCTCCCTTAAGGAGGGGCTGCCCTAGCAAGTTGTTGTTGTTACCAGTTTGTGACCGGGCAACTGTCGGTCAGAGATAGTTATTGTTGTGGGACACCTGGAACACATCCTTCTCGGGGCGTAGATGACCCCGAGCCATAAGTGACAACAACTGTGATTCAGTGTCCCTCAGCTGTTCAGTCTATCTATTGAAGAATGTTGATCATTACACTCTGAACTAGTTCAAACCTGGAGCTACAGGAGGGGTCTTCAGAATTGATTGTGGCATCTCAACCGTGTGGTCAGACCGTGGCCCGTGACATGTCTTGTGAAATAAACCGTCAATGTTTGCCATCAAAGCTCCAGCTCTCCATCGTGTCTCTCTTTGAGTCCTGACTCCAATTGCTTCAGAAGTTTCCCCCACAACTATTACTACATGTTTATTCGTATTTAATTGTATTTGTATTCTTATTATCCTATGTGTACCTACTATCTGTGTTAGTGTCTTATTCTGTTGCTGCTACAACACCTGCATTTCCCTAATGGAATCAATAAAGGTCCATCTTATCCTATCTTATTTTTTATGAATGGTATTAATTCCAAAAACGACATAAAAATAACAATTAATACCAAAAATTGGGGTTAAAGAAAAGACACGTTCGAGGCATTTCTGTTCTTGATGTCTTACCTCGATGTTCCCTCCGACCCGGGCCAGCAGCGGAGGCAGAGGTTTGTCTCGATCGTTCCTCAGCCCTTTGCGGTTCGGTCTGCGGGCGTTAGCTAAAACGAATAGAGCGTTAGTGTATACAAGATCCAATGCACAGTCACATTCAACTCAAGGTGAATTTTGAAGAATGATGGTGTGTCTTCTTAACGTCCTAAAGCTGCTCTCCACTCACGGCTCTTCTCTGATGCTGATGCTGCTCTCTCTCTCTCTCTCTCTCTCTCTCTTTGCACATCTACATTCAACACTTTCAGAACATTTAAAACTAAAAGCAGTGTTGTGGTGTACTTCATTTAATGCAATTGATGCAACAGAGCCATAATTGAATACAACAATCCATACAAAACATGTACATATTGGTTCACAGTTAAGTCATTTATAAAAATAAATAATGCTGTATAAGAGAACAACTGCATGAAACACTCCTTTAATTTACTTTTGCTGTCCTTTCCCTATTTCTTTTTTTTTCTTCCCTTTTCCTCCTTTCTCCTTTTCTGTCTTGCTTTCCTTGATGACGCAGAAACCCCTGCTGTTTTTTGAGCGGTCGTAGAGGTGGTCAATGAGGATATCATAGCTGTTGTCTGAATCTACATCTGTGGAGGCGGTTCGAAGGATGTTAGTGGGAGAATGTCTCAAAGGGACAAATCGTAAACTCAAATTACGACTCCATATGTCTTAAACGGAACATCGGTAACATCATATGAAGAGTAAAACCCCTGAACCACAGAACAGGGGTTCGTTAAAAGACATGTGGTTGTTTTTTTTATTGATAAAATGTCACTATTTATCACTGGAACTGTAACAAAAATATATAGAAATTATCGTTGGATGGCCAAATTGTCCGATGACATGTCCTGGTAATGCAGATCAGGGGTGACCAAGGAACTTCTCTCAGGACAAAGAATACTAGGAAGATGAAAGTCACGGGAGGGGGCAGGGAAAAGGGGGCCAAAAGGAGGGGGAAAGGGGGGAAAGCCTGGAGCCGAGACAGGAAAGGAAGGAGGGGCGCCGGCAGCACAAAGGGAGAGAGCCTAGGCAGGAGGCGTCAACAGCGACAGCACAAACAGGAGAAGAACGGGAACGGAACCGCAGGCGGGGGGAGTTGGGGGACACACATCACACACACACCACACACACATCACACCACACACCCACACACACACACACACCCCACACACACACACACTACACACACGACACACACACACCACCCAACACACACACACACACACACACCACACACACACACACACACACACACACACACAGCACACACACACACACACACACACACACACACACACACCACACACAACACAACACCACACACACACACACACACACACACACACACACCCCCACCAGCACTATCCCACACACACACACACACACACCACACACCACACACACACACACACTACCACACACACCACACCACAGCACACACACACACACACACACACACACACACACACACACACACACACACACACACACACACAAGTTTTACCTTCGCTCCTTTCGTCAAAGTCTTCGTCACCTTCCTCCGAGGCCACAGAGTAATCTGATTGGTTGTCAGACTGATCCTCCTGCCAGTCTAAAGAGAGGAAAGGCAATTCAATTTTAAAAAGTACAAAACTATTCCCTGTGTGGACGGACTGATTTACTGATAGACAAGAACATTAAACTACTCATGGAGCAGCAGCCTACTTTATCAAATCAACTCTAACGCCCCCTTCACAGGTAATCAATAGTGTAACACATACTTAATACAAACAAAAGTCAATAAAAACAAGAATAAAATAGTGAAATAAGAATAAATACATGACAATTAAAAGAAAAATGTATTGAATTGTTAGTCAACTAGGCTCTCAACCAGGAGAGGGAGCTACTGCTTCTCAGTTTCTGTCAATATATTATCAAATTAATATTGGTCATGGGTTTGGTGGATTTAGTGGTTTGACAAAGTATTCATAAGTCTTCTGCAACCCTGAATTCATTTAGCCAAAGTGGACAAGAGACTGCAGCATTATTACAATAATTGATATCACTCTATGTTCAAGACCTTCATAGTTCCCTTTTATGGGACCGTCCCCTTATTAAAAAGACCGTTTTTAAGCATGCTTGATCTAAAATATAACCTTCTAAATAAAACACAACCAACATGTTTCTATACCAAATCTACATATAGCTAATAACACAGATCAGGGCTGGACAATCTGGGGGGGAAAATGATTTGGGATTGTTTTTTACTTATATTGCAAATGCGATATGTTTTTTGAAACATCACTCAAATTATGATTGGGTGTCATTTTCGAAGAGGATCCATACCAAACAGGGAGTTTTTTTATTAAATCTGTAGAATACCAGGAGTTCTCATTTAATTGAGATTTCATATATTTCAAATACTGCACTAGTCCATATTGCAATTAAAACCAAATGTTCAGCCGTAGTTGTATTTACAGTGCACAAAATAGCAAAGAAATAGTGAAGAAAATGCATTAATTATAATTGATGTACATATTTGATGTGCATTTTAAATAGGGTTAGGGTTAAAATAGAAATAATCAAATTTTCTGAAATGATTGCAGCTAAATTCCTGGATTTGTTAACCAAATATTGTGCTTACTGCGATTTAAATAGTCCACTAGTCCATATTGCAATCAGGATAGAAGTGTAATTATTGTGCAGCCCTAATACTAGTAGCACAAAACATGAAACCATGCAATCACTGGACTTCCTGACATGTAACACACACAACATTGAACAACACACACAACATTGAACACCACCAGCATTGCACACACACACACACACACACACGAAGAGGTTTCAGTAGATGTTGTTCTGTACCCTGGCGTATACTTCGCTCCTCCTGCGAGCCGTCGTTGTAGTTGACCGGCTTCCTGGTTCTCTTGCCTTTGCCCAGGTTTCGGGCGAGGTCCTCCTGCTGCTGCTCGTAGTGATGGCGCAGCAGCTTCTCCCAGTAGTCGGGGTCCACGCTCTCCTCCTGCTTGATCACCTCCCTCTCCACCTCCTCCTGCTCACACAGAGCAAACAGGAATTCATATCGTAAACTGCATACATGAGAGTGCTTGTCATCCACATTAATGATCAGATATCACCGTTTATTTAAAGAAAAACTGACAAAATACTAAACAAAAAGATTCGTAGTCATACGGCGTATATCTTGGGGACATTTTCTCATCCAGAAGTCACCATGCGGTCTCATGCACCTGTCGTCTATTAAAGGGCTTCTTTGCACACTTATTAGGTAAATATTATCCTATGTTTATATTTAGTTAGTTTTAAGTTAGCCTATTGTTGTGTATTCAGTACAGATACATCCCTTTCATTGTTGATATGTATATTTAGCCTTTGCAGATCATTGACATGTACAAATACCTATACAGGGTTCCTGCAGGTTTCACCAACTCAAATGTAAGACTTTTTAAGACCTTTTTAAGACCTTTTTAAGACCACTTTGAATATAATTTAAGAACTATTTCACGGCAAGAAAGTATGAAGGAAAATTGCTATGAAAGAAGAAATACGTCCCATAATTACTTACAAAGTAAATGTATTCACGTTCAACATAAGAACAATGACTGAACATAACAGCATACAGAACTGTGTGTGTGTGTGTGTGTGTGTGTGTGTGTGTGTGTGTGTGTGTGTGTGTGTGTGTGTGTGTGTGAGACAAGAGCTATATTCAGAGCTCTGCTGCCTTGGCCACAATCGTTCATCGTTGCTGTTGTATGATTGGTGTTTAGCTACGGTATTTAGCGTCCACAGCACCTCCGCTTTTAGGGTTGACTTAAACGTCGCCCGGAGGTCCCCCGATGTTGTTGTGGGAGCTAACGCTACATTAGCAAAACAAACGCTAATTTTGTTTGCAAAAGGTGCAGCGGGCTTCAAACACGTTCCCCTCCACTGGTTTCAACCAAGCACTAAATTCAATGTTTTCCAACCAAATACGGTTGAACTTACACTTCCCCATATTTATTTGTAAGTAGATTCGAAGATACCAAGGTTTCTGACTGCCGCTAGCTGAAGCTTGGTTGCTAGGTTACTAGCTGGGTGTTCTCCGATAAGGGGCCGGGGGAAACAAAGTTAGAGATTACTGGTTCCATGTTAATTTATTTCAATACAAATTGTTGGGGGGGAACTGAAAGGCTATTACCGTACAGGTTACTTTGCAGCCCGGACATTTCCCCCCAAAACACATTTAGACGCGATCGCACCACAGAAGTACCTTTCAAATCCCATCATTTTTAAGACCTTCTAAATCATATTTAAGACCTTTCTTATTTTTTTGATCATATTTAAGACTTTTTAAGGCCTGAAATTCTGATTATCAAATGTAAGACTTTTTAAGACCCCGCGGGAACCCTGCTATATCACACACTACAGGAAAACCCCAAAAGGATTAATGTGCAATGGCTTGTTTACATGCTGCTGTGACAAAGTATATCTAATCTAATCAAAGCTGTCAAAAAGGTGAAACAACACTATAATGTTTTGTATTCATGCAGAGATGTTTTAGAGAGACTCGTACCTCCTCCTCTTCATCTTTGACCACGTACTGGGCCACTTTGAAGGAGCTGAGGTATTCGTTCATGCTCTGGATCTCAGTGTCGTCCGTGACGGGTCTCTGGTCCCTGTCCAGCAGGCGGTCGACGGCCTTGTCGTCGTAGTGGATCACACTGCCGTCGTCCTCCTTGCTGTTTCCTGGACGAGTGGAAAGGAGAGAAAAATAAACAACATTTACCAAAAAAAGGGTTAGAAAAGTGTCAGAAGAACTACAATTTCACGGGAAGACTAGGGGTAGAGGAATGTGAGAATCTGGTTCGGGATGTTGTCAAATATCTGGAACAAACTCCCAGAAACCGGCAGGTAACTCAGTGTTATATAAATAAACTTGCCAACTACAACATCCAATAACAATTCTAATTTGCCTCACAATCTGATCCACTTCCAACATCTGATCCCGACAAACAAATTGCGGCACGTCTTCAAAAATATCTAGCTATAGTTTTAACGCCGACTCAGTGTATTGCTGCAAATAAACAGTTGTTGTTAGAAAAATATCACTCGTCACCGGCTTGAGCTTCGATATCAGGATCCATGTATTTTATTATCCTCGCAAGAATGGAAATAGTCATCACATACAGTTGTCCTACAATGAAACGGCTTCAATGCCACGTTAATTGTAAAAGATAAACAAATGGTCGACAGAATGAATACTAGATCTTAAAGGTCCCCTATTATATTGTTTTTCATCAATATATTATAGGTCTGATATGTACAAAACATGTCTCCGAAGTGTTTGGTTCCAAACACCAAACAGATCAATGCAGCATCCCATAATCCCCTCTGTTTCAAAAGTGCTGATTCTCTGTCTGTTACTTTAGATGAAAATAAGGATATCACTCTATGTTCAAGAAGAAGTTGTTTGCGGCCTGCCAGTAAACCCAAAGCAGAAGAAGAAGAAGTGACGTCAGCGGCTTCATTTGCCTAATCTTCCCTCAGGGACTTATTCCGGTGTGAACGCGATCTGCTCTTTAGTTCCATGGGGGGTACTAAGTGCTGGGAACTAAGTGCTGGGAACTAAGTGCTGGGAACTAAGTGCTGGGAACTAAGTGCTGGGAACTAAGTACGGCAAAGTACTTGGTGTGAAAGCGGCTAATGGTGCTCTAGGAGGAGATTCAGGTGATAAGGTTACCTTGGTTGGTGATTGGCTAATGGTTACACAAGCCAAAACATCGTTATGACATCATAAAGTGGCCAAAATCTGATCAGCTCATTTTCAGACAGGTTTTTATATAAATGGATCAGGACAAAAAGAGAGGGAATCTTTGTTCCTGAAACTTTCAGAGTCTCTTTACACAGAGGGGACACATGTTGATGTAGAAGAGACATGAAGAAGAGGGGACACATGTTGATGTAGAAGAGACATGAAGAAGTGGATTTTGCATAATAGGTGACCTGTAAAACTATCCGTGTGTTAAAGTGGGCTCACCCTCTCCGAGTTCATGCTTGAACAACTCTTCGGTGCCGAACTTGAGGATGTCGTCGAGCTCCTGTTTGGACATGGATCCGGTCTTGGATCCGAGGCCGGGCCGAACCACCAGGTGAGTCAGCATCATCTTCTTCTTCGCCACCTGCAGACAGGAGGAGGACAAACTAAAAGGTTAGCAAGAACATTTGTTGACATGCTTGTTATTTCTTGCAGTCCTTTCTTCTTCCACAGACCTGCGTGATCCTCTCCTCCACCGAGGCTTTGGTGACGAAGCGATAAATCATCACTTTCCTGTTCTGACCGATACGGTGAGCTCTGCTGAACGCCTACGAAGAGCAAAGAAGAAACAGATGAATCACCTGGAATCATCATTTACAGTCCACATATTTATACCTTTTCACACACAATTTCTCTCATTGCACCAATGTGTCACTTTCTTATTACACTTTTAAATCTTTATTGTTATATCTTAAAGTGGACCTATCATGCTATATTTGAATAATATAGTGTAGGACCATACCTATATAAGGCATATTTATACGTTTTCAAAATACCAAACAGATCACGCATTTTAGCCATGCCTCATTTCGCTCAATTTGAAAAATGTTAGCTCTGTTTTTGCAAGGGCAGATTCTGTGAGAACAGCACCATCTAGAGGCCTGGCATATGTACTACAGCGTCTCCAGCGCTTTCGAACGGCAATGGCCGTGGCTGTCTCCTCCTGATTGGTGGAGTTGGCCCAATAGCCGTAGCGCCACCGTCCTGACAGTGTTCAAATCTGGATCAGTTTTTATCAGATCCGTTGCAGCCCCTTTTTTAGAGATTTGGGTATGGAGGAAAATAGAGAGGGTTGTGTTTTCTGACACTTGGTTTCCTGGAACACCGGGAACACATATTCATGTATAAAAGACGTACAAAAGTGCATTTTGCATGATAGGTCCCCTTTAAGTAACCTTTTATGTTTTATTTATTTATCATCATATTTGATTTACTTGTTTATAGACTCTTCTTGCACTATTTCTATTTCTATTTTATTTGTATTTACTTGCATTATTTTATCTGTTTTACTTGTTCTATGTCCTATATGTATGTTGCACTGTTGGAGGAGCCTGTGACCTACGTTTTTCATTGACATATCTACACTGTAGCTAATGTGCAGATGACAATAAAGCCTTGAATTGAATTTAATTGAATGTTACTAATAAAAAACCTGGGACAACTACACTGTCAAAGCCATTGAATCATTACATTAATGCACACAATGTGGACAACATCTGGTTAGCTTACTGCACATATTTGATTGCATTCTATTTCAATGTAAATTACTGCTTTATTTTAATTTCTATTCTACTATATTATTATTATTATTATTTTTGTTGTAATGTTATTGTAAGAGCCATTTAGGCACATTCTTTTATGGTAATGAATTATGGTTTGGTGAGCCAATTGAATATTCTTTAATTTAACTTAAATGAGCTGAATAACTATGAATTATTATTATACTGTTTTTGTAACGTTTTATCTTGCTTATAGAAAGCAGATTGTAGTAGCGTGCTCAGGTATGAATGACGCTGCCAGCGTGACACAGCAGGAAGTCTAGAGAGGAAGTTGGAAAAGGTTTTTGACCGCACACATCCGTACGACTGGGATTTGTTTGTTTATATGTTTAAATACCGTGCAAAGGTTGCACGTCGGCATTGGGCCGCCAGCTGATCCATTGAACCTCCTAATAAACAGGGTATCTGCAGGAATCCTGAAGTCAAATGTAATACCTTTTTTAAGACCCTTTCCATACATTTTAAGACCTCATCGCCACTTGGAGTTCTAACCGGTTACCTTGGCGACACACTTTACCTCACATTTACTATATACAGTATTGATTGTCCTTCCTCCTTATCTTCCAACCATTTGGACGCAAACTTGCATTTCCCCATAACGATGTTGTTTAAAGGAGAGGTGTCATGCTTTTCCGGTTATTACCCGTCCCCTTGTGTGTTATGAAGGTTTGTATGTATGTAAACTAAACGGTGTGCAGAGTCAAAACCCTCAAAGTACACCCTGTAGCGAGTAAAACTCTAACACAGAAAATACCTCCCCAAAACGCCTCGTTGGAGATACGTCATTGTCCATTTGATTCTTCCGGGACGGCATGATGTCAACCCGTACCCGGAACGAAATGGACCAATCCGTGGAGCCGTTACGTTACGTCCGCGGAGCCGTTACGTTAAGCCCCCGCTGATTGGTCCAAATTGACCAATCCACGGACTTCCTCACACACAGGCAGCTCTGCTGATTTCTCCTCCCTGGCTGCAGGCTGATAACAGACAGTTGGGATCACGGCAAAATTCTCTCTGCAGACCCATTCTCACAGCGTTTATCAACCTTTTTCTTACTCAATATCAAGCCACACTTATTGTTTTTACTTCGGATGTGACTTTGTGTGTGCTCAGGATGAGTTTGGCTGTGTTTCGCTATGTATCCTAAACCTGGAAACAACACCTCCACGAAGCTCAGCGCGATTCACAACGTCCCGACCAATCAGAGCACACTGTGCTCACAGGGAGGGTGGGGGCTGGAGCTTTTGGAGCTACAACGAGCCGTTAAAGGCAGAGAGTGAAATTCAGTGAATACACGTAGTTTACAGAGAGGCTGTTTGAGAAACCAATGTGAGTTTGGAAAAATGCACAGTATAAATCTATTCTAGTAGACCTCAACAATGGAATTATGATCAGTGGAAATGGCCATGACACCTCTCCTTTAACAACCGTCGTAAACGGACTTTCTCGCTATCAAGCAGTGAGCGTGCGATGTCCTGTTCAGATGACGTCAAATCCAACGGGATGCCATAAATAAACTACACAGAATCACACTACACACCTACGCAATGATTACATTCAGGCAGACTGTAGAATACAACCTCTTTGGACAATTTATATACTTATTGAAAACAAGCTACAAAATGTAATACCTTGGAAAATGCCGTTTAATACTTTTTAATAGCCTTCATTTTCGCTAAATTGATTTATCAACTTTTAATACTCGTTAAGACCCCGTGGACACCCTGTAATAATGTTAATGTTGCAGCTGGTAAAGTTGAGTGCTTTATAAATACTGCTGGGTGCCATACAATCATTTCTATGTTGATTGCAGGTTTAGATTATTATTACAAAATGTCAAAGTAATTTGTAAGTATAAAGTTCAATGATGGCTTCCAAAATGTGATGAAGTAGAAAGCAGAAATTAAGGGAAATACTCAATTTGTTTGTACTTTGCAAGTCCAGCACCTAAAGTACTTATTTACACTCAACCATTGCATATTAAAGTAACCACGGTTAGATCGTTGTACCTCGTCTGACTCTTGAACCTCCTAATAAAGCACTTGAATGGAACGAGCAAGGTCTTTGGATTTCTTGAACATACGCGAGTCAATACTCGAATTCGCCTCCTAGACTAAGTGGCCTTTGAACATTTGGACAATTGGCCACTACAGTTATTATAGTGTTCTTAATATAGTTCGCTATCTGTGTTTTTTTATTTTTGTTTTACTTTTATGTATGCACCACGACACCAAGTCAAATTCCTCGCACGTGTCAACCTACGTGGTGATAAACCTGTTTCTGATTCTGATCATCTCAAGATGCTGAAATTGAAGTGAGGTACTGCACCGCTCAAGAGTTTCAGTACCTGGATGTCGTTGTGCGGGTTCCAGTCCGAGTCGTAGATGACGACGGTGTCAGCGGAGGCGAGATTAATGCCCAGACCTCCAGCTCTGGTTGAGAGGAGGAACGCAAACTGCGGAGCCCCCGGAGCTGAGTGGAGGAGAAACAGAAGAGAAACAATAGACTCTTTTCACACTCAAGATTCAAGGCTTTTTTGTCATGCACAGTAGCTACAGTGGAGATATGAAACGCTTTCACACCAAGTACTTGTCCGGTACTTGTCCCCGCTACTTGTCCCCGGTACTTGTCCCCGGTACTTGTTCCCGGTACTTGTTCCCCCCGAACTCTTTAGTCCCTCGAACTGTCCTAGTAGAAGCTTTCTAGGGACTATCTGGGGGTGAAAAGGTTCGCGTGAACTAGGGACTAGTTCCAGATCCGTTTTGGTGTGAAACCAAATCCCCCCCCCCCCCCCCCTATCGGCCTAGTTCGGGGGGGAAAGTACTCCGGTGTGAAAGCGCCTATGGCAATAAAAAACTCAAAGCTCCCCTATTATACTGTTTGTCATGTATTTATGATCCTCTCAAGAATGGAAGTAGTCATCACATACAGAGCATTTGGTACAACTAGTTCCTGAACAGTGTCCTTCACATGCTGATATACAAGAGAGGGAGTTTATCCCAACAGTTGTCCTACAATGAAACGGCTTCAATGCCACGTTAATTGTAAAAGATAAACATAAAAACGAATGGTCGACAGAATGAATACTAGATCTTAAAGGTCCCCTATTATAGTGTTTTTCATCAATATATTATAGGTCTCAGATATATACAGAACATGTCTCTGATTGGCTGAAACACCAAACAGATCATTGCAGCATCCCATAATCCCCTCTGTTTCAGCCCTGTTTCCAAAGTGCTGATTCTCTGTCTGTTACTTTAGATGAAAATAAGGAGCCCCTCCCCACGCCCCTCTGAGAGATATTTGGTTAAAAAGAACTCAATGGTGCTCTAGGAGGAGATTCAGGTGATAAGGGGGGGGGGGGGTTACCTTGGTTGGTGATTGGCTAATGGTTACACAAGCCAAAACATCGTTATGACATCACAAAGTGGCCAAAATCTGATCAGCTCATTTTCAGGTTTTTATATAAATGGATCAGGACAAAAAGAGAGAGAATCTTTGTTCCTGAAACTTTCAGAGTCTCTTTCCACAGAGGGGACACATGTTGATGTAGAAGAGACATGAAGAAGAGGGGACACATGTTGATGTAGAAGAGACATGAAGAAGAGGGGACACATGTTGATGTAGAAGAGACATGAAGAAGAGGGGACACATGTTGATGTAGAAGAGACATGGAGAAGAGGGGACACATGTTGATGTAGAAGAGACATGGAGAAAAGGGGACACATGTTGATGGAGAAGAGACATGAAGAAGAGGGGACACATGTTGATGAAGAAGAGACATGAAGAAGAGGGGACACATGTTGATGTAGAGAAGACATGAAGAAGAGGATTTTGGATAATAGGTGACCTTTAAAATTGGCTGCTCTCGTCATTACCATCTTGGGAGCAATGCCACTGCCTAACCTCCGTCTAATCTGTAAATGGGCCCCGTTGGTGGTGGTCTTGTTGAATATGAATTCACACAGGGTTTGACGTATGTGGCTCACCATTAAATCTGTCGATGGCCTCCTGCCTCATACTGCCCGTGACGCTTCCATCAATCCTCTCGTATTTGTAGCTCTCGTTCTCCAGGAAGTCCTCCAGCAGGTCCAACATCTTGGTCATCTGAGAGAAGATCAGCACTCGGTGTCCTCCGTCCTTCAGCTTCCTCATCATCTTCTGCATCAGCGTCAGCTTCCCTGAAGACTTGGTCAGAGCGTTGCCCTCGTACATGCCGTTCGGAAGTTTTGCTGCCTCCTACAATCACAGAAAACACATCAATCAAGACTGCATTAAACATTAGCGGCGTAAAATCACAACTTCCATCACAGTATGATATTATGTCGGTTCTTTGGACAACAAAAGAGTATTAACTGATATTTCAAATGACAGGATTTGGATTGAATTCAATGACCTGCAATCATAACAATCAGTTACATTTATTATAACTAAAATGTAATTTGCCATGAGACATTTGACTGAAAAACAATCTATTATTTTTTAAACAAATATACCTTTTCTACCGTGCCATTTGTCTCATGTTTAAGGTTTGTTTGAATGTTAGGGGAGGACGTGCTCTTGGACGAAATGGTTGACACAATAATGCCAAAATTGTTTTTTTTATTCACTTTGCATCAATGATATTGGATCGCTGATCTATAAATTAAGTTATACCCCTATACATGTGTTTAAATTCATAGAACTTGTTCACATTCACTTGTGTAACCATTAGCCAATCACCAACAAGGTAACCCCCCCCCCCCACCTTATCACCTGAATCTCCTCCTAGAGCACCATTGTGTTATTTTTAACCAAATATCTCTCAGAGGGGCGTGGGGAGGGGCTCCTTATTTTCATTTAATGGCGCATTTCCACTACAGCGTGGTTTAAGCGTGCCGTGCCGGGCCCGTTTTTGGTTGCGTTTCCACTTGGCGTACTGTTTCACAGTTTTCTGGCTCTCCAAAATCGAGGTTCTTTCCGGGCCAACAACCGGGCTGAGTATGCTAAACTAGTGAGAGAATCGCTGGCAACTACAACAAGATGGACATATTTGACCGTGATTTAATTGTAATACACGTTTCAAAATGATGCCGAAGTAACAACATACTGATACCGGTTAGTAAAAACCATGAATTAATGCTTTGGCAAGTCTGCAGACAGACGGCAGGCGAAAAACCTTTTAAAATGCGTGTTTTCTAAATGGAGATTGGCTAAGCTAACGTTGCATATGCTCCGACCGTCCACACTCACAACAACGGCCTATGCAGACATAAATAAAGCAGCGACTGTATTCGCCATGACACAGGCAGTCTGTGGTTTGTACTTGTTTAACTTTTGTCTAGTTTCTGAACATATATGAGGAGCTGTGAGCTCTGAGGGCTAACGGCTAACGGCTAACGGCTGATGTTGGTTTTGTGTTTCGCATTGAAGATGACGTCACGGCTCCGCCTACACTGCGTTACTATAGTTACTACCCCAGTTCCTAAACTGTAATGGAAACGCAGCATAAAGTGAGCCTGGCCTACCAAGGCCTAACTATACCGTACTAAGCCGTGCGAGGCCCTGCAGTGGAAATGCGCCATAAAGTAACAGACAGAGAATCAGCACTTTGGAAACAGGGCTGAAACAGAGGGGATTATGGGATGCTGCAATGATCTGTTTGGTATTTGGAGCTAAACACTTCAGAGACATGTTTTGTATATATCTGAGACCTATAATATATTGATGAGAAACAGTATAATAGGGGACCTTTAATATGAGTGTTTGTTTTGCTATCCTGAGCATTCAGCAACGTATATAAACAAAGGATATCATTTATTTGAGATATGTATGGTACCATGGCGGCGGTAGGAAACAGGTAGGGGTGGTTGCAGCACTTCTTCAGGTCCATCACCACGTTGAGCAGAGACACCTGGTTTCCTCCTCCTCGAGTGTTCAGAGCATCGAAGTTACGCGTCAGGATGAACTTGTAGTACTTCCTTTATTACGAAAAACAATGAGAATATGAAAAAGATAATGAGAATAGACAAAAGGGAAAATGTAAAAAACACGTATTTCAGACTTTATATCCTATAGTATCGGAAATTAAGAGGCAGGAGAATTCATATCCATAGTCTTCAATAAGTTGTAATTTTGATTAAAAATACAGATTAATATTCAAAGTGTTGTAGGAATAAATAATACAGAAAATAATGAACTTATCATAAGTATCTTTTCATGGCAAAATGTGGGATATTTCGTGGTTTCTTGATTCTCAAATGTCAATATTTGCTGCTTTTCCTTACATTTTTTATGATTATAATTTTAATATTTGAGGTATGGACAATTTGTTGGTAAAGAAAAACATTAAGTACATTTTCTCAATATTCTAAATGTTTAATTTTAAGCTACACAATAAACAAGCTTGGCTCTCTATAATATGTTCACACACAGAAAGTATAGAATAATATATTCAGCGATTCTTCTCCGACACGTTAATACTTTTAAAAAACTATGTTCATACATCGTTTTTCAAAAAAAGAATGTTTTACGCCGTCATTTAGACTGGTTTGATTTTCATGTGTGTGTAACTTAACACTTGTTAGAATATATCACTACACATCGTCTATTTACGTACTTCTGCATAGGGCTGAGCTCCACCCTCACGATGAGCTCCGTCTTTGAAGGCATGTGTTTGAAGACGTCGGCCTTCAGCCTGCGGAGCATGTGAGGGCCCAGCATGTCGTGCAGCTTCTTGATCTGATCCTCTTTGGCGATGTCTGCAAACTCCTCCAGGAAGCCTTCCAGGTTGCTGCGGAGAGAAATGATCCCATGAATACAGGAGGGTGGGGAGCGGGGTCCTCATATTTAACCCTTGTGTTGTGTTCAAAAGATGTTAGCGTTCATGGTGTTCGCGGGTCAATTTTGACCCATGATTTATCTCAGTCCAAAACACTCAAAACAATATTGGATGATAGTCATTATTTTTAACTACATCATAACTAACTTATAATACCTTCATAACCGCACAATCCTGTTGTAATTTAATGTTATGGCCCAAAACACATCACACCACATATTGCACACGTGCATGTGTGAGTTCAGGTTCAAATGTTAGTGTACATATTCTTTGAGAAAGGTGGAGTTCCCGTAAAGCACTTTAAACCTCCAGACCAAAGTGCTGTACAGTCAAATAAACACAATAGACAATTTAAAAGCAATAAAAGCAACAATCTAAAAGATGTTAATACGCTAAGGAGAAGAGGTGGGTTTTCAGAAGCGATTTAAAAGCAGACAGTGTGGCGGCCTGTCTGGTGTGCAGGGGCAGATCGTTCCACAGTGTGGGAGTCTCTACAGAGAAAGAAAGGTCCCCTCTGAGCTTAGACCTGGTTCTGGGCACATTCAGGAGCAGTTGATCCGCTGACCTGAGAGGGCGGTTGGGCGTGTAGGGGTGTAGCAGCTCAGAAAGATATGGTGGGGCCATGCCATTAAGGGATTTTAAAGTAAATAAAAGGATTTTGAAATGAATCCTAAAATGTATGGGCAGCCAATGGAGCGAAGCCAAAATGGGGGAAATGAGCTCATATATATATATATGCTCTGGAGGTGTGAGTACTGACTTGAATCTGACGGGGGTCAGGAAGTTGAGCAGGTGGAAGAGCTCCTCCAGGTTGTTCTGCAGAGGAGTGCCGGTCAGCAGCAGCTTGTGTTGCAGAGGGTAGTTGTTCAAGATGCGAAAGAACTAACAAAAGACAGGGAGGAAAAATACGTTCAATTTTAGGTATTAAACGTAATAATAAAACACAACAACATACAGAAGACCTGAGGGCGACACAGCATGTTTATGATTTTAAGAGTCAACTCAAGACCCAGCTTTTAAATGTGGCTTTTAATTGAAATGTAACATAACGTGACGTAACATAACGTAACGTAACGTAACATTACGCAGCGTAGGGTAACATAACGTGACATAGTGTAACAAAACGTAACATAACATTACGCAGCGTAGGGTAAAATAACGTGACATAACATGACGTGACATGACATAACGTGACATAACATAACATTACGCAGCGTAGGGTAACATAACGTGACATGACATAACGTGACATGACATAACGTGACGTGACATAACGTGACGTGACATAACGTGACGTGACATAACGTGACATGACATAACGTGACATGACATAACATTACGCAGCGTAGGGTAACATAACGTGACATGACATAACGTGACATGACATAACGTGACGTGACATAACGTGACGTGACATAACGTGACATGACATAACGTGACATGACATAACGTGACGTGACATAACGTGACGTGACATGACATAACGTGACATGACATAACGTGACATGACATAACGTGACATGACATAACGTGACATGACATAACGTGACATGACATAACGTGACATGACATAACGTGACATAACATAACAAAACGTAACATTACGAAGCGTTATGTTATGTTATGCTATGTTACGTTATGTTACGTTATGCTATGTTACGGTATGTCACGTTATGTTATGTCATGTCACGTTATGTCATGTCACGTTATGTTACCTAACTAAACATAGCATTACATAACATTAAGTAACCTAACAATACGTAACGTAGCATAACGTAACAATACGTGACATAACATTACGTTTTATTGAGTCCTGTGTTTATTGACGTCCGTTGGTGTTAAGTGTTGTTATTGATCTCAGGGTTATGTGTTGCTCTGTTCATAAACTAGGAGGAGAGTTCTTACTTTCTTATTTTGCTTTGTATTGTTTACCGTTTGGAAAGCACTTTTTGTTACCTTCTGTGTTTGAAAAGTGCTACATAAATAAAGTTTGATTGATTGATTAGTGAGTTAGAATTACCATGTGCAACACAGCAGCAATGCAGGTGTTGTGAAATATAAACACATTGAATTGAAATGTATATAAATCAGATATGCATTTGAAATTAGGGCTGCAATTATTTTTGTATTATCTAAAAAGTTAAATATATACATGTTGACAGTGAAAGTTAAATATAAGTGCTGTGTGTTTGTATTACCTTGGACTGGTTGTTTTTGAGCCGGTGGGCCTCGTCCACCACCAGGCAGGCCCACTCGATGGAGCCCAGCACGGCCTGGTCGATGGTGATCAGCTCGTAGGACGTCAGCAGGACGTGGAACTTCACCGTGGAATCTTTCTGTAAAACACAGAGACAGGGGGACAAACGTTCAGCTGTGAAACACGGGACAGAGGAACATACATCATTAATAATTACTGCAATAGAGTGGTGCAGGGATGACGTATTTTTGTAGGCCGACCCGGAAGTAAGCTGCGCATGGGTTCCCTCGACAAAAAAGCAATGGGATTTCTCCATAGGATTTTGGAATACTGTAAAAAAATAAGGTCTGTGGAAAACGAACCTGTTTGATAAATGCACGTTTTGTTCAGCCGGATAATCTCCACATGTCTACCCTACTTTTATCATTTTCTAATCATAAATCTAATCGCCAGAAGCTAAATGCTAACGTTATGCTACAAAGGAACTACAGCCGAGTACAGCAGCACGACTTCAACGTCACGCCAACTTAAGATAGTAAAACTACAGTGTTAAATACGAGGTTTTAGGACTCGTTCCTGCACCACTCTATTGTTTCTAGTATTAATAATGAACGACTAATTAAAACTGGTGGTTCGGTCTTTGTACAGTATGGCAGTATCAATATGTTTATCTACCAGTATAACATTGATACAGGACCAATGAAATGCAGGGCACCAATCAAAACTGACTTTACTCTTGCCTTCAACTCCTTATCCACTAAACCCTCGGGCCCTTATTCCACCTAGCTTAGCACTTTTTACTTTAGTTGTTATTTTTCTTCTTAACTTGCTTGTAAAGCGCTTTGAGCACCAGGAAAAGCGCTTTATAAATGACATTAGTATTATTATTATTAGTTGGAGTTATAACTGTCGTGTCAAATGATCATATAATCGTTTAAAACATATAGCCTTGTACTCCGATTGCCTTTTACTCTGTTAAATTGTATTTTAGTCTTGTATGTGTTTAACAGAGACATATGTTAAGGGTTTACATTTCAGGAGGGCAAAGGAAGTGTGAAAGGGGGATTTGCAAATGGTTAAGGACGAGGGGGTTTTATGGTTTAATGGTGGGGATGTTTAGGCCTAGGCTCCACGGGGACGAAAACGGGTTGAATCCGCATATTTCTCATGCGTATAGCCCTTTAAGCTCGACGACGCCGTAACAGAAACGTAGAAACAGACCCCGCAAACGACAACGGGTCCAAAGGTGGATAGATCTGGGAACGGAGCGCTCTGGGGGGTCCAACGGGGCCGTGGGGTCGCCTATACGGTCATCCGTTTTATAGCCCCGCCTCTCCCCACCTCTCCGCATCATTGCTGATGTGTTTCGTTAACAACAACAATAGCTATTTTAATTACCTCTCAAACTACCTAAACTAGTTATAAATATGTTTATTTTGACTGTCGAGTCATCATTACTGGATCAGCTGCTGCATGAGACAGACACTGACGCTGTCAGAAGAGAGGAAAAAGAGACAGGCTCTGTGTATTTGATGATTATATATCATTATATCGTCGTTATTCATTTGTTTAAAGCTCAATAAATAACAATGAAGACCTTTGACCGGCACTTTTATAATTTTGTCCGGAAGATTTAAACTTTAACACACGCTGACCGGCGAAAAACTCTGCCCGGATCCCTCGGCCCCCACCGCGGAGAATAAACAGAAGTGCAGCCATGACAACCATTCTTCTTCACTGCTTTTGGGGAGGAAGTTGCTGCTTTTTGTGGAGGAAGTTACAGCGCCACGTACAGGTTCGGCATATGTACTGCAGCTTTTCCAGCGGTTGGATGTAAACGGAGCCGTCTCGTGGAGCTTGACACAATCCGGTGTATATTGCGTGTGGGCGGAAGGTTTTTTGCGGTTGCGTTTGCGTTACTCCGATGCGTTTTGCCGTATGCGTTCCCGTGGAGCTGGGGCCTTAGATGATGCCTAAGAGAATTTAAGGGTGGGACCAGTTGGCTTTTCTCTCGACTATATAGTGTGACTGTGAGCTGTGTTCTGGGTGCAGAACTTCTCTATCCTCTGAGGATGAAGCTGCTCTGTTCCTGCATTTCAGATCGATTTCACTTGTATATTGACTTTCTTTATTACTTTATTACATTTGTCCATGAATCATTTACTAGTTTCTCTTAAGAATTTCCTCCACAATAACACTTGCTCTACATTCTCCCTTACCTTCATCTTGGAAGCTTTCTTCCCGCCCCGGATGGCGTTGTCCTCGAAGGAGAACTCGTTCTCCCTGATGACGGCTCGGCTGTCTTTGTCTCCCACGTAGGTCACCACGTACATGTCGGGCGCCCACAGCTCAAACTCCCTCTCCCAGTTGATGATGGTGGAGAGCGGGGCGCTGACCAGGAAGGGACCTTTGGAGTGACCCTGTAACGGGAGAGAAATCATCATTGTAGGAGCCATAAGTTAAAATGTATAATTTTAACACAAATATGACTTATTTGGGTCCAGACAGAAATGACATGATATCATTTTAGAAAGTTAACACTTAATAGAGTAGACGTGTACAATTCCAGCTGCAAACTTAATATGAGAGTTGTTTGTTTTGCTATCCTGATGTGATCGAGGTTAATGCAAGAGGCATTCGGCAAATTATATAAACAATAGATTACAATATGAATAGCAAATCATAAAACCCAAAATCGCTTTTCTTTATATTTTTGGGAAGATTCAAAGTGTATTTATTTGTAAGATTGATTTAAGACATTTTAATACCAATTACGTCCTCCTGTTTAAATTCATTAATTCAATGCCTATTAATTAATTTAAAGTAAGTGCAGAAGCCCCGTAATACTTAATGACTGCATTTATATAGTGATTTGTTTCAAAGCGATTTCCAATTTGCTTTCTTAATCCAGCCGCTGTCTATCCATGAAACATCAACATATCTCCACAGCTGGATGTGTCCTGCCCTGCCTTTAGGATAAGAGTTCCTCACTCAGAAAGCATCCCCTTTATTGGGCAGAGTCACTGTGTGTCACATGTCTGAAACCCGACACACTGACATTGATTGACAGCGGAGGGCAGACCGGACGAAATATCATCAGTACAACACAACAACAAATGATCGAAGGTCCCAAACAGAAACATATAATATCTAGCCAGGTTTCTTTCTAGAAGATATGGAGAGGAAGCTACTGGGTCCAGTTTTGTTTACAACCACAGCTTCACACACTATCATGTTAAGGGGCCTACACACCAAACTGACCCCAAAGAACACGTCCCGACGGAACACGACTGTTGTGTCGCCTCACGTCTCCTGCGTCTTGGCCAACAGTCGCACTGGAACACACCGCAAAGACTTCAGCCGACGGCCAAGTAGCACGTACGAACTGCGCATGCGTGAGTGGCAATAACTCTCCTTACCAGCAGGCGGCGGTAGTGTGTATTCGTCATTCAAAAAGAGGCAACAACCGGAAGACAGGCCGTTTCTCAATGTCGAGGAGGCTTGCTTGGTATCACATGTATGCTGGGCATTTAAACAGTGGTTCGGCGCCACTCGATGACGTAGTATGCTTGAAATAGTGGCTCTGGAGCAGCTTTACTCGACATTGAGAAACAGCCACAGACTGCGTGATACACCGAGAGAAGAAGAACAGACTGCGTGAAATAAACAAACAACAAATAGCGTGTGCGTTCCATTTTCACTCTACAGCGAGAAGCTCATGGGGCTTTCCCGAACCTGTGTCGAGAGCTGGAGTTAAATGAAATCTCAGATTTGCCTTCTTAATAGTTTGTTTGGGTCCCTCACTTCCGTTTCGCTTCTCAGGCACTGATTCGCTAAGCTGAACAGCCAATCGGAGTGATTTATTTTGGCCGACAGCCTGGCGGCGGAAGGTGTCAGGGCGGCCGAAAAGACACGACGGGGCGGGACACACCAATCTGAGTAGGGCGACAGGACGCTCATCGACGGCCAGACATCCATCGACACTGGAAATCGGCTTTTTTGTGTACATATGTCATTTGACGCTACTTGTTGCCTGTTGCCACTTGATCCAGTCCACGGGGGTCCTGGGATGGTGCGTTTTTTTTAAATTTAATTTGTGTACTTTGTTTGTTTTGTAAGGGAACGGTTTGTATGTACTTCACGTGGTATGTATGTGTTTTGTACCATGCCTTTCTGCTTAAATAAATAAAACAATTTGATCACAAAAATACAAGAAAAACATGTTTTAAGTGGAGGGGATGTTTAAATGATGTCCGTACCTCCTTGTACAGTGAGTAGAGGAACACCGCCGTCTGTACAGTTTTCCCTAAACCCATCTCATCGGCCAGGATGGTGTCAGTGGCCTGCGCCCAGGAGAACCGGAGCCAGTTCAGACCCTCCAGCTGGTACGGGTGCAGCGTTCCCCCGGTGCTGTCCAGGTAGTCGGGCTGACGGTCAAACTTAATGGTGGGCTGGAGGGAGAGAAACCAAGAAGAAAATCAAATCTGAGCTGATTCAAGCGGCTTTATTCTGCCACGGGAATACACTATACAACGATGCCATATCATATACTGTAATACATTATTATTTTGTTAATGAGGAACTACATATGGCAACCAAGACTGTTTTTAGAAATAAGAAAGTTAGATTTGGTTGCTTTAAAGTTTCACAATGATGCTGTGTTCACACCGGACGCGATGCGATGTTTGGGGGCGGCGTGATTACATGTAAAGTCAATGCAGAGACGCGGCGCGATTGAAGGGGGCCGCGACAAACGCTCAAGTTCAATTTTTTCAACTCGAGCGTCATATTCGCGTGACGCGATCTCGCGGTAGCCAATCAGCGGTGAGGATCTCAGCCTGCCGTCACTGACGTTCAACCAGAAAACATCAGCCGTTAGCTGTTAGCAGTTAGCCCTCACAGCTCCTCATATCTGTTCAGAAACTGGACAAAAGTTAAACAAGTACAAACCACAGACTGCCTGTGTCATGGAGAATACAGTCGCTGGTTTATTTATGTCTGTAGGCCGTTGTTGTGAGTGTGGACGGTCGGAGCATATACTGCGTTAGCTTAGCCGATCTCCATTCAGAAAACACCCATTTTAAAAGGTTTTTTGCCTGCCGTCTGTCTGCAGACTTGTCAAAGCATTAATTCATGGTTTTTACTAACCGGTATCAGTATGTTGTTACTTCGGCATCATTTTGAAACGTGTATTACAATTAAATCACGGTCAAATATGTCCATCTTGTTGTAGTTGTAGCCCCCGAGCTAGCGCGTCTTGTTTGAATGACGCGGGTAAACACAGCTGACAGCCGCGGTGAAACTGGAGCGATTAGAGCGAAGCGAATATTTGCATCGCGTCCGGTGTGAACGCAGCATTAGGGCTACAACTACTGATTACTGTAATTTTTCTGTGGATCATTTTCTCGCTGAATTGATTGAATGTCAGAAAATGTTTGAAAATACAGAAAAAAAGTCCAAGATTTTATCCATAACCAAATGTTGAGTTTAATTTGATATAAAACAAGGAAAAGTAGTAAAATGTGCTTATTTGAGGCTGAAAACAGCATTTTTGGCATGAAAAATGATCATTATTATACGATGAATTACCAAAAAAGGGTTGTCACATTTAGTTTTCTGTCAGTCAACTTATCCATTAGTTGCCTAATCGTTGCAGCTCTTCTATAAATACTCACATCAATAACCGGGTTAGCAGGTGGCCGCTCCGCCTTCTTAACTTTGACCGTCTTCTTCAGCTTCTTCTGAGGTTTGCCCTCGTCCCCCATCATCAACTCTCTGAAAACAAAAGACAGTCTGTGAGATCAAAACTCATAGATGCAGAAGAAGGAAGAAGCACCTTTTATTACTGCTGTGTAAATAGAAGCCGAGCGAGTCTTATCCAAACTGAACGTGTTTACCTTATATTAATATCACAGTTTCCAACAAGAACGGTAGAAGACGGGGAAAAGGCACTCGACATACTCGTATTCATTTCAAATCATGACAGGAAGGAGAAACAGCAGGACACATACCTGCACTTCAAAATAAAAGCATTTCCTGTGAAACATTTTACCCTTAACTTTGTCAAGAAGCAAATAAACACATTTTTGTACTGTCTTAAATAAGAAGTTACAACAATTGCACGTCTGGGGCGCTTCAAAAAACCCAAACCATCAGTGTATACATCTGAAATGTTGTCATAGAGCATATCTAACACCAATAATTAGACAAAAATTATAATTTTTCACGAAACTGTGTCTCAGGGCTTCTTAACATTTAAAAACCTATTAATGTGTCATGCTCACTTAACGGGAAGAAACTCAGCTAACTGACGATACGAACCATTTTTACCGAAACAAAACACAAGTCTCACAAGAAGCGTCTAAATGAGCCCTGAGCGAGAAAATGCTAACACACTTAGCAGAGAACTCTAGGTATAAATACCTTATTACATATCGGATCTGCAATAATTAGACACAGAATTGGATTGGTACCTGACCCTTATTGTTCATGTTGTCACCAGGGAACCATTGGCTCTTTCTTACATGTTGTATGGGAGTGTCCAGGAGTATTACACTTTTGGGGGAAGGGTATTAGTACCCTTACAGATTTAATAGGGTTAAGATTACCAATGGAACCTGCATCTTCTAAATGATGAATCTCACCTTTCCCTTACGGGGAAAACTCGCAAAATCTGGCTAACAGGCTTGACTGCAGCCAAGAAGATTATAGAAGGATGGGATTGAATGAATCCAAAATGTTGTGCAACCTGAATTGTCTTCTGTATTGTGTTGTAAATTGAAGATGTTGCAATAAAAAAATGTATGATTAAAAAAAAATAACAATTGCGCGTCTGCACACCTGTGGTTCCAGTAGGTCTGTCTGTAGGTGTCAAACTCGGGGACGTCCATTTCCTCCATCTCCCAGGTGGACTGGTCGTAGGGAAGGTCTCTCCATTTGATCAAGTAATGAATGTTGCTCTTCTTATCAACACTGTGAGGAAAAAGAAAATAGAAAAGGGGGGGAGTGGGTAAACAGTGCGTCCTAGCCATCATTGATTAAGGCGTTTGATGGCTTGTGGGACGAAAGACAGCCTACAGATCTGTTCTTTTTAAACAGAGGGCCACGATATCTCCGCCCGGATGGCAACAGTTCAAAATAAGAAGCGAGAGGGTGCCTCGGGTCACTCAACATATTGTGTGCCATTTTTAAAACTCTGTCCTTGTATAAGCTTCCTAGACTAGAACATGAGATTCCTGACAACTTACTGGACAATGTTACGGCCCTCCTGACTGACTTTGTCTGTGCCTCAGTGGCGTTGCCGAACCAGCATATGATGCCGAAGGAGAGCACACTTTCAATAAAAGCATGATAAAACATCTTAACCATTCTGTTGCCGACATTAAAAGACAATCATTTACGTAAAAAGAACATTCTTTGTTGAGACTTAGCATTTACTTTCTCAGACCATACATCCCATCTGAGCTTGTGGTCAAGCACGACACCAAGATACTTGTACTCAGTGACACATTGTGTTTCTAGGTTCAGGCTTGTCTAATTTAGACAATTATAGAATAAGTTCATATTTGCCATCATACAAAGAAATGCGTAGCACGGTTTCCCTCTAAGGTACATTTAGAACAGATCAAAAATGTGCGATTAATTTGCGATTAACTATTTTAATCGACTGACAGCCCTATTTATAATATAACACTATTTGTGTCGTACCTGTGGTTGAGGATGCGGTGGATCATCAGCCACTCCATCTTGACTCCGTAGCGGCCGAACTTCTCCTCCATGTGGACGAAGAGAGGATCTTTGTTCTTCCTCTTGTTGCTTTTGTTTTCGTCACCCTCGCCTCCAGCGTCTACAGGCGGAGGTTCGTCCATGTCGGTCTTCCTCTGGTAGTTACGAAACATCACCTGACAGTTCAGCTCCAACTGGGAACGAGCGATGGGAGGAAGAGAGGAAAGAGACCATTGGGTTTGCGTTAGAAATGCATCAACGTCCGATTTTTGAAGATTTATTCAAACGTTTCTTCCATTGCAAGCGTACACACAAAACAGTCTAGCTTTCTATCATCGAAAAATTGAAATAATTTTATGTTCATAATAAAACATTGACCTATAAATATCTTGCATTACATTCCAAAATTGCACAAAGTGACATGACCTTCTTTCGCTTTCACTCAAACAGATCTCGAAATCAAAGTGTGAAATCCAACCAGAAATGAATTTCCACTTTATCTAACGTGTTTTACTTAAAAAACACATTTATATAACAAATCACCTACTGCACTTAATGCATGCGTACCACAGCTACAACACAAACATGCTTACATTGCCCCTTTGGTTTCCAAGTGTGCAAAAACACGCTATGATTAATATATTTTGTATGTGTATCGTGCTTATAAAAAGTAAAAAACCTCTGAAAAACGGTCTGGAAGTGCATATCATCTCTCTGCATAATTAGTGTGTTGCTGTGTGTGCAACGTAAGAGCATCCTGCGTGTGTGAGTACATTTGACCGTCCAAAAATATGTGAAACTAATTGATCTGTGGCAATATATTCGACGCATTTCTAGTTTGTGTGTATGAGGGATTTTTCACAGATAACTCCACTTCAGTTGGAAACAGATTTCAGAGAGTGTGCATTATATAAGACAAGACAAGATAAGACAAGATAAGATGTACTTTATGGAAAATATTAGGGCTGGGAATCACCAGGCTCCCCACGATACGATAGTATTGCGATTCTACGATATGCTAAGTATTGCGATACGATATATTGCGATATATTGCGCATATATATATTGATATATGATTGCATGATATATTGGGTTCCAGTGTCTTTAACATGTGACAAAAGCCTTCATTGCCACAACGCTGTGTGGACGCAAGTCTTTGCACATGAAGCAGGTCATGATTGAGTTATTTTCTTAGCTCGCTCAGAATTTGATGGTAGCTTTGCCAAGCTAAGTTAGATTTGCAATATGAATAGTTTATATAATAAAACTATATGGCCACGCAAAGTATCGCGATACTATAGAGAGACGAAGTCCCTCCCTTTCCGGGGGAGCTCCATGGGACCTTAGTTAGGAAAAAGTATGTGTTGAAGTCAATGGAGAGAGAAAGATTATCTTTCGATCCCGTTTGAATTGTGCCATGAATTACACATATGATGTTTGTCAATTTAAAAGATAATTTTGCAAGTCAAAAAAATTCAAATGTGTCGTAAAAATGTGAAGTAACACTTTTTGTGTGTGAAACCACTCTATGAACTACATCTCCCGTCTCGCACCACACACCAAGACGGCCGTCACGTTGGCACATTTCACTTCTTTCTTTCAGAATGAGGCGAAAAGTATTAAAAGAGGTGAAAATCACTCCAAGTCTGGGCGTGTTGAGAGCTGTACATACACACAAGGGGAGTTAGTCGGTTCATAAGAGCCAGCATGCGGGACCGAGATTCTGGGATTTGTAGTCTTTCTAGTTGCGTATTTTTCATAGTCTTATATTTCAACAGTTTTACGACAAACTGTGACTTTTTTGACATGGAAATTATTATTTAAGATTGACAAACATCATATGTGTAATTCATGGCACAATTCAAACGGGATCGAAAGATAATCTTTCTCTCCTCATTGACTTCAATACATCATTTTTATGTGGGAAATAAGGTCCCATGGGTCGGAAGTAGATGGGCGGGACTTCGCCTCTCTATGCTGTATGTATATGTTGAATTGACACATTAACAATAAGAAGTTACCTGTAGCTCCAGCACCCAGGAGCAGTGCCAGTAGGACATGTTGCACCACTTCACGAAGAACTCCCTCTCCCTGCGGCCCACCAGCGCGGGGGGGGTCGGGGGAGTCGGTGGGGAGGTCAGCGGGGCGGGGGACAGGCGTGGGGGGTGGCAGCTCCCCCCATTTCCACGTCAACACCTTCTGGACTTTGCCCTTCATGTGGGGACACTGTCAGGAAGAGGGGAAGGAGAGGAAGACATTTAGGATGTGAAGCATGAGAGGGAACAGAAGTGTTTAGGAATGTAGATATTTAAGAAATGGTCAATTTAAAAAGCAAATCAAATCGTTCATAGCTTGTAGGGCTGCATCATTTGGAAAGATTACTAATTACAGATATATTGAAGTGATCATGGTGTGAATTTTTTTTTAACAGACACTGTACCAAACATACTGTGAGTAGGCCGTGACTTCTCTGCAGCACGACAATATTTTATTAGGATATTTAGCAAATATTGTGCTTCCTGCAATTTGGATAACATTTCAATTCATTGTGCAGCCTTACAATTGTGAAGCCCCCCCATCACTATCACGTCCTTAATTGCACATACCTAATAGCTTATCTAAAATCCATTAATGGTACAAGACGGAATCTGCACGCACGCACGCACGCCCACGTGAGATCGACGTGCACGCTCACACTCACAGCAGCCGTGCACGTGCTCACCTTGCATTTACTTGCACCATTTGAACTATTGTATCTGTTTTATTGCGTTGCACTGTTGGAGGAGCCTTCAGTGATATATCTACACTGTAGCTATGCACACATGACAATAAAAGCCTTGAAGCCTTGAATCCGTGCACGCTCACACTCCCAGCAGCCGTGCACGCTCCCAGCAGCCGTGCACCCTCTCACCTTGCAGCGGGGGCAGATCCACTCTCCGTTGGGGATCTCGGGCAGGGGGGGGTTGAGGCAGTGGATGTGGTAGGAGGAGGGGCACGAGTCGCAGCACAGCAGCTCTCCTCCATCCTTACACACCCGGCAGAACTCAATGTGGTGGTCGTCCTCTTCCTCCACGCCTTCGTCCCTCCTGTCCTCCTCTTCCTCCCCTTCGGCCTCCGACAGCTCATCCCTGGCCTCCCACTGGATCCCCTCCTTCTCCTGGGGGCAGAATTACAGGGTGAGAGGGGAAAAGGGGGAGAGAGAGGGGGGGGGGGGGAAAGGCAGGGAAGGTATGCGGAAAGGAGTGTGAGGAAAAAAAGAAAGGGAGGGTGGTGTGGAGTGATTTTCAAGAGCGACCGGGGTTCAGTGTGTGTGTGTGTGTGTGTGTGCGTGTGTGTGTGTGTGGAGCCACAGTGGAGGGAGGGGAGGGGGGGGAATACGAGAGGAGAGACAGGAACATGAGCAATGGGGTTGGGGGGGGGGCAGTGGAGGACAAAGAGAAATGGAGACACAAAGATTTTCTTTAATTATCAGAAATAAAGTCCACTTACAGAAATGTACACGCCTGTACAAAATGTTCTTGTATTTTATCTAATTGTTTGAATTGTATTTTTACCGTCTTTTTGTTGTGTTTTATCTCGTTTTATTTGTATTTTAACGTTCTGTCTTTTATATTTTCTTGCAGACACACAAAGAGTTTTTAAATGATCATTTAATAAAGTCCATTTTCAACCATGTACACACCTGTTCAACTTCCAAATCAAACACAATCTACAAGCAGGTGTTTCAAGTATTTCAGCTTCTTTCCTGCCATTACTTTACATGACTTAATATTAACATGGTTGTGTAATGTTTTAACTGATGTACCACCTTGTAAAATATCTTATGGTATTTCATCTAATTGTTTGAATTGTATTTTTAGCGTCTTTTGGTTATCTCGTTTAATTTGTATTTCACGTTCTATCATGTATTTTATCATTTGTTCTTGTAGTTTTAATTGTCTTTCACACAATCATCTATGTGTGTTAATCTGTAAAGCCCCCTGACACACACATGTGATATTGGACTATATAAATACACTTTGATCGGTGGTGTGTTCTAGTTTTGTCATGCTAACAAAGCTATTCATTTTCTCCACTGCAGAAATCCTCTTTGCGGTACTCACACAGTGCGGACAGCTCCACTTTCCCTCGGGGGCCTTCTCCATGTCGGGGTCCAGGCAGACCATGTGATAGGCTCGGGGACAGGTGTCACACAGAATGATTTCCCCGCCCTGCTGGCACACCTCGCAGTAGTCCTGGTGGTCCGTCTCGTAGCCGTCGCCGTCCTCCGTCTCCACTGAGAGAGGACATTAGGATAATAACACGTTTTTACATCTTCAAATTCCACTTTTCCAGACTCAAATTTCCAGACTCCTCAGTAGATTTCTCACACCTTATGGAAGTGCAGATGCTGCTAAAATAAGACTGTAATAGAAAAATATGACTTACTTTAATAATATCATTATTGATTGTGATTCGTATTTGCTATTGTTTATCTATATTTGCTACTTCTCACACTTCTTAGCTAAGCTTGGGAACATTCCTTATTAAGAAGATTTGTTGCAGTGTTGTTAGTTACAGTCCATAGACGAGAGTAACATCTACGTCACTTCCGGGCGACAATTACGGCCCCGCCCACTTTTGGGGGAAACCAACGCTGTCATTTGAATGGTGATCAAGCCTGAAGTCACAGAGCTATTCTTTTACTGTCCTTTGTTCTTAGAGGAAGTACAGAAACACTGACCTCTGGATTTGTTTTAATGTTTGAGGATCAATAAACGACAGCAGCTTGTTGGCATGATAAAACTATTATTTTCCGCCTCGCTCATAGAGTAACAGCTGGAGAAATGACAGCCTCGCCTGCTTATTTTAATTTAACCATATATCGAGACCGATCGTCGATTTCAAATGATTTAATGTAATTGTTTGCCTGACTGGCCATTGTAACCGGGCTCTTTGAAGATCCACAAATCCACGGTTTTCAAAGATTTCTGATCGGATTGGCAAAAACTTCAGAATTTGTATTGACCGCCATTCAAATGACAGCGTTGTTTTCCCCCAAAAGTGAGCGGGGCCGTAATTTTCGCCCGGAAGTGACGTAGGTGTTACTCTCATGTATAAGTGCACCAACAGTATGACCCTAATCCTTCAACTGAGAACATCCTGATATGGCCTCCCTAACTTCAACAATGCTCCTTTCATTATCACCAAGCTCAACCCCTCCCTTTCTGCTCTCTCTGTGTTTAAATATTCAACCCAAACTCTTGGTCTTTCACTCTGCAGACAGTATGCTCTCTGTACGACTGACTGAACTTTCTTGCAAGAAATAAAATACGACAAAGACAGCTGAATGGTTTGATCCTCTATCAGTGTTTCCGCCAGACCAGGGCTGAGAGGGGGAATTCGGGCTCTTCTTAGTGAGCCGGATCATTTGGCTCGGCTCACCAAGAAGAGCCGGTTCTTTCAGCTCCCAAACGGCCCTTCATTTTACCACAGTTTACCACGGAGCCTCAGTTTCGCCGCTGCGAGGCTCCGGCGCTCGTAGTTCACGCACATGCTCCACTAGCACACCCCCGTCAAGGCTCGCCGGCAGTACACTTTCCGTCACAGGAACACGCTTTGCTGGCGGCGAAAAGAATCCCACGAGACTCCTTTGCCCCTCCAACAGAGGGATGTCCTTGTCCTTTTTCCTTTTCGTCATTTCAAGCAATAAAAACTCAATCTTCTCTCGAATTATACATTTTTCGGACGCCCTCGGCTCGAGGTCAGGGAGTTCCGAGCTGAATAAGGGCGTCAAATGACGGCAAGACGCCCCCCTGGCGGAAACGCTGTCCTCTATCCACATTTGATAAATAAATTCCCACCACAAAGACTTAATGCCTTTGCCTATGCATTTTATTTTGATGCCAATGTTGGATATTTTGCACGTTTTTTATACAAAGTTGCATCGAGCTTCCTTTTCCTCTTTGTGAATCCTGAACCAACCAGTTGTTATATTTGGGATTGTAAAGTAAGGCTTTGGAAGACTTGCATTTAACCACGGTAGCTGTTCATTCACACAACATACTTCTTGCTTTCGCATGAATTGAGCTCGCTGTGTTCAGCTTACTATCACATAGATGTTAACAAGTCAACTTCGCCATCTATAGGCTCCAAACTCTCTCTTTTTATTTTAGTCAAAGGATTATTCTGGAAACACAAATATGTTCCCTGCTTTCTTTTCATTTTCTACACATTGTGAAACCTTTAAATAACTAGAATCTAATTATTTTCCATAACGAGAATGTAACCTATTCATCTTGGCCATGTATGACCTCCTACAATGATCTACTCTATGTTCCCAAATGTTAATCCAGCATTGACTCAAAAATAGCATCAACTTTTTTTACTTAATTATATTTCTTTTGCCAACCTTTCTTCTTCTTCTTGGCACTCTTGGGTTTCTTCTTAGGACGGCTGCTGCGGTTGGCGCCGTCGGTCCCGGGGAAACTGCCTTCGTCAAAGTCACTTTCCACTTCTGGTTCATCTTCATCACTCTGACGGAGAAACAGAGCGGGAGAGAAGACGTTAGCCATTAACTGGTTACGTTATAGTCATTAACTGGTTACGTTATAGTCATTAACTGGTTACGTTATAGCCATTAACTGGTTACGTTATAGTCTGGTTACGTTATAGCCATTAACTGGTTACGTTATAGCCATTAACTGGTTACGTTATAGCCATTAACTGGTTACGTTATAGTCATTAACTGGTTACGTTATAGTCATTAACTGGTTACGTTATAGTCATTAACTGGTTACGTTATAGTCTGGTTACGTTATAGCCATTAACTGGTTACGTTATAGCCATTAACTGGTTACGTTATAGCCATTAACTGGTTACGTTATAGCCATTAACTGGTTACGTTATAGCCATTAACTGGTTACGTTATAGCCATTAACTGGTTACGTTATAGCCATTAACTGGTTACGTGTTAGCCATTAACTGGTTACGTGTTAGCCATTAACTGGTTACGTGTTAGCCATTAACTGGTTACGTGTTAGCCATTAACTGGTTACGTGTTAGCCATTAACTGGTTACGTGTTAGCCATTAACTGGTTACGTTATAGCCATTAACTGGTTACGTTATAGCCATTAACTGGTTACGTTATAGCCATTAACTGGTTACGTTATAGCCATTAACTGGTTACGTTATAGCCATTAACTGGTTACGTGTTAGCCATTAACTGGTTACGTGTTAGCCATTAACTGGTTACGTGTTAGCCATTAACTGGTTACGTTATAGTCTGGTTACGTTATAGCCATTAACTGGTTACGTTATAGCCATTAACTGGTTACGTTATAGCCATTAACTGGTTACGTTATAGTCATTAACTGGTTACGTTATAGTCATTAACTGGTTACGTTATAGTCATTAACTGGTTACGTTATAGTCATTAACTGGTTACGTTATAGTCTGGTTACGTTATAGCCATTAACTGGTTACGTTATAGCCATTAACTGGTTACGTTATAGCCATTAACTGGTTACGTTATAGCCATTAACTGGTTACGTTATAGCCATTAACTGGTTACGTTATAGCCATTAACTGGTTACGTTATAGCCATTAACTGGTTACGTTATAGCCATTAACTGGTTACGTTATAGCCATTAACTGGTTACGTTATAGCCATTAACTGGTTACGTTATAGCCATTAACTGGTTACGTGTTAGCCATTAACTGGTTACGTGTTAGCCATTAACTGGTTACGTTATAGCCATTAACTGGTTACGTGTTAGCCATTAACTGGTTACGTGTTAGCCATTAACTGGTTACGTGTTAGCCATTAACTGGTTACGTGTTAGCCATTAACTGGTTACGTGTTAGCCATTAACTGGTTACGTGTTAGCCATTAACTGGTTACGTGTTAGCCATTAACTGGTTACGTGTTAGCCATTTACCAATATTCTGATTCGATGTAATCATTATTTAGATTAGATGACTTTATTGTCATTACATAATGCAAGCAGAGTGTAACGAAATTAGGAGGGTCTAACCAGAGTGCAAACAGTCAGTTATATACACATCTATCAGCAGTCTGTACAAAATCAATTATACAAATAAAGGTAAATAGATGTCAAATGTATAAATAAGAATACACTGAGCGTAAAGACAGTATATACAGCAGTAATGTGCAAGGATCACAAGGGACAAAGCAGATCACTGCTGTCTATGTTGTAATTTGTTGCACGTCTTCCATTACCTCTTCAGTTTCTGTCCCTGAAGTTTCTAAAATGTTCCCCCATTAATTGTGGGAGTATTTCCTTGTGCAAGGGTCTAAGGACGGAGGCTGTCTATGTTTTATAATCTGTAAAGCCCCTACAGACAAATGTGTAATCTGTGATATAATGCGCTATAAACAACATTGACTGGTTTAATGGTCGTCTAAATTGAAATCATGAAAATGTGTAATTTGTGATATTGGGCTATATCAATAAAATGTATTGATTTCATGATTTTCTAAGTTGAGAACGTAAATCTGCTTCGTAACACTGAAGAAAGGTAGCATAACAAGTATCTTACGGAGGAGCACTTCCTCTTGCTGTTGAGGCCTCCTAGTTTGAGTCTGCTATATGTTTTATACTCTCTAAAGCCCCTTGAGACAAATGTGTAATTTTTGCTATAAATAAAATTGACTGGTTTAATGTTCGTCTAAATTGAAATCTGAAGTATCAAACACAAAAAAGAGCAGGATAAAAAGTATCTTACAGATGAGCGCTTCCTCTTGCTGTTCAGGCCTCCTAGTTTGATCTTGAGCGGAGCCACCTTCTTAGGTTTGGGTTTCGGCGCAGGCTTCGCAGCGGGCCTTGACTTCTTGCGAGCGTTTGGACCTGAGAAAACACAAGAGAGGAAACTTCAATCACAAAATACTTCAGAACGGCATTATACAGTATGTCCTTTTTATTGATGTTTTATTTTTATCCGTATGATTTATTTGACCAAACCACCTTATTTTCATGTTTAGTTATCATTAGTGGGAACGAAGGGAACCGAGTCGTACTTGGAGAGTACTTCTTTTTATCGTTGGTTCACTGCCTGACATAAATCCACTCGCCTTCACGTGAACAGTGAAAAAGCTTGATTTTGTTCCCCAAGCGTATTCCGTGAAGACCCGCCCCTACTCTGATTGGTTAGGTTTAAGCAGGAGTGCCTCTGATTGGTTAGGGTTGGGCACGAGGAGTGAGATGTTGTGGGTTAGGGTTAGCCAATCAGAGTCAGAGTAGCGGTGGGTCTTAACGGAATACGCATGAGAGAGAGAAGTCATAACGAGTGGTACAGGTAGACAACATGTTTTTCGGGTGAAAAAATGAGCCAAACGCGAAAACGCAGCAGCATTTGGATGCACTTCAACAAAAACATAGGCAATGATAAAGCGGAGTGCAACATTTGTAACGCCAAAATATCATTTAAAGCAGGGTCAACAAATAATCTCCACCGCCACTTTTGAACGGCTCTCGGAAAGGAACGGAGCCATAAGATCCGGCTCCCTTCAAAGAGCCGTAATTCCCATCACTAGTCATCATGTCACCTTTGCCCTCTTTGGTCTTGGCCTTGCGGAGCGGGGGTGCAGGGGGTGCGGGGGGTGCAGCAGCAGCAGGAGGTGTTGGAGCAGGAGGTGAAGCAGCGGCTCCGGTCTCCGAGCATCCGTCAGTCCCCGGCACCACCATGTTCTCCACAGCTGCAGCCACGCTGGCAGCAGAGAGCGCCGCGTTGGCCGAAGCAGAACCCTGCGGGAGAGACAGAGAGAGACAGAGAGAGAGACAGAGAGAGAGACAGAAAGAGAGACAGAGTGAGAGACAGAGAGAGAGACAGAGTGAGAGACAGAGACAGAGTGAGAGACAGAGAGAGAGACAGAGAGAGAGACAGAGTGAGAGACAAAGTGAGAGACAGAGAGAGAGACAGAGTGAGAGACAGAGTGAGAGACAGAGACAGAGACAGAGTGAGAGACAGAGAGAGAGACAGAGTGAGAGACAGAGACAGAGTGAGAGACAGAGAGAGAGACAGAGTGAGAGACAAAGTGAGAGACAGAGACAGAGACAGAGACAGAGTGAGAGACTGATGCCATCGAGAGCAATTTGGGGATATCTTCCTTCTATGTGTTGACTGCAGGTACTGGTGGACGACCACACTTCCTCCTGAGACACAGTCGCCTATATTTTCCCCTAAAGGATTAGTGAATTACCCAAAACATAATTGAATAATACTCAGAATAGAGTATTTTTAACGGTTACGTTTCACTCCTCTTAAAGGTAGGGTCGGTAAGTTGGAGAAACCGGCTCGAGTGCGCTAGAATTTGAAAATACACAACCGGAGAAAATCTGCCACTTCCTTACAGAGCCCCTCCTCCAACACACACGAACGCGCACATGACCAATGAGGGCACGAGATAAGTTTGTGCCCCGATGGAAGGCTGACAGGCAGGTAGGCCATCCAGTTATTTTAGCCGGGCCGGCTCAGATGATTGGTCGTGCTTTTTACAGTACCACGGCTTCCACAGATGACATTTTTTAATGGATTTTTTGTCAAAGCACTTAAGATATTCATTGCTATCGGGATGTTAAGAGCATTCCATGGAATATAACAAAAAGTGTATCTCGAGCCGGTTTCTCAAACTTACCTACCCCACCTTTAATGTGGCTGATTGTGCCTATGAGCTGTGTGCATTGATGTTTTTGTCTTTTTAGTGTCAAATGTTGTGTAAGCTGCCTACTCTGGTCTGTACAAAGCCTTGGTCACCAGGGGTTGTTCTTAAATGTATAAATAAATGTGAATTGACTTGTCTTGAATAATCAATTAATCTTTAGAGTAATATTTCATGAAAATAAGACCATTTTCAGTCACTCAAATATGGATTTCTCACATCACCTTGGACTTTGAGAAACCGGGATGGACATTTCCCATTTTTTCTGACATTTAAAAACACCAGATTATTACTAAATTAATCAACAGATGAATCAATAAAGAATATGTTCATTCTTCATTCATTACGATTGCAATACCTTAAGCGGGTTGTTGGTGCTGAATTCTCTCCACTTAGCCATCATCAAAGTCATCATCTTGGACACGGCAATTTTGGGGTTCTTTGATGCAATTAAAGGTCTAAGGACATAAAGGTTACATCAAATAAAGTGATCTATTTATGACTATGACTATATAATGTAACTATGATTAAAAAAGGTGTGTGCTTACCTGACAAACTGGCTGAAGGCCTTGTAGTTGGTGAGGGAGCTGTAGTCCTCCTGAGTGAAGACGTGGTCGATGTCCTTCATACCCCAAGTCTCCAACAGCTGGATGGAGCTTTTCGGCTGAGGAGGAAAAGAGATGTGAGTTTGGGAAGTCAGCTCTGAAGGAATTAAAGGTCTCCTATTATACTGTTTCTCATCAATATATTATAGGTCTGAGATATATACAAAGCATGTCTCTGATTGGCTGAAACACCAAACAGATCATTGCAGCATCCCATAATCCCCTCTGTTTCCAAAGTGCTGATTCTCTGTCTGTTACTTTAGATGAAAATAAGGAGCCACTCCCCACGCCCCTCTGAGAGATATTTGGTTACAAAGAACACAATAGGCGCGTTCACACCAAGTACTTTGCCGTATTTAGTGCCGGCACTCAGAGCCCCGGCACTTATTACCCCAGGGCATTTAGTACAGATCGCGTTCACACCGGAGTACTTTTCCCTGAGGGAAGATTACGCAAATGAGCCGCTGACGTCACTTCTTCTTCTTCTTCTGCTTTGGGTTTACTGGCAGGCCGCAAACCACTTCACGGCGTATACTGCCACCCGGTGAGTCCCCGGCCGGAAGTCCCCGGAGTTGGGGACTGGCTTCAGTAGAAGCTGCTGGGACTCCCAGCAGCTTCTACTGAAGCCTTCCGAGTAAATCGCCAGAACGCCGACACCTCCTCATCTCCACCGCTCCCATGTTTTATTTTGTGTTGCCATAAGTTAGTCTCTCTGCGTTTGTGCACTGGGCTAATGCTAATGCTAATAATGCTAATGCCAGGATAATAAAATGGCGGCTCTACAAAACATTTCAGAGTTGTACGGGGCGTGGTTTGCAATTCGCCCAGCCAATCAGAACTGGGGCACTTTTTTCCCCCAGGAAAGTACCATCTCTCAGCAGGCACTAAAAATGGGGGTAAAAGTTCCCGAGATGAAGTGCTCTTTTTGGTGTGAACGCGACATAAGGGGTACTAACGGAACTAAACGCGAAAAGTACGGTGAAAAGTACTCCGGTGTGGACGCGGCTAATGGTGCTCTAGGAGGAGATTCAGGTGATAAGGTGGGGGGGGGGGGGGGGGTTACCTTGGTTGGTGATTGGCTAATGGTTACACAAGCCAAAACATCGTTATGACATCATAAAGTGGCCAAAATCTGATCAGCTCATTTTCAGAGAGGTTTTTATATAAATGGATCAGGACAAAAAGAGAGAGAATCTTTGTTCCTGAAACTTTCAGAGTCTCTTTACACAGAGGGGACACATGTTGATGTAGAAGAGACATGAAGAAGAGGGGACACATGTTGATGTAGAAAAGACATAATAGGTGACCTTTCACTGATCACAAGTCTGAGTATTTACCAGACAATCCTCCTCATCATCCTCGTCCTCCTCTGGTTCTGGATCTTTGCGTTTGCTCTTGGAGCTGGAGGAGCCTCCTTTCTCTGATGATGCTCCTCCTCCTCCTCCTCCTCCTTTCTTCTTCTCTTTGGCCGAGCTGGAGCGCCTTTTCTTCTTCTTTCCTGGAGCGTAATCACTCCCTTCACTCTCTGACCGAACACCTGCCTCTCCTGCATCTCTCTCTGCAGCTTCCACTCCCATCCGGGGCTCTGGGGAGCTGACGGGCAACTCCTGCAACACAGAGAGACGCTATGCAAATTAGACAAAGACCGTGGTGCTTATACACCTTTCTATATTTTAGAAATTTGAATTAAAGTCAAGTGCCATCCTTTTAACTTCTAGTGATAATTATGCCACTAGATTGGGATGTGGAAATCTGAATGGATTTTCAATTAGTCGACAAGCATTTTCTAAAAATATATACGATTTTTGTAATCATTGTTCATTTAAAACGTTTACTAAAATAGAAGCTTCTAATTTTTCTTTTAAAAAGTCTCATAACGATTAATTGATTATCAAATAATTCATTTAATTGACAAAATGCTGCAGACCTTCATCATATCCCTGTAAACTGAGTAATGTTGGGTTTGAACTGTTGTATAAATCAGCTTTTTAAATGTTTTCAATGTGGAATCTGACATATTATACAAGGCATCGTTAACCGTCGGCTGCCCCCTGCCCTCTCTGGAACACATCTCCACCTCCCGCTGCCTCAGCAGAGCAAATAAAATAATAAAGCACAGCTCTCACCCAGGTCACAGACTGTTCTCTCTCCTGCCTTCTGGGAGGAGATACCGGAGCTTCAGATCACGGACAAACAGACTAAAAAACTGTTTCTACCCCTGGGCCGTCAGGCTGCTCAACCACCACACTTAATGCAATAACCGTAACCATCTTCACACATTTACACATTTTAAATGCACTTTAAAAATTATATATTATTATATCAACATTTTTAACTATCTATTCCCCCCGTATGATTGTTTATGTTGTCTGTCCTACTGCCGTGTTTTTAATGTCCTACTGCCGTGTTTTATGTATGTTATTGTCCTACTGTCGTGTTTTTTATGTCATGTATTAGGGATGCTCCGATCAATCGATCACCGATCGAGATCTGCCGATACTCACTCTCTACCGATCGATCGGTGCTCTCTAAACATGCTGATCGCGAGAGCCGATCGCATGACGTAAAATACATGACACTTTTCTCTGTGCGCGGCAAAACAAGCTCGCCAAAATGGCTTCACCGGTCTGGCAGTATTTTAAGGTGTCCGAAAAAGACAATAAAATAGCGGTATGCAACGTGTGTGTGAAGCAGAAATCCTGCAGCTCCACCCGCTGTGACGGACCGGTGAGCGGAGCAACACACATTAAGAGTTAGACCTAACACACTTAGCTATTTTATCTATCTCTGGAACTAGCTAAACTAATTATAAATATATTTATTCTTCACTGTCGGGTCACTCATTACTGGATCAGTGAGCTGCATGAGATACTGACGGGCTGTCAGGAGAGAGGGGGGAGAAAGAGAGGGAGAGAGGAAAAGAGAGCGCTTCCGCTCATTTCTCCCGTGTTATTATCCAAAGTTAATGTAAACTTGAATAATGTACATCATTTGAATGTAATAATTAAGTTGATTGTTGTTTGTGGAGCCATTTAGGCCCCGCCCACTCAATCGGATCAGCCGATACTGATTCCGGCCCCAAAATTGGCGATCGGAGCATCCCTATTATGTATGTTATTGTCCTACTGCCGTGTTTTTAATGTCATGCATGTTATTGTCCTACTGCCGTGTTTTTAATGTCATGTATGTTATTGTCCTACTGCCGTGTTTTTAAATGTCATGTATGTTATTGTCCTACTGCCGTGTTTTTTATGTCATGTATGTTATTGTCCTACTGCCGTGTTTTTTATGTCATGTATGTTATTGTCCTACTGCCGTGTTTTTTATGTCATGTATGCTTTAACTTTAAATAGCTTCAGGTATTTAATCTATAATCCCATTTAATGGTTAATTGAGAAAATAATCAGTGGTAATGAACACAAAAAATGTATACATACATACATACAAGTATTTAGCTTTTTTTGCAAAAATAATCACTTTGTGCATGTCCAGGTAGATTTGGCTCCCTTGTGGTTGTTTTCAGTGTGGACCCCCAGATGTTACCCCCGAGAGGCCAGTTGACAGAATCGTTTACTACGTCAAATCTGACAAAATATCAAAAAATGGGGTTCCCATAACTGCATGCATAAATAAAGAAATCTGTGAAATGCAGATAAGGTGGGTAAGACAGGGAACATTAAGTTCTTCATCTTCATTTCTTCTGAACAATCAGAATCAGAAACAGGTTTATTACCAGGTAGGTTAATGAGGAATTTGACTTGATGTCGTGGTGCATACATAAAACAAGGATTAAAAACAATGGGTGGAAGTTTCCCCCGAGACAACGTGGGGCACACGCAGTATTTACATTGTTACTCTACCTATTGTTCTATAAAGTGAAGATTTGTGTATCTACTTTTGATACATGCTCTGATAGAGAGAGAGATAACGTGGGGCACAACTGCACAAAGTACCTCCTAGGTGCTGCTTGCATTTAATATAAAAACTCATAACCCTTCACGATCAGAATCAGGAGATCTGTATTGGTCCCACAAAAGGGGAAATCTACATTGTTACAGCAAAAGTAAAGAGCCAAAAATAGCTTATATTACACAATTTACAAAATACACATCCAGTACCAGCACAAATATGAAATGGCGTGACTGTCACCTACTTTATTCCAGATACTCTTAAGCCCTTGAAAACAATATAATAAATATTTGTGCACAATGTTGGAGTGTACAGTACCACCTAGTACAGCCATATTTAACATTTTCCATTAAATCGTTGTAACACTGACCTCTCTGACCGGCCTCTGCCTCTTGCTGCTCCTGCTGCTCTTCTTCCCCTTCTTCTTCTTCTTGGACTTTGGGATCTCCTCTACATCAGACACAGCATCCTCCTGCTCCTCCTCACCTGTGTGTGTGGGTGTGTGTGTGTGTCAGATCAGAATCAGAATCCCTTTATTAGTCCCACAGAGGGGAAATATACATTGTTACAGCAGAAAAGATCCAAAGACAGCTTAATGTTACCTCAGAAGCATGCATACAAAGTATTAAAGATACAAAAAGTATAATAATAATGTGTGTGTGTGGAGGAGGACACCTGTCATTATTGAGAAAGAGAAAAGCACGCGGACAGAAGCCCTGCTGCAGGCCACGGGGAACAAACACACACACACACTGACGACACGCGCACGGGCACGAGCTCTCAAATACCCGTGCACGCACCCACACACTCATAACGCCACAAACAGAACAGGTTGAAACTTGTATTTCCTGTGGTTTTAAAACTTTGACAGCTCACACTCGACCTCTAACACACACATTGGAGTTTTACAGAGGAGTTACAATAATAAAACTATTAACATTTGCTTTACAAGTTGGGCTAACTAGAGCTAATGGCGAGTGGCGGACTGGCTAGCTTAAGCTAACGTTAGCTTTGAGTCAGAGATGGACCTTCTTCTTCTTCTCTTTTGGATATAAAAGCAGCTCACCGTGGAGAAGTGAGGACTCCTCGGCGGCTCCGAAGTCTTCCCTCTCATCCTCGCTGCCCGACATGTTGTGCAGCGATTTAATTTCACGTCTTGCTGGTCGGATTAATCCCTCCTAAACCTTGCTCCTCGGTCGGCGAGGGAGGAGGGAAAATGACGTGGGACCGCCGAACCGGGGGTGTCCGGGCAGAAGGGAGGGGGCTGTGGGTGCTGTGAAATAAATAATGAATAAATAAAAAATGCATTGGTTGCTAATCCCATTCCTTTTCTCTCATATCTGATTACTCACAACGCGTGTGATTGACCACCTGCAAAATAAGTTGTCTATGCTTTGACATGTGCAGATATTAGGGTATCTCTCTCTGCACAGGAGTGAGTGAAGTTCAACTGGCATTATTCTCAAGTAAGCAAATTCGCCCTGTCGAGTTATAAAGGAAAGTTAAAGCATTGCAAAGCTCAGAAACTTACTGTAGGCTATAGTGTGTGTAGTCCCGGGTCGAGGTGTGCTCTCTCTCTGTCTCGGTGCAGGAATCAATAGGTTGTTTGTGTTGTCATTTACAGCTCACCCTTTAAGCCCCGGATGTAGAAATAATCAAATATTACAGATAAAAATAAAGAGCCGTCAATGACCCAGAACACGTTGCTCTTCTCTCCCCCAGCCTCACAGGCACAGCTTAGCTAACATCCTCACTAACACACAAAGGGGGCAGACATCCCATAATAATCCCCCCCCCCCCTCCCACACTCACAGGACTCTGCATAGTTACCTCGCAACGGACAGACCATAATACTCAGCCTACTGCCCCCACCCCCCACCCTCCTCTCCACCACGCGCACGTACGCACGTATGCCTACACTGCTGCACATGCATGCACGAGGCACATTGCATGCAAGCGCTCCTTCCCCTTTTCCTATGACTAGTCCCAGCCCCCTTAGCAACCCCGTTGTCATGGTGACACCCCCCCCTCCCTCCTTCCCTGCCCACCTCGACAGACCATAATACTCAAGCAGTACCAGCATGCATCCCATAATATGCAACTCCAAAAAATACATGAAAAAAAAAAAAAAACACACACACACACATCAGTCACATGGTCTCCAGGGGAGCTCAAGTCCACCGGTGACAGACCATAATACTCACTGAGCATCCACCTGGGAGTGCCAAGAAGTCAAAGAGCTTCACTTTGGTTGCTCCAAAACACAGGAAGCCTGCAGGGAGCAGAACTGGATGAAATACTTTGATGATGCCTTCAATGCTTCTCGAGGCCTTCTGTAACTGATGTTATTACAAACTGAACCACATCATGAGGATTTCACTTTATCGACAAGTCCTTTGAATGCACCGCAGGCCAACAGGTGTGAGAGTTCAGCAGAGAAATGACTGGCAGGTGTACATCAAGTATCTGGATGTACTGTGCAGGTCAATGGGGAGGACATTCATTCATAAAACACACAAAATGCTGCATTCAAGTTCAGTTTGATGTAAAGAAGATTTGAGGAGTTGCTGCACATTGGAGGCACTTTGAAAAAGCAAATGTGAATGTATGAGTTTTAATCAGAATGAGAAATCCTTTATTTGTCCAACTTCCAGCATAACAACAACAAAGAGATGAGACTAACACATTCAATAAAGAGGCTAAAACACGCCTTAATCAAATATGGTTTACATAATACCAGTATATTGAGGTGCTGTGGTGGGATGCACATCAAAGGTGAGTTAATCCATTCATAAAACACACAAAATGCTGCATTCAAATTCAGTTTGTAAGAAGATTTGAGGTGGTGCACATTTGAGACACACTACATTAAATATGACTGTGCAATAAATGGGCTTTTATTTTCATAATCCCAGTATCTTAATCTGCAAATGGTGAGTAAATTCATTCATAAAACCACAAAAACATGTTGCCTTCAAGTTCAGTTAGTTTGAATAAGATTTGAGATGCTGCACATTGGAGACATATTAAATAAAGAGGCAAACACACTCGTAAAATAAAATAAAATATGTGTGTGGGTCCAGAAGACAGATGGCAGACAGGTTTACAATTTACCAGCACCCTGATCTGCTGTGGGGGTCGAATGCAGGTCGAAGGTGAGTAAATTCATCCATAAAACACACAAAATGTTGCCTTCAAGTTCAGTATGCATGAATAGGACTCGTGAGATGTTACATTCATTCTTGCACTATTTCTATTCTATTTGATTTGTATTTACTTGCACTATTTTATCTGTTTTATTGTGTTGCACTGTTGGAGGAGCCTGTGACCTAATATTTTCGTTCACATTTCTACACTGTAGCTATGTACAAATGACAAGAAAAGCCTTGAATCTTGAATCAAGGCACACCACATCAACTACAGATGGAAATGATACTGTAATACAATAAATCAACAAATAAATCATCCGTTACAGGCCTGCTGGAGCTGCACATTACTCTGCTAAAATCTGGTGCTGCAGCACATTGTATCATGCACTCAATTTGTATTCAATTGTTCTCTTTGTCAAAGTACCTAATAAGGGGATTATTCCTTATACACTGCAAGAGTATACAGCACTGGTACAAGGACAGAGGTTGTCATATGTAAATATTCTAAATCCTCCAGAGGCAAATGTGTGATTAGTGATAAAATTGTCACGTCTTGACTTTGTAAAATCTTTTAAAACTTTAAAAAAGAAATAAAAGTGGTCGTTGTTTGGTTATGTTTGGCCCAACAGGGTGTGTTTTGTTAAATGCTATCAAAGTAATAGAGAGGAATGTGCAACAAGTCAAAATAGGAGCGCAGGGGGAGCACTTCAAGGTAACAAATTAGTTAAATCTCTAAATACGGACTTAATGATACACAATGTCACACTCATTTGACTCTGAATTGCACGTCTTAATCGTGTGTAGTAATAACAGCTAGACTGCACCACGTCTGTCTCTCTGACCGAGAAGACGGTGATCTGACTGTGAATGTACGAAAGTTATACATAGACCAACAGGTGTGCAGGAGTTACAGCGCCTGTGCTTCATAGCAGTTTCTTGATCTGAGGTCATGTGTGTGTTTAATGTGCTAAAATAATTCCTAAAAACACAGAAACTGATGGTTCTGTTTGGACAGGAAATAAGACTGCATATCTCAGACTCATCCAAGCAATAAACATAACGCTTAAAAGTTGGGTTTTTTCACCAGAATCGCCTCTCAATATTCTTGGCATTTTGGCCCATTATCAACTGGCAAAAATATATATAAACATACTGTCCAAAATCAAATACATTCACTAAAACACGCCTGCTGCAGCTGCACATTTCTCCATTTGGTTTTTGTGCTGCTTGACTTCTGAAATATTAATAATGAAAATAACGTTTTTAGCTTGCAAGGTTTGCTTTGATCCTAACAGAATTTTACAGTGAAAACACTTGAATGTTCAACAAGTCCTATTTCAATTGTTTGAACTCGAACAAAAGCTTATACAGAGTACTTGAAGGCCACACAAGAGTCTAATCACGCTGCATACAGACTTACTGACACACTGTGAGGGGCATTCAGACATTAAGATCTCTAATTGCAACCCCTTCATCACAGAATCTGTATTTGGCATGAACAATAAACGTGAAAGTAAAGCTAATATGTTCCTTTGATTCCTACCAGACAAAGTCCTACAAAAACAAATCAGTAAATCAGGTATTAAACCTATATCTTTCCTTTCCCTTAAGCAGTTTCAAGTAGTTAAAAGCTCTCACTGTCTATCATTGACACATATTATACTTTAAAACCTTATGATTGATACTCAAAGGGTCTCTTGTGCATCATTTAAAAAACTCTTAAATTCAGTTGGGTAACTCTGCTAGACATACACATGAGAAAATCTCTGTTTGCTGTATCTGTCTGCTTCAAAACAACTGAGTGCTCTTAACCCCCTGATATTGTGGGATACTTTTAATATGGCAGATTTATCTATCTATTATTCTGTATCTATTGAAACTGTATAGGCCGCAATGGAGTGCTTTTAACTGGGATGAACTCAATAGATTGGTTATTTTAAAAACTACAAATTTAAACAGGAACAGAAACAGATTGATTGACAAAGTTGTGAACAATTGGAATGATGGGGAAAAGCCCGATTTTCAAATAACCAAAAACTATACCTCTGAGGTCTGGAAGAAGATGCATATGACCTTTCAATTCAGATAATGTATTTTACAGTAGCAACATTATTATTCATATCTTCACAGTTAAAGAGGGACTTCTAGTTCTGCACTTTGCTCCCTGGAGGCCAGAAATTCGAGCATGAAAACTCAACATTTTATACATAAACTGCATTCATCTGGGTCTTTACTCATTCATATAGCAAAGATTTCTAGATTGTATTTCCTGCACAGCGGCTTCAGTAGATATGCTAAGAGAGGAGGGGCAGGAAACCGTCCAAATATGAGCCCAGAGGCCTTCCACTGCTTCTTTTACAACTATGGCCGCTCTGCAATATTCCCACTGTACGGTGCATACAGATCGCATAGCAACAAAGGCTATGTCTGGCCGTTGTCTGTTACTATCGCTTGAATGCCCCTCACATGTATGCGCGTGCACGTACACTCCCATGCATCGCCGTCACCAACACCTCCTCCTACTCCCTCTATCCCATATGCACTGCCATTTCTCCACCTCACACACCCTCCTCCAGCCCCCCAACACCACCACCATCATTCCATAATATTCATGGGTCGTCCATTCCCTCTGCCCCCTCCCCCCATGTGCACACAGCTCACCGCGCACTCTGCCACCCCCACTTCCCTGCCTGACAACACCACCGCCCGCCATCCCATAATATACATGTACACGCACCACACACACACACCCATACACAGCAGTGCGTGCAGCTCTTTGTTGGCAGAGATGCCTGAGCAATGTGAGCGTTCTCATGCACATGCAGTCATGTTTTTCTGCCTGCTGCCGATTATTTCATCCGCACTGCTGAGGCAGGTCGCCCTCAACTGCAGAGAAGTAACGAAGCGAAGGAAGGTGACAGTAAAAGGTGGCGGGTCACATTGCTGTCTCATAATGACCTCGGGCGGAAATAGGTTAATGAGTCACTCTGAGGCTCTGAGGCCCATCATCCATCCCAGCGTGCAGAGGTCAGTGTGGAGTCACCCCACCTCACTGTAGACTCTCCCAAAGTCTGCTGCTGCCTCCCCTGTATATCAATCAATCAATGTTTATTTATATAGCCCAATATCACACATGTCTCAGTGGACTTTACAGTTTGCATCAATATCAATATGATGTCCTTGGACCCTCACATCGTACAAGGAAAAACTTCCAAAGACACCACACAGTTTAATGGGGAAAAATGTAAGAAACCTTGAGGAGAGCAACAGAGGAGGGATCCCTCTCCCAGGACGGATAGACGTGCAATAGATGCTGTGTGTAAATTGAAAAGATAATACATTTACAACATAGGTATAGTCCAAATGCATGTGTCTATAATAAGAAGATGAATCCAGGTGGATGTCAACAATCCTGTGGGAGCCATCAGAGAGATAGAGAGTCTGCTGCTGCCTCCCCCTGTTTAGAGAGAGTCTGCTGCTGCCTGCCCCTGTACAGAGTGAACACAAGTCATCTCCATGTGTATGTCACGCTGACGCTTTAACAAGCATCTCTTTAGGCTCTGCAACCTGGCTACAGTCAATCAGTACAGGACCGTTTCAGCATGATACAATGTCCACAAAATGGGGGAAAGATAAAGATAAAAAAAAAAAAGAGGGCAAGTTATTTACGAGAGAGGGGTGAAGGGATGAGCATAACAGAGGCGCCGGACATGACAGTGGCCAGCCCATCACCATGGCGTTGCTGGGGGAGATGGCGGAAGACGTCACTTGGAGAAACAGGGGACACAAAGGAGGGAATACGACATGAGGAGGACAAAAAAAAGGAGGGAAGGGGGCCTACAAGAAACCTGTCTTTGCAGATATAGACACAGGAAAGTGTGTGTGTGTGTGTGTGTGTGTGTGTGTGTGTGTGTGTGTGTGTGTGTGTGTGTGTGTGTGTGTGTGTGTGTGTGTGTGTGTGTGTGTGTGTGTGTGTGTGTGTGTGTGTGTGTGTGTGTGTGTGTGTGTGGTGTGTGAGTGGTGTGTGTGATGGGATGGGGTGATCAGTTACTCAGGAGCTGGGTGTCAGAGGGTTCAGGTAAAATGGGCCACCAAATCCTGGACGGAGACCACAGCAAAGTTTGCAAATGTTTTCGTTCCAGTGCCGCACTGTCTCAACTGATTCAACAAAGGAGGCCTTAAAGGCAGTAAATTACGTTTCATCAGGTGCAACAAGACGGTAGCACAACTTCTGCCCTCTGGGAATACAGAGAAATGTCTTTGAACTTGCAATACATCAAACAATTGATAATTAATTCGCAATATAGCTTCTGTTTTTTTTATAAAATAAAGTGCCCCCATCCAAATCAGCCAACACTGATTAGGCCTTTACAACTAAATATCCATAAAATAAAATCATAGATATTATAGCACAAAACAAACACAGTATGCGCAACAAAAAAATGGTTAAAAGTGAGTAAGGACCAAAATAATAAATAGGCTAGCCGTCCTGCTAGCTTAAATTTAGTGGTAGGACAGGAACAGCTAGCACTTATGCTAAAGCTTTTTCCCATTTTGTCTCCTTTATCATTATGATTTAAATGTTGTTTATCTTAACTATTCTTAGCTATCTGGGTTATGATATACCCTACTTAGACGCAGAAGCTGAACATTACAAATAACGGAGAAAAAAAGCCATATAAACTAGCTAGCTCGCTAAAAGCTAACTAGCATAATTTAGCAGAGTAGCAAAACTAGCATTTAAGTAGCGTAAGGCTAAGTGTAGTGGATTCAATATATTAATTTGATAGATAGGCCTATAGCCAATAGTTTAAGTTTGATCACTCCTCACAAATATCTGGTTGTGTCATAAAAGACCTTCAGTACTATTTTACAACTCTTACAGTTAAAAGAAACACACATTTTAACAAAATTGAAAGTCGCGCAGTAGCAAAGCGGGACAGTGTTAGGCAACAGATTTAAAATGATAACAATGTGATGTGTCCTTTCTCGATAGATATGGATACTATTCTTATATTCTTATTCTTTTTATGTTACATCACTGGCTAAATATATAGAAACAAAATGAGGGGAAACTACGAAAAAAACTGCAAAACAAGTGCACTTATATAGTCTAAATGTAATGCCATGTGATTCTTAGTGCATTATAAATAACACATTGTTTAGAGCGCTTCAGGTTCCCTTCTTAACTACTAAACAAATCCATGAACATAATGTAATTTTTTTTCTGACTTTATGTGTCACAAACCTGCTTTGTTATTCTTTACTGCTTTTCCCTAACCCCGGTGTAACACCCATCCACTTTCTCTCTATGCCCTCTTTTCCCTCCTATCTGGTGATTTATTTGCCTCAGTTCCAATATTTGTCAGCAGTGTGTTTTCTTCCCCTTGTCTAAATGTCACCCCTTCTTCTAAGACAATATAGGGAGTGGGAGAGAGGGAGAACGAGAGGGCAAATGCGGGGGAGATAGAGGAAGGGGAGGTGGGGGGGGACTCGTAAAATGAGCAACAAAGTTTGGGAAAATTAAACATTAGGTAAGACACTTTTTCCCATGCATGTACACATACGTGGAAACAGAAATGCTGTGTCATAGTTCCTGGTGTGAGGATTCCTTACAGGGACTTCTAGTGGATCAATATTCCTGCAAAGTTTTTTCTAAAGGGGAAACAAAAGGCTTTAGTTTGTCTTCTCATAAAATGTTTCTCAGCAGCAAATGCACCCCATGCAGGGATTGAAAACACATGGGACAAAGACACACATATCTTTGTGATAATCATTCAAAGTGCATTATCTAAAGTGCAGAGTCAGATTTGTATGTCTCATGCCAACCTCAACACAATAGAAATACACTCTTAATACTTACGCAGTGCAACTATTATCCCACCCAAAGCGTCCCCCTCCCCTCCCTCAGCATGACGCCTGTCCTCTCTCTCCCACCCTCATTCTCTACCTCCTTTATAACCCATCACTCCCATCTCCCTGACTCACTTATTCCTGCTGTTTCAACCTGTGGAGTGGACACATTTGTTTTCTGGAGACAAAACTCAATACTTGCTGACACAATGTTTTTGTAAAAATTGACTTTTACTAGCACTCTCAGATTTTTTTTTGTTTCTGCTGAAGTTTCTACTGATATGTTCAATTAAATTGGACATGTGGACTTATTTTTGCGTCTAAAGGATGCTTGCAGTTTGTCAAACATTCCTGTGAGCATGCTTTTGCTGTCAGCGACAGTGCAAGGGAAGAAACTTTTACTGATTGAAATTGGGATTAAGTTTCAATTTGATCAACTTGTTAAGAACAAAAGTAGGATAACTGGATACCACAGGACTATGAACTGGTAAGAATCAGCTACTTTTGCAAAACTAAATAAATAAAATGTGTATTCTGTTGTAAAGCTGCAGAATCATGATCACAACGTTTAGAAATTAAATATTAATAATGCAATTTTTGATGATTGAAAAGGAAAAATAGGATGATGAACTTTTGAATTTAGTCTCTAACCTGTGAATTTGTAATTTCAACAGATATGCGGGGATCATCCCCAAACTCTGCGGCAGAAACATAAAGCAACACACAGACAGACAAACAGACAGACAGACGGACAGACAGACAGACAGACAGAGAAACAGACAGACAGACAGACAGACAGACAGACAGACACAGAAACAGACAGAGAGACAGACAGACAGACAGACAGACAGACAGACAGACAGACAGACAGACACAGAAACAGACAGAGAGACAGACAGTCAGACAGAGAGACAGACAGTCAGACAGACGGACAGTCTGATGCCAACTGTCTTCACTGTCAATCTCACGGCACCACTCCTCCTCCTGTTGCTATGGGCAACCCACCCCACCATGGCAACCAACTGGCTGTAAGTCTAGCGTGCGAGCGAGGAAGAGAAAGAGGGAGTTTGTTTGTCATGCTATAACTTTTAAAAGATGGTGACATGTCTCTAAATCTCTTTCAGTCGCTCCCCTCTCGTTCTTTGTCTCTCTCCTGGTGACCTTTTCTCTTTTCTCCCTCTCTGTGTCTTCCCCTTGTTTCCATCCTCTCTAAAACTCTGCCCGGTCGTTACCTCTTCATCCTTTCTGTACCCTCCTTTCACTTCTTCGTGCACCCTTCCTCTTCCACCCCCCCTGCCTCATTATGCATCCTTTTTGCCCCCCTCATGCCCAATAATTTCTTTTTCCACACCTCACCACTCCCCCTTTTTCTTGCCTCATTATGAATCATTTTTGCCCCCCTCATGCCCAATAACCCCCCTCTCTGTGCCTCAGCTCCCTGGCCAGGCTGCCCCGCTCCAGGCCCGTGTCCGGCGCGGCTCCATGTGCCCGGCTGAGGGGGCTGACCCCGGGGCAGGTGGGGGTGTGCCGGGCGCGAGGGGAGGTCATGGAGTCCGTACGCAAGGCCGCCGAGATGGTCATCGAAGAGGTAAGGTTTCAGGGTCGATCAACATATCCTCAGTCTAGAATGATGCACTGATATTGATTCAAAAAGCAGGATTGTATATCACAATTTTTGCAAAATCACAACCAGTAAATCGATATGTATGTATCCAATGGTTACATGCTGTTTTACAAAGTACAAATGTATTTTCTTGTTTGTTGTCTTAAAAATGTGTCTTTCTCGATGTTGAAAACAGAGTTGCTGTGAGGCAAGAACAAATGCAGACTTGATCTTAAAATAAAGTATTATTATACAAACAAATGATCCCGATGTCTTCCACACAGTGAGGTTTACAGTTCATTAGTTATTAGTCTTAATCTCACTGCTTTGTGTGTCACGGTTTAACTCTAAAGTGCCAGCACCAGTTCAGGAATCGCCGCTGGAACTGTTCCACCACCTCACGAGGGATCAACGTTTTTGGCAGAGTCATGAACCAAGGTATCTAAAAATGTAATCGAATCACCAGCTAATGAATGCATGCAACTCTCACTGCATCACATACCTACATTTTTAACAAAGTCTTCAGTTAGAGCTGGCACTTTATTTTTATGGTAGTTAATTTGAATGTTTTATGTATTTCTATTGTATCTTATTTTATTTGTATTTCTATTTGTATTCCACACACTATCTTGTCTTCTCATTTTGCTGTAACTCCATCATATACAATGTTGTTGTCTGTAAAAAGCCCACTGAGACAAACGTATTTTGTGATATTGGGCTATACAAATAAAGTTTGATTTAGTTTAGTTTATTTGTTTATAGTGTCATGGACAGTCCCCATTGATCAACTGTCACAAAAACAGTAAATGGGGCAGCTTTAGCCAACATTGCTAATTTCCAGCTGTTGCCAGATGATAATGGACACTCTTAAAGGTCACCTATTGTGCAAAATCCACTTGTTCATGTCTTCTCTTCATCAACATGTGTCCCCCCTGTGTAAAGAGATTCTGAAAGTTTCAGGAAAAAAGATTCTCTCTCTTTTTGTCCTGATCCATTTATATACAAACCTGTCTGAAAATGAGCTGATCAGATTTTGGCCACTTTATGATGTCATCACGATGTGTTGGCTTGTGTAACCATTAGCCAATCACCAACCAAGGTAACCCCCCCCCCCCCCCCCCCTGAATCTCCTCCTAGAGCACCATTGTGTTATTTGTAACCAAATCTCTCTCAGAGGGGTGTGGGGAGGGGCTCCTTATTTTTATCTAAAGTAACAGACAGAGAATCAGCACTTTTGAAACAGGGCTGAAACAGAGGGGATTATGGGATGCTGCAATGATCTGTTTGGTGTTTGGAGCCAAACACTTCAGAGACATGTTCTGTATATATCTGAGACCTATAATATATTGATGAAAAACAGTATAATAGGGGAGCTTACAATACATCAAAAGCATTTGATTTGATTTGATCACATGCTTTCTTCTGGTTGCAGGGACTCGTGAGGCGGCCTTTGTCCACGCCCTGTCCTCTGCAGCCGTGGCGGTTGCGGTGACGAGAGCCTGTACCCGGGGGGAGCTGGACCGCTGCGGCTGCGACAGGAAGGTCAGGGGGGTCAGCCCCGAAGGTGAGCTGGACCCCTTCGCATGATAATGTAACATAATGTGGGAGGCTGTGGCGCAGTGGACTAGTGCGTTGGTGTTCGGATCAGGGGAGCACAGGTTCAAACCCCGTTGCAGTCAGCATGTCATTGTGTCCCTGGGCAAGACACTTCACCCCAAATTGCTCCTGTGGGGATTGCTCACAGTATTGAGTATGTAAGTCGCTTTGGATAAAAGCGTCTAACAAGTAACATGTAATGTAACTCCGTACTGTCTGACACACGTAGCAAAAAAAAATGCTGCTGATTTCGATGGGTTAAACTTTGGAAAGTGTAGCGCTAATGTCCACATGCCAGACAGAGAGAGCAGATATTTTCCTATCAGCTGCTTCTGTGTGATCCAGTGTTTCTTTTTTAGCTTTAAATTCAAATGTGCGGTTGTTTCATGAAGGAATACAATGATATTGATACTGATTTTGGAGCGATACGGACTCAAATAGCTTGATCAGCTAATACAATCTATGTTTATATATGTTAAATGCACATTATACTGTAACTACTTTTAAAACCAGTTTAAGTTTTGACCTTTTTTTAAATTTTATTTATGTTAATTTAGAATTTTTTTATAGTAATTAGCGGGTTTATGAGTTATATTTTCTTAATTTGTTACATTTATTGTGAAGTTAGGAAAGCACTTTTTAAGTCAAGTCTAATGTTGCCTTGGGAAAAGATCCAATTCACTTTTAACCAGGCATATGGCTTATTATTTAAACATTGGCATGGGATCAGTACTCAATTTGGGCCAATAACAAAAGCCCAGGTATAAGGTTGAAAAAAGTTGGATGTGTTAATCCCTAGCTTTAAGGGTGCACATATCCAAATACTCTGTCCCACCTCAGGCTTCCAGTGGTCGGGCTGCAGTGACAACCTTTCCTACGGTGTGGCTTTCTCCCAAACATTTGTGGATGAACCAGAACGAGCCAAAGGGGTGTCAGCGGGGCGACCACTCATGAACCTCCACAACAACGAGGCAGGCAGAAAGGTTGGTGCTCACACCTCTTTGACTACATCTCAGTTACTTTCCAAGACGATTTCATTTGTGAGACTTGATCTTCTCTGCTTTTATTCCCCATCCTCTCGTCCTCAGGCCATCCTTCACAACATGCAGGTGGAGTGTAAGTGTCATGGCGTCTCCGGCTCCTGTGAGTTGAGGACCTGCTGGAAGGTGATGCCTCCTTTCAGGCGCGTCGGTGTGGTGCTCAAGGAACGCTTTGATGGAGCCACAGAGGTATCAGACTACATGTTTTAAGCTGGTAACCACTTGTATAAGTCACATGAGTTGAAGCAGATGAGCTTTATCAGTATCAAAGTTCCCAGTCTGTAACTCTCCACAAGAATAGAACAAAATAAAATACTTTTTGCGTGCGAAAAGTAGACACTTGGCTTATTAAAGAGGATACATTAAAACCATAAACAATAGAACACAATACCCCATAGGAGCCAAAAGAGCCCAATGTAAATAGATATAAAATGCTGTCTGCTGAGGTAGCAATCTAGGTTTTTTTATGGATGAAGATATCTTATGGCAACAGTCCCAAAAAATGTCTAATGCAAGCTTTCTTTGCACAGGGGACGCTATACCTTTTCCCTAAAGGCAGTAAATGGAAGTGGTATTTGAAGCCATGGCTGTAGTTGTCTAACATCTTGCCATCATCATCCTCCTCTTCTCTTTAGGTCCGCCTGACTCGTATAGGATCCAGAACGGCCCTGCTCCCCCGCGACCCGCAGGTCAAACCCCCCGCTGCCAGAGACCTCCTGTACCTCGCACCCTCTCCTGATTTCTGCCACCTCGACCCCGACAACGGTATCCCCGGCACTGCTGGCAGGAGGTGTAATGGTAAGATCAATGTGAAGGGGAAACAACCAGAGATGGCAAAAGTACACACATCCTTTACTCAAATAGAAGTACAGATACTCGTGTTTAAAAATACTCTGGTAAAAGTAGAAGTACTGACTAAACTTCTTTACTCAAGTAAATGTAAAGAAGTATAGGCTTTGAAATGTCCTTAAGTAAAAAGTACCCATAACTAGCAGCTGTTTTAAAGAGTACCTGACCTCCCTTTATATTAATAGAACAATAATGTCATTGTTAGCTAATGAATGTTTCCATGCTGAACAACGGCAACATGACAACGTTTTCATTGGTCCCTCTTCTTTAGAGAAGACCAGGAAATGATGGATACACGGATCGTGTTCAAATCAATAGGCACGCAATGACTCTAAATAATAATGATCACGCCACCAAACACACATTCAAACTAAAGGAACCAGCCTGTTTGGAAAATGTGAGAAGTAGAAAGTACCGGTATTTGGGTTCAAAATGTAGAAGTAGAAAGTACAGGTATTTGTGTTCAAAAGGTAAGAATTAGAAAGTACAGGTATTTGTGTTCAAAATGTAAGAAGTAGAAAGTACAGGTATTTGTGTTCAAAATGTAAGAAGTCAAAGTAAAAAGTTGTCAGAAAAATAAGTAGTGGAGTAAAGTACTGATACAGTACCAGAAATATTACCTTAGGGGGTTACCTTGGTTGGTGATTGGCTAATGGTTACACAAGCCAAAACATCGTTATGATATCATAAAGTGGCCAAAATCTGATCAGCTCATTTTCAGACAGGTTTTTATATAAATGGATCAGGACAAAAAGAGAGAGAATCTTTGTCTCCTGAAACTTTCAGAGTCTCTTTCCACAGAGGGGACACATGTTGATGTAGAAGAGACATGAAAAAGTGGATTTTGCATAATAGGTGACCTTTAATGATGATGTAAAGCACTTTGAATTGCCTCTGTGTCTGAAAATGTGCTAGATAAATAAACGTACCTTACCTTACCTATTGAAACACAGGAACCTCCCGCCTGGCCCCTGACGGCTGTGAGCTGGTGTGCTGCGGGCCGGGGTACAGGGCGGGCCGGGCGGAGGTGGTGCAGCGCTGCTCCTGCAAGTTCTCCTGGTGCTGCTCCGTCCGCTGCCAGCAGTGCAAGAACACCGTCACCATCCACACCTGCAGAGTCTAAAAGATCCCCGAAAAACACCAAGCAGAAAGACCCGAACAAACCACCTGACAGACCAATCTGAACACAAGACGGGATGGACAATAACACACCTAACACACACCTTTAGCACCAAATTATCCTAAAACTCTGGTCTTAATTGAACTCATTTTCGACTGAAGCTGTGCGGCTAAGTTTGAGGATTGTGTTGTAAAAGCTGCAAAGTTAGAGTACATGTATCAAAAGCATCAAAAGTAAATAACACAGGTGTGCAGAAACAGACACACTCAACTGTTATCCTCTCAACACACTGACAACGCTTTTAAAGCTGAACTTAACCATGACTAACAGGGAATCATTGCAGCACTGTTCTTATCGTGACATAGACTAGCAGGTCTTTATTTACTGTATTTATGTCTTCTCCTCTCTTCTGGTTTATTTATTTGTATATCAGAGTCTTTGCTTTAATTCAGCGGCATCTATAGCAAAAGAAAATAACGTCTACTTACATCAGAGTCTGTCTTGTGTTGCGCTCTCCTTCATGTTCCTGCACACGCAGTGCTTTTAGGGCTGTTCAAGAAAACCTAATAAATACAGTAGTTTTATCCCAAAAAACACAGTACGTTTCTTGAGTTTCTTATTCACCAGAAGTTTCTTAAGATGTTGTTACACTTGAAACATGCTTTTTGGGGTTTTCCCTTTCCTGTAGTGTGTTATAAAAGTTTTTGTGCATGTAAATGGTCTGCAAAGGCTAAAATCCCCGTGTTCCCTCCATGCTGCATGAGAGCAAAATTGCACAGTTGTAGTTTAGAGACGTTCATGGGCTGTTTTTCCAGCTCCATTTCTTTAGCCAATTAGTCAAATGGTAGTTGTTTTTTATTGCTGATTGGCTTATTCCCAAGAAACGTATAAGCTAATCTTTGGTAAACACAATATTTAGACCGGTGCTTTTGCGTGATTTCTGGTGGACAAACTACATTTTACAGATGTGTTCTTTAACTTAAAGGTCACCTATCATGCTATTTTTAGGCAATAGCATAGGTCTCAGATATATACAAATATATAAAAAACATGTCTATGAAGTGTTTTGCTCAAAATACCAAACAGATCACCGATTCTAGCCATGCCTCATATCCCTCTATTTCACTTCCTGTTTCAAAAGTGCTGATTTTGGGTATAAAGCAATTAAAAAAAAGGAGGGGGCTGAGCTCATGCGAGACCCGGCAGCTACTGTCTAAACTAAATACTGCCGTGATGAAACTCCATATCATGGATTATCAAGGATTCTTTCTGAAACAGTATGGAGCTCAAAGGCTTTCTCTCTGGCCGGTTATACCACAAGGTGAGTTCCTTTTTATTTCCTGCTTCTTCACACACATGCTCTCCAGTACAGGTTAGCTCTGAGTGTTAGCGATGCTAACGTAAACACCGACCATATTACGTCCAAAACAGTCGGGCATTGTTTCTGATAGCAACGTTTCTGATAGGGCCGTGGGTCCACATTTCAGATATTACGTCATATCGGACGCAAATCTGGATCAGCTCCGTTGTAGCCCCGTTTTTAGAGATTTGGGTACGGAGGAAAAGAGAGGGTTTTATTTTCTGACGCTGCGTGGAGTTCCCTGACACACCGGGGACACATATTTATGTATAAAAGACATCAAAAAGTGCATTTTGCATGATAGGTCCCCTTTAAGAAATTGATCAGTAGACACAATTGTATGAGTGTCCTCTAAGAACTTATTTGATGTAGTTTCTAATTTATTTCAGAGAACCATAATGCTTGCAAGCTGTCAGATATAGGTGCCAGTGTGAGTGCAGGGACAAAACACACTGCAATGCACCAGCAGCTGACATGGAACTGATGTAAGCCATGCAAAGATTTGCATTACTTTAAGAAATAAAATGCATTTAATATCCACAAACCACCTCTACTGCGGTTCACTAGAGTTATCATTTGTTGTGCATGCACCATCCTCCCTCCAACACACAAAACAATGGCCGCTTTCTTCATCATTAAACCATTTTATTAAAAAGATCCTGTGATTACAAACACCCAGAAATGTACTAGCAAAAGGTTTTGGTCTCAATCTCTGCCAAGATTAAGAAATATTCAAAACATTACAATTTAATTTGTTTTATTATCAAATCGTTCAAAGTTGGTCGTCTAGCAATACAAAAAAAAAAGGTTTCAAAAATGAATAACTGCTACACATTTCCCAAAACAGTCACAGAATTAATACAATGAACATAAAAGAAGAATAAAATAGAATTTCATAATTCTATAGAAGCAGGGAAATGGGTAAAAACGCAGATTTGGCCTCCCCAGACGTTTCTGGGAACTTAAAGAAAGTTAACGATGTTTGTTTGGAGTGACAATTCATCTCTGCTTTCCTTATGTAATTCAAAAGGAGCAGAAAATAAAATAGAGTAACACTTAACACTAAGTCGCCCCTTTAAAAAACTGATCTTCACTATAGAACTTAATGTTGAAGTGTTTCTCTAAACTGGGTTCAAAAGCCCCAATAGGGAAAACACAGAGGAGGTCAAAAGCAATTATATAAAATAATCTTTAAAAAGAATGGAGCAACAGTGACAGGCAGGGGGGGCCCGCCCACCTGAGTATTTGTAGAGAGAGTATTGCTAAAAGCTTTCAGAAGAGGAGATAGGTGACACTCACTGCATGCTGAAGCTCCCTCAGCATCTTTCAACCTTTATTTTCAAGGCACAATCAGTGTACACGTGTTTGAGAGTAAGTCTCAATGGCATTGTACCTCCCTTCCCCTTTTGTTTTGTCCTTTTTTTCCAAGATGGCCATTGATCTTTCTGATGATTTGATTCGCCCCACCTTTATTTCTAACACCGTCTCTCGCCGTCGTTGTTCATCTATAGCAGGACGCACTTTCTCTTGGTTTTGGTCTCAGGAGGCTCCAGGGCGGCCAGGATGGCCTCGTCAAACACATTCTTCAGCCCTCGCTGGATGGAAAGAACAGGAAACAAGGCAGAAAAATGTTTATTATGGTCTGGATTATTGCCTGATTTCACAAATATCAAGTTGCTTTCAGTTTAAAGAGGCCATAGGCGCTTTCACACCGGAGTACTTTTCCCAGTATAGTTCCAATATAATTCCGAAAATGTTGCGTTCACACCAAAAAGATCCGGAACTAAAATTAGTTGATGAGAACCTTTCCACCCCATTTTCAGTCCCTGCTAGAGAGCAGGGACTTTCATGGGAAAAAAAGGTTCCCATTTCTGATTGGCTGGGAGGATTGCAAACCACGCCCCGTAAAACTCTGAAAAGGTTTTGTCCCAGCAGCTTCTACTGAAGCCAGTCCCCAACTCCGGGGACTTCCGGCCGGGGACTTCGGGTGGCAGTATACGCCGTGAAGTTGTTTGCGGCCTGCCAGTAAACCCAAAGCAGAAGAAGAAGTGACGTCAGCGGCTTCATTTGACTAATCCTCCCTCAGGGAACTTACTCCAGTGTGAACGCGATCTACTTTAGTTCATCAGAACAATCACAACAGAGCCGGCCAGCTAACCAATCAGAGCAGACTGGGCTCTGGTTTCAGACAGAGGGTGAAAAGAGGTGCTGCAGCACAGGCAGTATGAGAAAAATAAAGAGCTTTTTGAACATTAAAGCATGGAGACATGTCCCAGTAGAGACACTACATACTAATGAAACTGAAAATGTATATAATATGTCCTCTTTGACCCATACATGCACTCAGTATAACCTCTCGAGTTGTCAAGCAGTATTACAAGACAGGACAGGCTGAGGCTAATTTTAGTAGAAATCTCTGCAACACAATACATAAACCTCTTTGCAAAAACATCAACGCTCCACCTCACATTGTGCTGTGAATTTAAGATTGTGTCCATATCCTACATCCTATTTCAGCGTTAACAGTGTGATGAAAGTGTTACCTGTGTGAGAGCAGAGCACTCCACGTATTTGACGGCCTTCAGCTCCCGCGCCAGCTTCTCTCCGCTCTCAGGATATAGCGGGCGCTGTTTGTTCTTCGCCAGCTTCTCGATGGTGTTGCTGTCTTCCCGCAGATCCACCTGCGTGCCCACTAACAGGAAGGGGGTGCGCGGGCAGTGGTGAGAAATCTCAGGAACCCACTGGGGAAAATATGGAAGAAAGATTATTTTTGGGTATCAAATAAATGTGTATGTCGATCTGAGTATTAAAAAAAGGTACTGAAAGTCAAGGTACTGGATTCAAATGCTTGCTTTTGATCAAATACTTCCTGATTTAAAACAACATTTTGCAACAATCAGACAATTTAATGTATACAATGAATGATATTTTAAAGTTGTTTCTGTTAAGACAACTTTTATTACTTGAAATGTTGGCTTTTTTGTTAAATTAAAAATAAGTTTTGTACAAAAATCTATATATCTCAATGTAAACGGGTTGAAAAAATGTTTTTCTCATCAATGCTTTAACAAAGGGTATCGTTTCTGATCTTGTATCATAACATTTAACAAAGTAATGGGCCCTCATAACGTCTATACAGCTGAAATGATTAATATAATAGAATACTAATACACAATAATGCATAACTAATATAATACATTATTGTACATAATCTTAAAATAACGTTAAAATGTCAAACTTTCCTTTGCTCCCGCTTCTTAAATATAATGATTTGCTATTCAATTTTTGTATTACTTTAGGGGTTTGGACTGTTAGTGGAACAAAACAGGACATTTGATCACTTTCATTTAGGAAACATGGTAATTGTGATAGCTATTTTCACAATCTTCTTTACCCAACGATTAATCCAATAACTTTGAAACTATCTGCCGATTTATCAATGATAAAAATAATCAACAAACAAACACATGGCAAGGCAAGGCATGAGATACATCCAACAACAAAAGACAGGGGTTGTGTTTTTCCACAATGATAAACAAACTCATTCATAAACACTGACCTTCTCTTTGACGTTTTCAAATGACGAGGGGGAGACGCTGGAGAAACATATGAGGAACACGTCAGTCTGAGGATAGCTGAGCGG